TTCAATGCCCTTGGCGACCAGCACTACTAGGTACGCTACCACAAGGTTAAACTAGCCAGCCACTCATTCTACCGCACAGTATAATTGGACGATGATAGCCCAATCCCAAGGTTTGTGTCGAAGTGACCCAACTCACTCAAATCCTATCCTATCTCCCCCATCTCCCTCCCGCCCCCCTCAACCTCCAACAAAGCCCTCAACGCCCGCGAATACGGCCCGAAATGCCTCCGATTCGTATCCTCATCGCACCACTCCGACCCCCTTGCCTCCAGCTGCAACATCCCCACGAGCCGCTGCACCAAATCGTCCGCTGCCCCCGACTCCCTATCTACTTCAGCTTGACCCCGATGCACCCCCAACCCCCGTAGTGTGACCGCACAACTCACCGCATTATGCACAAATGCCCACGACCGACACACCGCCTTCGACAACCGATACAGATCCAGAAACGCGGCGACGACCCGCGCGGCCGTCGCCGTGCACTCTTTGACAATCGCTGGATCGTGGGCTGCGGACAGGTCCAGATGGAGCCGGTACATGCGGCAGATGACGTAGCCGAGGTGGATCTGAAAGGCGAGGCGCTCGAGGTGTTGCTGAAGGCTGGTGCAGTGTCGTTTGTCGGTGAGGAAACGGGCGGCGGAGTTTTGGAGCGCGAGGAATTGGTCCTTGGCGGTTAGGGCTTGCGCGGGTGTTGTTACGGGTTGTTGGTTGAGGACCAGTTGGCAGATGCGGAGGCTGCTGGATTGGAAGGTTAGGCCGCCTTGCTTGGGGGCTTGGTGGTTGAGGCGCGGGAGTGGCGTTGTGGTGCTGGTGGCTGGGAGGGCGCTGGGCGGGCGGTCGTAGGTAAAGGAGAGGAAACAGTCTTGTTGGATTAGGGTCCACCTTTTTGGGCCCAGTGGTCAGCGGGGGGTGAGCGGGGGGAACGCTTGCGGTGAGGGTTACCATAGTCTACTCCATCGCGGTCTTTCGCCAGGTGGAACAGAAGCTGGGACGTCGTGTAAGCCAATGCTTTGCGCGAGGCGCATGGTTGCGCCTGCTTTCGTTAGTCCTGGCTTTGTGAAGTAAGGCGCACTGTGGGCAACCCACCCATCAGGATCCAGGCGCTGTTGGTGTCAAGGTTATTGCGTAGACAATGCCCGATCAGCGCCATGGCCTGGATCTGCTCTAGTTTGGTCTGGCTGAAGAAATTGGACAGACGCAGGCAATGGAAGGATGAGCACACTGCAATCCCATCCGTTAGGACAAGCTTACTGGGTGGGATTCAGACTCACAGAAGACTCTAGAACGTAGATCGCGTTCTTGAATGGGATCGTCGGCGAACTGCACCGCGCAGGCTAGCACAGCAAACAGCAGTGCCAGCCAGGAAGATTCCGGCTCCTCATCCGGCTTGGCTTTGTCCGAGGGGTCAAGCCGTGTGCGTTGCTGTAGGAAGTCCATCAGCGCCGCCCCGAATTCGTCGATCGACACCAGAACCGGGTAAAACGGGTACGCGGTGGTCTGGTACGTTTGCCAGTACCTACTTCTGTTAGCCGTCGTGCATCACACAACTAAAGTCCCAATGCATGGTAATTGTGCCCACCGAAGGATATCCTCATCATCGGGCAACGTCTCGCAGACATCTCGGGTGGTCGCCTGTGGTCCCCAGAGCCCCGTGAACGGATACGCGCGGGGCACGCCCCCGTCATCCATCATCGCATCCTGCAGCATGAGCTGCTCCTGAGCCATCTGCGGCTCCCGACACCCCAATACCCGAGGAAAGTCCGCATGTCGTCCCAGAAAGATCGTGGCGCCGGTGGCCTCCTCGACGACTTGCTGTCCTGGAGCTTTCCGGGGCCGGCTTTCCGATTCAGCCGGACTCGATGTCTCAACTACGAGCGGTGACGACGACGAACCCGGATACGACTCGGACCCTGTGGCTGCAATGTGCTGAAAGTTTGCTTTCAGCTCCCCGATCTGCCGCTCGATAGCTTCCAGCCGCGCAATGGCCGCCGCCGGATGCCACGCGGCGGGTACAACTCCCGGCTCGGGCTCGGGCGGTTTCGGACTACTTTGGCCCTCTGGTTCTCTGATGGCTGATCGTGCAGGTGCAGAGGTAGTCGGCATGCGACAGAGCTCCGGGTGGCTGCGCTTGACGCAGCTGCTGCAGGGTGTCTGACCGTTGCACCGGACCTTGCGGTGGCGGCAGGGGAAGCACGAGCGGATGCTGCGAGTCCGGCGTTTGTCCCGGAGCAGCTCGCTCACCAGCCTCGTGTCGTAGGGGTATTCTGCCTCGGCCATCGTCTGTTGATTGCGCTCCAAGTGAAGAACCTTTGTGGAAGTGAAGGGTCGGGGATCCACGAGCATTCATTCATGGCTGTTCGTTATTAGGTTTCGGCCGGCGGGCTCCGGTCACCTCCGCTGAGCTCCGATTGGCTAGGGCGCAGCCGGGGCGAATTTGGAGCGAATCAGGTGACATGACATGGGCATACTGGACGGCATCTATCTTCCGATACCTGAAGCAATGTGTAGAGTACTTAGGTACTGCCCAACGGATTATAACTTCTGAATTCTTTATCTTCTGTAATTCGTCCTCAGAGAGGAAAAGACAGCGCATACATCCGAGTTTGAGTATACCAAGAAAACTAAACCCGCGTATACACCTCTAGATTGACCATTGTAAACACAGCCAAGCCGGTCAGAGACAAGCTTTATGAGGAACAGAACCAGTGATTTAAAAACACCATCAGAGATTGCATCACACATCCCTGCCTAACACAAACCATACTCTTTCAACCTATTTCCAAAATCAAACCCCAACAATATCCAGGGTCAGATTGCCAGAGCCATAGCAGAGACCAACAACAAACAACAAACCCTACAACCAATGCAGCACGCCGCATCAAAACAAAAACACCTGATCCATCGCCTTCGACATAGCCCCAGGCTGCTGATACCCCAGCCCAACCAAATTCTTCTTCATCGCCTCAATCATCGGCGGCGGCCCACAGAGAAACACCCGAGTGTCGGCCGCCGGCGCCGGGAGCGCCTCCTGGATCAGCTCCTGCGTCACGAACCCCCTCCTCCCGTCCCACCCGCCCTCCGGTCGCGAGAGCACATACTCCACGCGAAACCTTTCGGGGAACCGTGCGGCATAGGTGTCGAGCTCCCTGCGGAGCAGGATATCCCCTTCCGTGTTGTTCGCATACAGCAAGGTAATTTGGATGTTGTTGCTCGGGTCATCCAGCGACGCGCGGATGATCTGGTACATGGGCGTGATGCCCGTCCCGCCGGCGATCATGCCGATGTGCCGGGCGAAGTCCGGCGTGAACTTCATCGCGCCCTTGGGTCCGCGGATCTCGATCTCCTGGCCTAGTACCATTGAGGCGAGGTGCTGGGTCATCAGCCCTTGGTCGTAGACCTTGATTAGGAGCTCGACGCGGCCCAGGTCGCTGTTGTTGGAGATCGGGGTGTACGAGCGGGAGACGCTCTGTGCGTTGATCGTGGCGCGGAGGGCGATGTGCTGGCCTGTCGGGAGGCCGAGGCGGTCGTCTGGGTGGGGCAGGGCGAAGGCGATGTGGTAGACGTTCGGGGCGATAAGGTCCTTACGGATGAGTTGGAACTTGCGCCATTGTTTGGGGTCGAGGGGTTGCGTGGCTGTGGTGGTTGAGGCGGTGATTTCGGGAAGAGTGCGGGTGGACTTGAGAGCGGATTTGAGGATTAGGGTGTCGGAGCGGGAGGTGCGGTAGGGCTTATGGGATGCGAAGCTCTCTTGGGCATCGAGCTTGGTGGAGAGCCAGATGGTCAGAGCACCGGTCAGACTGATTTGAAGAGCGCTGCCAATGCCCACCCCGGACCAGAAGGAGGATTTGGAGGTTGTTCCAGAGGGAAGATGGATTTCTTGGAGGAGATGCGGGAAGAGCAGTTGAGGCTGGCGCAGTATCTCGAGCCCGTTGCTGTATACACTATACCCTAGTCCAGCAGCCAGGCCGAGAGGAACGGCCGCGAGGAGCGATTTGACTAAAAGCCCTACGGTGGACCGCTGGCGCTTGCGCACGTCGACTGCAGCGACCTGGGAGACTTTCTCGAAGGTCGGACGATACACCTCGATGGCTTCAGCTTGGTCCTGCGGTTCCGGTCAGTCAATTCTGTGCTCGCATGGTGGAGTTGATGTGAAAGAAATATACCTCAGCTACAAGGTCTCCGATCAGATATGGCTCGAGAAGTTCGCGGGCTTCGTCCGAGTGTCCGATCTCCTCGAAGGCCTCGGTGGCATCTAAGCCAGCCACTTCTAGCAAGACAGGAACACCACCTGGGTGGTCATCGAGATAGGCAGTGATGTTGTAGACTAAACGTGTGAGTATTGGGATTATCAACAGCTACATGACCAGAGCATTGATACCTTTATTGTGCAAAATAATCCAGACATCGTCTTTCTTGTTATGACTTCTAACTTGCTCGAGGGTGTATGTCGTTGATGCCATGAGGGCTGACCGGGGAAGGTTGATAATTGCGGTAACAGACGGTAAGAGGAAGAAACAAGTAAGTGTGTTCATGGCGTGAGGAACACGAGGTTCCGTTGCTCATATATCGAGTAGAACAGTGTCAGTCATTCAACAATTCCCTCCCTCGACAAATTGGAATGTTGCCGATTGCGACTCTCAGGAAATCAAGACAGTGGATACCCACCGGGCTTTGTGAGTATTTCGTACGAACCTCGTGCGAACTTCGGCCGTGACTGATCGCACGTCTCCACTGCAGTCACCAACCGAAATGGTGGCAATGCCAAGTAAATTGTTCGCTCATTGCTCTACGCATAGCTTCAGACATTCGAGGTTGATGTGGACAGTATGGTGTATGTATGTGTTCCGAACTCCGAGCAGCGTACACACAATGACACTGCCTCTATATTTAATGCTCCCGTATTCACTCCGGCACAATCCTGGCTTCACCTTTGCAAACACCTAATCACAATCCCCTTGTGACTGACCCTATTTGCAAGATCTTCAGAACAGCCTATGGATATGTCGTCCAAGACATTCTATCTTATCGGTGACAATATCTCAGCGCAGGATGTAGCTGTGCAGCCTTCATGGAAAATTGAAGACCTCAAAAGAGCAGTGGGCCTCGCCCTGCATATTGTTCAACCGCTGGGTAAGTCGTTGCAGATGAACCTCCAGATTACACTCAGCTGCGCTAACAGGGAACTTCAGGTATCACATTCCACCCGCTCGCCGACAGTCAGACCCTCGAAACAGTCAGCGACGTGCTATCAACACCGTTCAACATCGGAATCCGTATCAATGGCCGGGCTGTGCAGTCCCCCCAAGGACCAGAAGGCTTGCCCTTGGTAGGCAGCTTCTACGAGATCTTCCCCGATCATCTAGGCAACCACTATCGCCTGTTTCGCAAATACGGCTCGGTGATCAAGACGACCAACATGGGCAAAACTACCTACCTAACCGACGACCCCGAGGTAGCGAGCATCGCACTCCAGGAGTCGATCTACTTCACCAAGAACATCAACGAAAGCCACCCCCTCTACGGAGTCAAGGACAACACCGCCATCTTCATCGGGGACACCGAGACGGAAAATTGGCGTCTGGCCCACCGCTTCCTCCCGTCGGCCATGGGCCCTAAAGCCGTGCGCCACTACACCCCGCTGATGCAGGAGTGCGTCCGCAGTTCGTTCTCCGTCTTCGACGCCCTCGACGCCCAGGGCAGCTCGTTCAACGTGTACCAGTACATGCTCAAGCTCGCCTCCCAAACCATCGGCAAGTTCTCGCTCAACGCCGACTTCGAGCACTTCACCCGCGTCGACGCCCCGCTGCACCCGATCGTGACCAACATCGCCGACCTCCTCTCCCTGAACAAGAAGGTCACGGCCCGGGGCAACTGGTACCGCTCCCTGCCCTTTGGCGACCCAGCCCGGCTCCGCGAGGTCCGCCGGACCTGCTACACCCTGCTACAGGAATACATCGACCAAGCGGCCGAGTCCGGGATCAAGGACCTCCCACTCAACGAAGCCGCCCTGAAAGCCTCGTGCGTCGTCGACTACCTGCTCAACGGGGTCGACGACAAAGGCGAGCACTTCCCGACCCCGCTCATCCTCGCCAACATGATGATCGTCACCGGCGCGGGCTTCACCACCACCTCCGCGCTCCTGTCCTGGCTCATCTACAGCCTGGTCACCTACCCAGACACCCAGGACCGGCTCCTCCAGGAGCTCGTCGACCACAACATCTCCCACGAGACCACCTGGTCCCCCGAGCTGGCACATAGCCTGCCCTACCTCGACAACTTCGTCAAGGAGACCCAGCGCCTGCACAACGCCTCCTTCCAGCCCGGCCGCACCACCAAAACCGACGTCGTGCTTCCGGGAGGATACCGTCTGCCCCCGGACAGCGTCATCATCCCCGCACTCTACGCCATCCACACGAACCCGGACGTCTGGCGGGATCCCTTCCGCTTTGACCCGGACCGTTGGGATACGGAGGAGGTCAAACAGCGCCACCGCTGTGCCTACATCCCCTTCGCGACGGGTCCGCGCGGCTGCATCGGGTTCAATTTTGCCTTGCTCGAGGTCAAGGTCCTGCTGTCGGAGCTGGTGTATCGGTATGAGTTCACTCGTGAGGGGCTGGAGGCCGTCGAGTATGATCCTGAGTTCCAGCTGATTCGGCCGTTGAATTTTTATGTCACGGCTAAGCGGCGGACCAGTTGGCCGAAGGCTTCTGCTCGGTGAGAGGTAGGGGGTGGGGGGTGGGGGGTGGCAGTATGGGCATACAATGGGATAGAAATCGAACCTTCCGGTAAGTAGATTGTGCGCTTCTGATTCCAACGAGGCCTGAGTCCGAGTGGATGTCATGACGAGAGTACGATTATAACGTGGGTGCTTTGGGATGGCCCTACAAGTCGAGTGAGACTCTAATATAGCTAGCCGTCAATTGGTAGAACGTGTGTTCAAGATACAGGAGTAAGAATCATAGTGGGTATATGATCATCTGTACGACGTCATGTACTACGGCAAATGGCTTTCAATTACGGGAAACTAAAATTTCTTCTTCATTGGGTCGTGTCTCAAAAGAACAGGATCTAAGCATGATACTTTCGGATTCCTTAAAGCATGTCAGGTGTGAAAGAGACTAGACCGCCACGGCAACACAACGGCAAATTTCGAAGAGAGCCCTAGTTTCCCAATGAAGACATCGCATTAAGATCTCGAACAGTACCAACCTACTGCACGCTGGCAGACCAGTCCGAGACGGTGAGCGTAGCGGGACCACCCGTGAAAGGCTCGGTGCCGAATTGGAGCGCTATCAGGGAATTTCCATCAGAACAAAGCTCTCCCATAGACAGTGTTTGGAAAAGTGGGGGGAGGAGAGGTTGGAATGGCTTACTGATGAGATACTGGCTACTGGCGGGGAAGCCGTGGTTCTGCGTCAGGTACTTGAAGAAATCGTTGACGTCGCCCTGAAACGAGGTGATCGGGGTCGGAGCCACAAAGCTGTAGGTCTTCTGCGCGCCGTTGACGCCGTACCACAGCTCCCAGGTCTGGCCCTCGACCGTGGCGGTCGCGATCTTGGACCCTAGGGGCTGGACGCCGCCGTAACGAGCAAGCCTATTTTAATAGAGAAGCAGGATGAGATGATGGGCTCGGTTCGCGTGCCGCTGAGCTTTCTAGGCGCGCTTGGTTTCAAGAGGAGGATACATACCAGATCATGAGCTCATAGTCCCCACTCCAGGTGACATGGTTGATATCCGCTGCGGTGAAGAGATCGTAGGCCACGTCTGCGCGGATGCCCGTGTTGTCATAGCTCCACCGGGCGGCGGTGGGGATCCGGCTGATCTGGCTGACGAGCTTCTTGTTAAAGCTCAAGCCGGAGTTGGCGTAGCTCTTAACCGAGTTCTCCCCGCCGGACCAGTTCCATTTCGTTGACCAAGATGTGCCCGCGCTGGAGGCGGAGTTCACGGTGGTGCATTGCGAGCCGGAGCCGGCGTCTTTACCCCACAGGTTGTTGTTGATGGTGTACACGCCACCGGTGTAGGTGGCGTATTGATCGCAGAGTTGGGTCTGTTGGGCGACGGCGGCGCCGGCGAGAGATGCGAGGAAGTAGAAGGCCTTCATTTTAGATGATGGGAAATGCTTGCTGTGATGTTTGATCGGGGATGAGGTGCTGGTTACTGAGATGGTGGTTCTGAGCCGAATTTATAGCTTGGAAATCCAAACTACAGCGGGAGACACAGCCTGAACGCGATGCATGTCCGCTGCCAGAAGTACGAGGCAGTTGGCACATTTGGCAACTCGAGTCCGAAGCTAGTGTATCAAAGATGAGGATCTTGGACCCTTCGGGCCCACCCGCCGGAGATTTGGGTAGGGAGACGATCAGCCCGTGCCGAATTATGTGATTCTAGCGGGGGATGTCAGACTTAGGCTGTATCTTGAAAAGTCCTGGGGGAATTCTTCCAGAAGAGCATTGACCAATGTAACCACGACTTCGAAGCGCTCCAGATATCCCGACTGTAGCCCTCAATACATTCACATTGACGATGGCAAATACCTCCCGAGTGGTCCTTCAGACGCGGGACGCTCGCTTCAGAGCTAGCCTACAAGGTACTCCCCAATCAGCAAGTGTATCCATGTGAGAGTAATCTGGAAATAGACATCTAGTTTAGCGTAAGCGGTCGTCTGATTTCGATTTGGACGTTGCACTGCTTGACTCTGCGACATGATCGTACGTCCCTGCAGGGTAGAGCCCCTATCTGCCAGGCTAAAGTGGATAAATAGACGCCAGCAGGGGTGATCTAGGCCATATACCTCATTCAAGTCTGCATAGACTTTGAAGGCCCTCCCCACCCGGTATTGTCTGACTGCTGCCGGACCAATCGGCAAATCATTGGTAAAATCTGGAGAAGTGTTATCGGCGAAGCGTCGGCAGCACTGGGGTGGGAACTGTGCAGGAAGCTTCGGCATTGGTGCCCACAGCCCCCGTCAAGAAACAAGGGTCTGTTTTAGCCTGAGACTCCGACTCCGACGGCAGAAGACTAGTGTGCTTGGTGTGCGGATGTTACGACGTGAAACAAATCTGCCTGGCTGAGGTGGAGACTCGCGGAGATGCTCCCGTCGGCAGTTTATCACGACTTCAAATTGCCGGCTGGAGATGTTAAGCGAGGGGCGATCTGCAGGCTGCAGGGCCAGGCCAGGGTCCAGCACGCTTTAATGCGACTATTATTGCTCGGTATAAATTTAGCCTCGTTTCTGGAATGTGGGGCCGCACCCTGAATGACCGCCACAAAGTCAGGTAAGGGAGACAGCAAGGGCAGAGGCAGCTGAGACATTGGGACCTAGCTCTTTGACTGGAGACTCATTCCGCGCTCACTGAAAGCCCTTCTTATACTGTCATTCTTAGTAGCTTCTAGAGGCCAGGTGTGATATTACATCGCACTGGAATATCAAGGGTCACGACGGGCCGGGGCGATGTGGGGCTCAACGACAATCGGCAGAGCCTGCTGAAAGCCTGGCAATAAACCGAGGTTGACTGGCCCTCAATCGGCATAAGTCCAAGTTTTTGGTCTACAGTTAGTTAGAGGGGAGCAATTGTTATACTGATGGTTTTAGTGCAGAAAGGTGTGTATGTACAACAAGTTGTAAGCTTGAACTCGGATCTTTTGATGCTGTTTAGACATTCCTAGTTTGGGATATATAATAGGCACCTACCCGCAACCCAAGATGGTCGAAAATAGCACCTCGTGTTTGCTTGGTTGTGCCTAAGCCCTGGACTGAACCTAATGCAAAATAAACAAGCTCTAGATGTTTACTAAGCATGGGCCATTGTGAATCTGGTAATACGCCCACAAACCAGCTGCATCGTAGACCTATTCAGTTCACGTTTCATCATTATGGGAGATAGCAGTTCTATAGGGGAGTAGAATGAACTTGAATTCTGACCTGAAAGTACACATTGAACAGCAGCAGAGCAAACATCTGTCAAGGCTTGAAAAACAACTACTCGGGTACGATATCTTATACGAGTTGACCCGCATCCTTTCTACTCACGAGTGGATGCGTCTTGTTGAATAAGTTGGTTGGGTCATACTTCGCCTTGAGCAGGCGTAGCCGGTCCAGATTCTCGCCAAACAGCTCCTCAACACTGCGGTCGCCAGCTATACTGGCAGTCAGCATAGTTGAATTGAAGGTTGAAAGCGTACCATCGACTCACTTTCGACAAAGTTAGAATAAACCACTGCACCCGCTGCCTCCTCCCCCTCCCTTTTCTCTGCCTCAGCGGTGATCAACGCCTTGAGATGTCGCCCTTTCTCCCCCGCGCGCGCATCATCCTTCTCATCCGTCCACCAGATCTGCACGACCCCATTCTGACACCGACTCCGGTTCGCAAAGGCCATCTCTTCCCGCGGGACCGCGGCCACTTTCTCGAGATGGCCAAATTCAAACACGATGTACGACTTCACCCAGGCCGGCTCCTGCTGAAGAATCGCCCCTAATTCCGTGAGCACCGAGCGCGCCAGCCCGGGCCGCAGCGGCATCGCGAACGAGAAGCCCTTGGTGTTCTTCCGGTCTCCATGCACCGCGATCCCATTCAACATCGCGTTGACCTGGCAATACGGAACCATCGCCAGGGTATTCATGACGGGATCCAGCTCGAGCAGCGGGGCGTACCGTCGTCTTGCCTCTTCCTCACTCGTAATCGACACTACGGCTGCAAGGATGGTCGGCCCCGTGCCCCGGGGCGCACCCGGAGGCACCGCCAGAAAGCAGTAGATGGCTGATCGACCATCACCCCCTTCCCCGTCATCCGCCACCAACGCATTCGCAAATTCCACCACACTCTCCAGCTTGTCCGGGGTGAAGCCCAGCAAGCCTGCAAAGACCTCATCCTTCTGCTCATACGCCTGGAAGGTAAATTCCGTGACCACCCCGAAGTTATGCCCGGCGCCGCGGAGCGCCCAGAACAGATCTGGGTGGAGGTTCGCAGAGGTGGCCAGGAGGTTGTCAATCGTCAGCCCGTAAAGACCCGTCAGCCATCCGTAGCCGCCGCCTAGCGTGAGGCCTCCGATGCCCGTATGGTTGACGACCCCGCCGACCGTGGCGAGGCCGTGCTGGCCCAGCGCCGTGTCGACATCCTCCCACAGCGCGCCGCCCTGTGCGGTGACAGTTCGCGTCTCTGGATCGACGGTGACCCCGCGCAGGCGCGAGAGCGAGAGAAGAAGTCCACCCGCGGTGGAGGCGGCGCCGGACGTGGAGTGACCCCCGCCTGCGACGGCCAGGTCCATCCCGTGAGTTTGTGCGAAAGTGAGGGCGGTAGAGATGTCGCGCTCGGTGCTGGGGAGGATGACGAGGGCCTAGAGGGTTATTATCGGTCGGCGAATGAAAGTGGGGTAGGTAAACACACAGCGGGCTTCTCTGCGCCATCGGACCAGCGCTTGATCGAGGCGCGGTATTCCTCCGAGCCAGGGAGAAGGACGACTGAGTCAGGCAGCTGATCCCGGAGGTCCTGGATAGTGCTCATATTCAACATACTGGGCGACATGGTGGTGAGACAGTGTTCAATCAAGCAGCAGGATACGGAGGGGAGGGGACGCCATGGCAGCGTAGCATGGGGTGCGAGGCATTTATCTACATCTAGGTCTCTGGTTCACAAAGGAGAGTCAACAACACGAATACGAGGTCATTGGTCTGAAGCTTCGTTGGTGACGCAGGGATACGGGTTGATCTTCTTTATCTTCCCGCCGTGTCCCATGGTTCGCATGAGGCTATTCGGTATCACTGGTTCTAACTCGTGATTGGTCACCTCAATGCTCAACAGCCTGCGTATCAGGATATGTCTCTTATTTACTTTGAACCTCTACTCAACGATTCGTAGTGCCAGTGCAAGCATGTATGACCACAGATTTATCCAAGTATCTATAGCAGGCGGTGGCGAACATGCCCTAATTGCCGGCAACGCTGCGATCGGGTGTAAAGCTGACTGAGCGCATGAAAATCAGCTGCTCGACGGCACCTAGCAATTCGACCCTGCACCCGAACACCACTGCTGCTCAGTGGGTAGGGGACGGAAAATATGACATGCTCTAGATCTGTATCCGGCACATACGACCACAGGGTGTGGAAAACAGGGCTTCCCGTCCGCTCAGCCGTACTTAAGCCACACGCCGGGAGGTTAGTAGTTGGGTGGGTGACCACCAGCGAATCCCTTCTGTTGTATGTTTTTGCTTTTAGCTCTCTCGCCTATCGTCTGTGGCATGAATAGGTAGGTAGGCAAATCAGTTATGAGCCAGCTCGGAGGGGATGCATTAGTGGGAGAAGGTTAGAAATACCAAGACTTCCTGTGACCCCTTAGTTCTCATGTCACATTCTACACTACTCCCACGACCCTATCTCTTTGGAATTTCTTTTCACCATACAAACATTAAGATACATATCTGCCTCTCTGTCAATTGTTACGAACATCAGGATTGAAGGGGGGTTGGACATCCTTATAATCTCCAAATATTCTGACTTTTGTGAGGATTATGTATTTTCCCTTTTCTAGCCTGCAGACACTAATTTTTAACCATCTTGGAGCTCCTAGCCCTGCTTCCGCCGGACAATACCCCGTTGATAGCACGCCCGAGGAGGCGCGGCCGCCAACTGGTATAGGCATCCACCTGACTACGGACTGCAGAGAAGCCACACGGCGGGAGACTGGGAGATTGGTGGCTGACCACCGGCGAACCTCTTCTGTTCTGTATGCATATTGTGCTGTTGTAACTAGGTCTCAAGCATTTGGTGCTTCTCCTTGGTTCATATCGAGACCTAGATTACGGCTGTTTCTCTGTGATGGTCGCAACCTTCTTGTCAATCAACGCAGTCTTCTTCAGCAGAACACAACTAGGATACAAAATGCTTCTCAATCTGATCTAGACCCTTAGGCACCTACGGTCGCCAAGTACTCCCTGCTGAATGGATAATCCACGTATCCCAACGCCGAGCTGATCTGATAAAACGTCTCACGCTGGTACCTGGACAATTCGACCCCTTCCTTAAGCCGATACACCAGATCCGGATTCGAGATGAAATGCCGTCCGAACAGCACCACGATATCCTTGGTTGGGTATTGCTCATCGACCAATCTCTGCGCCTTCTCCAGTCCATAGCCTCCCGCCACCAGAATAGGCCCATCCCAGCGCTCGATTGCGAAGTCCAAGGTCTCGTGGCTCTCATCCACACTGCCCTCATAGACCCACGCGCCGTATACCCGCGTCTCAACGAGTGAAAGGTACGCCAGCCCCAACCCGCCAGCCCGGTCAATAATGTCCGCAAACTGAGGGATCGGATCAGCCATGCGCATGCCCTGGAACCGGGACCAGGGACTCAACCGGAGTCCCACGCGGTCCGCGCCGATCGCCTCCACAGTCGCCTGCAGCACCTCATACAGCAATCGGGACCGATTCGCCACGCTGCCCCCATACTCGTCGTCGCGCTGGTTGCTCGTGTCCTGCAGGAACTGGTCCAAAAGGTATCCATTGGCGCCGTGGACCTCGACCCCATCGAACCCGGCCGCGCGGGCGTTCCGCGCCGCTGCTGAAAAGTCAACGACCGTCTGCCGGATCTCAGCCCGGGTCATGGCCCGCGGCGTCGGCGCGGTGGGGTTCTCGTCCGCTGGGATCGGGATCGCGCTGGGCGCCACGATATCAATCCCTTCGCTCGCAGCCAACTCCGAGTCCGCCGCCCGACCCATCCCGAAGAGCTGCACGTAGATGAAACTGCCCCGCGCGTGTACCGCGTCGGTGATCTCCTTCCATGCGGCGATCTGGTCGGCTCGCCAAATTCCGGGGGCGTTGGAGAAGCCGCCGCATGCGGTGGCCGAGACCAGGGTTCCCTCCGTGATGATGAGGGTGCCAGGCTCAGAGGCGCGTTGGGTGTAGTATTCTTTCATGAGGGGCGTGGGGATGCGGTCCGGAGTGGCGCGGCGGCGTGTTAATGGGGCCATTCCGATACGGTGCTGAACTTGGATGGCGCCGATCTGAAGAGGCTTGAAGAGGCGTGATTCTGTCATTGCGGTGGATTATTGAATTTGACTGAGTGTAAAGAAAGTGAAAGAACAAGCTTCTCTGCTTTCCACCTGACTGCTCATGAAAGTGGCAACCCCGGCACATTTATATATGTTGCCCCTTCCTGCCTTCAGAGCTTGTGAGAACAATCGCCATCGTAGCTTACAAATATGTAGACCCCAATAGAGTAGGAAGTTCTTTCTTATCTCAGAATGATGATATATCACTCCGAGATGTCGGAGTTGATAAGAATATCTCGCAGTGGTCAAGGACCGGGTTAGGGCAAACAGATTGTTCCCGAAAGGGAAAAGAGATACTTCCTAATTAGGCCTAGTATGTTTCCGTCCTTCTGATTTCTAAGCAAGGCTGCTGAAGGTTGAACGAAACACTTGCATACCATTCTGTGCAATTCATGAGAAGCACATCCATAACCTGTACCATACTGGTTGCTAGTTCAAACAAATATGGCCGGAGAGTTTCAGTTCATCGCGATACAGGTCAATGAGCCCGTAAAGGATAAGGCAACGCGGCGCCGGGCGCGCTCTCACGCGCTCAAAAAAGCACTGGAAAGGAAGCGGAAAGACCAGCAACGGTCTAGGACCAATTTCATCTTAACAACCTTTGAAGACCCAAATCTCAGTCCTGATTATAATGATCCCGTTGAGACAGCCAAGGCATGCGTCATGACTCGAGACAGTCCACCAGCTCCGATTTTCTCTCTCCTCTCGGATGCTCTGGATCCGTTCCAGACCCTTGCCGTGGACTCCTCCAGGCTGCACGCGTTGCTTGGTGATTGTAAGTGATTCCACCCCCATCTGACCTTTTCCTTTCTTCATGTCTCACTGACCGTCTGGTGTCCCAGACAGGGCAAGGCAAGCCCCCGAGCCGGTCTTCAGCGTGGCCGAGGAACTGGCCTTCCAGAGCTTCCGATCGGTATTCCGAACTGGCTTCCATGACCCCGCTCTAATCAATGCCGTGATGCTTACTCTCGCATTTGCCGTCACTGGCGGAAGCCTGGATCAGGAGTGTCTGCGGTACCAGGGTCAGGCGATCACATATATCCGCCAGCGGATGGACTCGGAACATGACGCTGCTTCGGAGGCGGTTATCGGCGCTATATTGCTGATCGCGGGTGTAGGCGTATGTTTTCTGAAATGATACATCTGAGTACCTCATCCAGCATTTTGTTTGCTGATAACACCGACTCCCGAATAGGCGCGCCTTGGCCTTAAAGCCCAGGTTGAACTTCACATGGGCGCAGTGCAGCAGCTTCTAAAGGTCTGCCGAAGAAAGAGCATCCATCTGACTCCAGGAATCCAGCGAGCCATCTTCTGGTGAGTGAGTCGGACCCATCTATGCTGCTCCTGTGATTCGTACTGTTATTTCACCAATTTATATGATGTACTGACATAATCGCGCAGGCAAGATCTCAACTCATCGCTCATGGTAGGGTCCACACGCATAGTCAACCACACCACTTTCGCACCCCTCCTCTGGACCCGGGACACCTTCGTGCCGAATTTCTACCGTCTTCCACCAGGGTTGCAATCCCGATCGCATATCTTTGGAGAAGAGTTCAGCACAGTCCTCGAAGACCTTCATGCCCTGCAATGCATCCGGGATATTCCGCGATCGTCGCACATCGACGCAATGGGCATGCTCCATATCAACAATCACGTTGCGTCGATCCAGTCCCGACTCAAGACCCTGTCGGGTTTGAATCAACTGCAGGAGTGCTGTCGTCTAGCCGCGTACCTGTGCTCTATGACGCTGTGCTGTAAGATTTGGTGTGAGTTGGTGCTTCCGGTACGTACTCTTGCTGAATATATCGTCCGAACTCGTTGAACCAACATCATTGTTGCGAGTAGTCCCACATCTCCAAGGAACTCCTTGTGAGCCTGCGGGGGCTGCGTGACGACATCGATGCGGCCGTATGGAACGACGATCCCAATGCCGATCTGCTCGTTTGGCTGCTGTATATCGGCGCCGCATTCGCACCGGCTGATTCAACCCGCTTTGGGTATATGGGCATGCTCGCCTTCCATTATCCTCACTTCTCGTGGCCGAGATTGCACGAGCGTATGCGACAATTTATCTGGTCCGATGACGCGTTCTTGGTGCCGGTCAGGGCGCTGTGGCGGGAGGTCTCGCAATATCACGTGGGGTGATTGTTCAAATCAATGTTTATTGTGCATTCCTCCACCCCAGACCTCCATTGGCGGCAGCAACTCCTACTCCGTATGGGGTGAGTAATCGGTCATTATTCCGGATACTATACGCAAACAATATGATCGGAATTGCTTGCCTTCGATTACGTATTCCTAAGCTTTGTGACCCTACTGGACACAGTTGTGCGACTTACATTGTGGATGAAAAAAAAACTAGTAGGCCTTCTACGTGGCTGCCTCCGATGATTGGATAATATAGACTTCACTTGGTCCAATCCTGCCCCCACCTCCCTAATAGTATGGCAGTGATGAAGCTGATACTGCTACAAACGGACTGATCATGGGTTCCTAGCGGTCAGTGTTGACCTCCGTCACATATCACAAATGTAAAAAAACCACTTTTGGTATGATTCTTGTCAGCGTTGCTAAGTCATCCGGCCACGTCAACTATTCAAAGGGCCTTTTCATCTTTTTACAGGCGGGAACGTAGCTAAGTAGTTCCCGTCACCAAGAAAATCAAGAGACTTGTCCCAGCAGCCTACCTTTGAAGCTTCCCAAATCGTCGTCAATTCTGATCAAATTATATAATCGCAACCAGTCGGTCGCACGGACTCGTCCCTGAAGACCCGGAGGACACATGACAGGCTTTAATGCGAAAAAGGGTGTGGTGACGCGTCACCCAGGGCCCAGTCTAGTCACGTAGTTATGTATTACCGGGTACTAAGTCACAGTGAGGTGTGGGCCCCACTGGTCGTTTCCTCGACCATCGTCGGTCTTTACACTAACTTACCTAGTAGCCACATACGCAAAGTGACTCCACATTGTCCAACCTTGGATATTCCAGTCTGTTTTACTGCTAAAATACCCTTTTACCCTACCCTTGCAGTGTTCAAAGTTCTTCTACCGCTTTCCTGGATTTCACCATGTCTGTTACCACTCTCCCCCCGGAACTTGTCATTCAAATTTGTGGATACCTGGAGCTAGCCGATTGGTGCGCCCTTCGCCTGACCTGCAAGACACTCTTTCTTCAATTGCTGGAAGCTTTCGCTGACTCGTCATTCCGCACAATATGGGTGCTGGTGACAAGTGAGAGTCTTAGCCGCTTGGCAGCGGTTGCTGGGAACGCAAATCTTCGCACGCGCGTGAAGGATATCTGCATAGTCCCTATTCTATCGGAAGAAACACTTGAGGAAGAGAGCTCGCGCCCGCGCAACATATCTGGAGCGCCAAAAAGCACACCTGTCTGGACCGCTATACATGGACAGGAATCTCTGACCGGTGCTGAACTCTGCAGCCGTTCCACCGCCTACCAGGCTATTGTGGCGGATCATCGTCACATATTGAACACGGGGACCTTTGCAAGAGCTTTTTCTGAATCGCTCGCCTGCTTCGAGAATCTAGCATCTGTCGGACTGCGATAATGTCCCATCTGGGTCCTACTTGATCCGACCCGACCAGTGGAATTCCCCTGTTTAGGGATACGCCGGCTCCGTAATCAGCTACCCTGTGTCATGGAAATTGCCTCTGCCAGGTTCCCGGGGCCTTTGAAGAAAGTGGCGGGCAATACACATGCAAGGGCTCTTGCGGCGATAGTAAATGGTATCGTCATAGGAAAGCCAGAACTCCGGAGATTCGAGACGTGCGACAGTCGCCACTGTGGCGTGTCGGCACAGGATCTGATAGCCCTCACGACGACAAAACCGAAGTACAAAGGTTTCCTAATCCTGTTACGGAACCTCGAAGCCCTCCATCTGTGCCTGTGTAACGCGGACAAAGTGCCCGCCAGTCAAGGTAACGACGATCGTCTGCAGGATGCACTAGAGATGGTGGAAACCGCTGCACCCAGCTTACAGACCCTCATCTTCTCGCTCTCTTGCGCCCCATTCAAGCACCTCTCGCCACGCACTTTCTCCCAGTTATCGCAGCGCGTTCACTTTACGCGGCTAGTGGAGCTTGAAATCCGTGACATTGATTTCACTCGCGGTGACCTTCAAGCATTCCTCCGCTCCGCTACAACCACTCTCCAGCGTCTTATCTTATACAAGGTAAGCCTGGTCGACACTATCACGCCCGCCTCTTCCTGGGATCACCGCGCCCCTTATGTCGACCGAAGGCAATGGCGTAAAGACTACAAGTCAGAGATCGGACTTCGGTGGCGGGCAGTTTGGGAAGACCTTCGCCACGATCTCCTCTCACTCCGGTATCTCCGCATGGACACGCTGTTATTCTGCGGCCATATGATCGAGTTCAATGATCCTCCGCGGAGCCTCAATATACAACGACAGCAGGCACGCCGTATTTACACTGTCACTTTCGAAGCTGATCACGCCCATACCACATTGAGTGAATGGATCAGCGATCTCAAGCCTACTCCGTCCGAGACGGTCTTTGGTAAGTGGTTTGCAGCGGTTCCGTTTGGGCCCCTTCAATGCTGGTCTTGACTCTATCCTATGGCTGTGTAGACCTCGAAGACTAACGTAGCAGCAGGTTTCATACAGCCCGGGCGACCGGCGGAGGTGCCTTCGACTCCCTATTTTCGCCGTGATCCGATCCCTCGACGGGCGCCAGCTACGGCTTAAGTGGATAACGGTCTGGCTAGGTGTGGTGAATTCTAACGTCGACAGCCTCCACGAGACCAATGGCGACACTGCAAGCCTGGGTGTCCTGGGGATAGGTTAACCAAGCTATTAGTCTGATATGCCATTCGCCTTTTATGAGTATCATCTACTGCGTACGTTGATTTATATCTTAAGTAAAGGTTGTCGGGAAACTCTTCTAGGCTGACCAGCTGGTAGGCGTATTTGAAGTATTTTCTATTACAGTGGGTACCCTGTCAGCATACGGATATTTAGACAAAACGGTTATTGGATATGCTCTTATGTTCTTCCTTTACCTCAGGTTCTTCTTCTGACGAAAAGCTCTTCCTGGTCTAATATATAGTACTCTTACCAATACGTTGGCCTGAGACTATCATGCATGACTGCAAGTATCGCGAAGTGTCCACACTGAGAGATGCTCTCCAGATCACCGCTTCAGCTGAGCCCCTAGAAGATACTTCCGAGATAGACTACCCCGATAAGTCCAAGACGGCGATGGAACAAGGATTAAAGACAGGGCAAGAGGTCTCAGCGAACCAGACGCAAGATAGGTACATATCCCGGTGATCAATGTAAGAGATACCCAGTGAGGTGCTGTAAGGGTTTGATCTCTTCACGCAAGCTGAGATCGAGTTGCTGCCACAGTTATGGTTTATGAAGGTATGTTATCCATCGTGTTCGACCGCATCGACTGATGAGACTCCGGAGCTTTTATTCTGTCTGTTGAAGGACAAAAGCTTGAGGAATAAAGACCACCGACCACACGCCTTATTCATTAACAACAACCAGGCCCCCATGCATGCTGGCGGTCGCAAGACATACATGAAGCCCCAGTATGTGATGCAGGTGAGTTCAACAGTGCGTTTTCTCACGGACTACTCGGATTCTTGCGCAGTGACATTGACTTTCATGATCGTGAGAAAGGGTCTTCCCGATCAGAGCCTCGAAGCGAAGCCCACGCAACATGATTCTGCGCTCTATGTCAGTAGAAAGGTTCATTGATATACCTTGGAGGGCAACTGATACGTTTGATAGATGCCATTTCTAGGATGGTCCGATTGGCCACGCAAACCGGACCGCAACAGCCTCGAGCAAGCGCTTCCGGAACCCGTTCAGTCTCAGGACGACCCCGCAGACCAGGAGCAGCCCTACATGACCCTCGACCAGTACTACTACTCCTCGATCAGTGACACCACAGAAAGAGACGGTGATCAAGTTGTTGGGCGCTTCACCAGACCGGAGAACAGACCAGGACCGGCCGGCAGGCCATCTTCGAATGCCCCTCAGAACACTTCTACAATATTCATCGTGAACCAGCTGTGGCTCTTTACGCTTGGCGATAGTATGTCTCCAAGATGCCCTTGAAAAACCTTGTTTTCAATGCCGTATTGACGTTAATCCTGCCAGAAACAATTGTAACCTTCACCACAAGAGAAAGCACGGATGCCACCAAGGGCTTCTTCCAACGAGTACTTGCCAACCTGAAGAGCCAGAAGAACAGAGCACCTTGGTCAGTAGAAAGAGTCCGCGAGATTATCCTCAGCACGGCGATCGGGATGTTCGAGGTACCAGAGATCGGCTCAGATCCAAGCCCGAAGAAGTCGCCCCTCGCCATCTTCCGAGAATCCATCCAGAATGTTGTGAGTCGCTCGCCTTTTCTTTTTGCCCTGCGGTCAGAGACAACGACTAACAATTAAGGGAAGCGTGAGAAAGAAGCTACACTATACAAGTCATTCTGCGAGCAACTGGAGGATGACCTCAAAAGAGAAAAGTCGTCGGAAGGGCGAGACGAAACCAGGGCCGTGAAGATTGGAAGATTCTGCAAGTCACTCTGGCTTTTCATGGCCGACGCTGTGGGCCTTCGCCCTTTACGCGAACAGAACATACACACTTTAGGGGCTGATAGAACGGGCGATATGTTGTTCGAAGGAGATGATACTCAGGCTGTCGTGGCCACAGGGGCCAGGTGAGACTCCATCTGAAGAATGACCTTAATGCCAAGAGCGGACGATTGATTCCTCAATAGACCCGATGCCGGAAACCAGACAGCGCGTGTGCGAAGACCAAACACAAAGAAACCCAAAAAGGAGACCATTTCCGCATCGAAGAAGGAGTATGATAACATCCTCGCGGAAACAACGCTTCTACGGGAGATCAAGGATATCAGCGACGAGCTCAACATCCTTCACAGCTTGGCGGAGGATCAAAAAAAGGTGTGCGACCGGCTCTGAGGCAAGGAGTATGACCGCAAGGCAGGCTTCACCTACGAAACTCCTTCTGAGATCAAAGGCGAGATCGAAGAGATGATCAAAGATGCGGAGACCGTCCGGAAGTCCCTTGACATGCTGCTTGATCTTAAGCAGAAGCAAGCGAACATCAACGAAGCGAAGAGCAGCCGCAAGCAAAGCGAAGAGACTGCCAAGCAGGGTGTTGCTATCATGGTGTTTACACTTGTGACGACCGCCTTCGTGAGTTTATCCATCTTCGCATAGTTCAAAGCACTGAGTTAACGCTTGCTTTAATATTCAGCTGCCCGCATCGTTTCTGACGAGCTTTTTTGCTTTGAATGTGTCTGACTTTCCTCATGTCAAAGGGAGCGTCAGCTATGAAGGGAAATGGATCTTCCCGATCATATGTGAGCTTGTGGCACAGACCATCCCCCTTTCGCGGATATGGCTAATCCTGACCCCTATCTAGTCGGTGTCTCTGTAGCCGTCTCTTCGATTATCGCGTGTATTGCTTTTCAATTGACCAAATGGGGTAGACGCTGGAAAGCGGTGCAGACCAAGCTAGATAAGGATATTGAGGCAGGAGACCAGGCATGAGAGCCAGGGCGTGATAACATGGACATTCATACGGCAGTCGCCCTTCCTCTTGAGGGCCTTTTATCCACCCACCTCTTCGAATATGCACCCTTTTACCCGTACCTCTCTCGGCGCTACGATACCCTCGTCAGCCACTCGGCGTATGGAATGTCATGTCACTACAAGTCCTATTGACTCTTAGGCCTATCAGGATTACGTGGCTTTCAGCCGGACGGCCTTACTACAGAAGAGCGCTGTATGGGAGATTAGTGTATCTCGTCTCGTGTATTAGGGCTATGCTAGGCGGGGCGGTCTGCTGGGCAGTAAAGCTGTTAAGTATCGAGATCTTACGGCCACCGGGCTTCTGGAATGTACCATGTATAGCCTGCGGTGGTATACTATCTCACAGACATTCGTCTTTGTGGTCATCATAGGTCTGTAGTCATTGTAGACATATGATGCACAACGGCTCTGAAAGGCTGCGACGGCATGAAACAAACCCCAATTTCAAGCGCCTCGGACCCGCCTTATCTCGAATTACATAACGAATAAGCAAAGTGTAGCCCAGATTGGGTATGCATTCAACCAGCCCATGGTTATTATGACACAGATGCACGGACCATTTCGTTAATACAACCATGTCCATCTGTAGTCTGTAGGAATAGGTCAGCGAGAAGCATCAAGTCTCACACCATGAACAGCTTCACACAAGATCCTGAAACGCCTTGTCTGTGTTTGTTACGTCCCGATTGCCCGCCACCCCAGGACTATCTCCACCAGACTCCGAGTCCGACGGTGATACCAGGCCCCCTATATCCAAATCCTTAGCACGAACAGGCGCCCAGTCCTTCGCAGTATGACTCGATCGCAAGACCTCGACCAGAAACCGATCAGTCACCATCGGATACGCTACGCCGGTCCGGTTCTCTCCGTCCTGGGCTATCCGCTGTAGAAGGTCCGCCCTGAGCGCCTCAGTCGCGAGCGCGGCCCAGACCTCCGAGTTGACCAGCCCCTCACTGTGGGGCCAGGAGCGCATGGCATCCAGGGCCTGAACCCGCAACGTGAAGTCCGGACACTGGGTCGCCACGATGTGCAGACCCCCGATGACCAGCGGTTCGATGATAACGGTCGTCGTGCTGCGGGCGATGGCGCCTATAACAGCGAGACTGCTCGACAGCAGGGTAGTAAAGTCCGCGAGGATCCGGACCTGGTCACTGGCGTCACTGGTGTCGTGTAGCGTGAGTTTCAACGACAGAGTCTGGACGACCTCCAGGTGACGCAGCAAAGTCACAGCGCGGTGTTCTTTGCTGGTTAGCGTATGCGCGTGGGTCTCATAGAATGAGTTGAGGGCCTGAGTGAACTGCTGGTACCGTGAAAGAATCCGCTGGCGCGCGAGCCAGAAAGCGTCGTATTCAGCTTGAATCTTGGCTTTCGGCGTTTGCCACGCGTGGCCAATAAAGCCGATTGACTGGTTGCTGATCCGCATGAATGCGACTCGGGCATCGGCCACGCTTTGGATAATGATAGGCTGATAGTTCGTCACCCAGTCCGGCTCTTGGCGTTTGGTATCGCCCTGTTGCGCCGTTTGGCAATAGAGATCGGATTCCATGTCAAGGTGATGGAAATAATCGACAAGCGCAGGATCGATCCTCTGCCCGCGGGACTGTGCTTCTCTCATAATGCGCACCCCGTGTTTGGCGTGCACAATGGTAACGTCGAAGTTGCCCCGCATATGCTCTCCGATTACAAACAACAGGCAGCAGATGAGGACGGTGTGGATCAGCTGCGGGTCGTTGGATCCCTGCCGGCGGCGCAACAAGGCTGATGCCCGCACCGACTGCTCCAGCGCGAATTTCAAGTGATCGTCATCAGACTGTGCCCCAGTAAGTCGCATTCGATTGGTCTCCGCGGCTTGCTGGATCGCGCTCAGCATGTTGACCGCATGGCAAACGGCCGGTTCCGTGAAGCTCAGTCGCAGAATGTGACTCTCCCAGAGTGGGGAGTCGAACAGCTCCGCTACACTGGACACGGTACGGTGCTGGAAGTACGAAAAGCAGCGTTGCTCATCCGACGTCAGAATCCACCCATGTCTCTGGACCGAGATGGCCCAGGGAAGGGTGGTTTGCCGTCCCCATGGAAGTCGATGGAGATCATAGTCGCATTTCCGACCGGTGGAGGTGCAGTTCTTGCACGCGTCGGGTTGCTCGTCGCATCGAATCCGCCGTGCACTGGGTGATCAGGTCGCGATCATTCAAGGCGGTCCCTAGCAGAGCACTTACCGACAGGTGCGGCATCCCGTTCTTGATCTCGTATATGTACGACGGCGGATGGGTAATACGATCTCAGTACCAGGCATGGTAGCTTTTTAGCTTGCCTGCAGGCAGATAGCAGCAGCGTGGCACTATAATGATCTCTCCGTTTCTGCAGCACGAGACAGGGGGAAAGGCATTCTTTCCAGCGCAAGGAGGCACACACACACACACACACACACACACACACACACACACACACACACGGTTACGAAGCAGTCGCCAACGGTCGCAAACGCTAGTCTTGGCCCGGACTAGATCTGACTGTCGTCAGTGGTGGAAACATCGATCCGATAGGAATAGTTTTCCTTGCATGAAGTGCGATCCCTTCCTCGCGTGTTGTCAGTGGATGTATTTGTAGCCCCTGAGAGGCTGCGAGGCTGCAGGAAATGTGGGTTCTGTGCCGTGTGTCTAGTATTAATTGAACTAATGCCACTATCGGACTTTGGCCGCGGGGCTAAGTTGTCACGTGCCATCGCTCGAGCCGAAGACTACGTTTCGCACCTAGCTACTAAGTTTTACCCCCTAGCTTCACTTCTCTGTACCTTAGGGGAAAATGTACCGTAGTGGTCGACCATCGGTGTTATCTTGAGGAGATAATCCTTTGATAATAGTTGTGTATTTGATGTGTATGCATAATTACAGCTAGCTGAACATCTGCACTTAAACAAAAGCATTGGGGCAACGCGGTGTCGGGGATAACTCCCCCTTCGGGGTTAACCCTCCACTTCCCGAGTCCCCCCGCTTTACCTCGGAGATGGAGAGATGCTTATGGAAAGGAAGCCGCGGACAGACCCTTCTAGAATTTTCAAACCTACTGTGCATACTGCACACAGCCATCTTTGAGCCTCAAATCAGCAGGGCCCAGCCGTGCCTTACCGTATTCACACACTACCTCTACTCAATCCTGTAAAAAATGCCAACTAAGCTGCCAGTCATAAAGCTTAATTGTTTTGTGTCTCGGTCCAATTTCACCAAATCCTCAGCAGAAAATTATAATTAGAACCGATTTTCCAGGTGGAGATCGCCCACTGTGTAATCGATTTCTAGTACAGTATCTGTTCTCTTGAGACCTGCTGGAGTGAATGGTATCCTTGAAGATTGAAAGATTTAGATAGGACAAATCGCAGGGTAGACAGTACAGTAGTCTCCCTACTTTATTCCCTCTCTCTACTGTACCGACCTAGTTATTACATCTTCTGACACCCCATCTCGAATCCTATACAGGACCATGAGCGCGGGACGTCTTCACCGCCAACAGCTGCGCAACTATTCCACAGGGGAATCAGGGGATCATTCCGACGTAGACTTGCTCAGAAATCACCAAACAAGAGTTCGCATTGAAAGCGGACGAGTCTTTCGTGGCCAAACTGTCATAAATTTCAAGAGACGAAGTGGGCGAGAGCATTGTAACGGGTATCCCTCAATTGACCAAGGCAATGTTGAGCTTAGAGAACATGGCAAAATATTTAGTAGGGGCCTACAGGCACATCGAGGAGCAAACCTCATAATATTTTGTGTATCTGGCTTGCAGAAAGGATTTCTCCCTCTGTCAGTACCCTTATCATCGAGAGTTCAAATGACGACCAGCGGTGCTATCTACAGCGTCTAGTGAATTGGAATCGTCGACGCCCTGCCGGGCTGATCTTCTGCACGTGACTTGCAACAATCGACCAGCCCATAGTTACTTACTGTTTGTCTTAGCGGAGATCAAACTCTCATCATGGGAAAATAAAAGCATGGAACCCTCCCATGTTTTACCATTAGATTTGCCCGATCGCCAAGAAAGTTACGAGTCATGGGGCGAGGGCGACCGGTGACGCTCCACCGAGTGAGTCGGTCGGCACGTGACCTTGTCGGGCAGGGTGGCCAGGTATAGTGACAGCATCTGCTTGTGCTAGAAGTAAGAATGTGGAATGCCAGGCAGGGTTCCCAGTGCACTTGATAAGAGATTGAATCAGACCCTCTATCGCTTTATGTTTCCTCGACATCGGAACTCAAACAAACACCAAAGCCCCGAGCAAGTGGAGCAACGCTCTGTACGGTCCTGCACATCCCACATCAACCATACACATTCTTCTAACAACTCAACCCCACAAAGACAGCATAACAAAAACCAAAGAGATCTCAATAGCAATCAAAGAAGTCCATGATGACCGACGAAGAATCCCAACCCCCAACGGAGCTCTTCGCCATCCCCGAACCAACCGTGACCTTCCTCCCGGAGACCGACCCCGCCCACCCGACGGTCCTCCTGGAACCCTACCACGTCGACCTCCTCCCGGAATACGACTACATCAGCCAGGAGTACCTGATCTCGGGCGCCGCGCAGGGCCACTCGTACTGCACGCGCCTGCTGCTCCGACGGCCCGCAGACCCCGCCCGGTTCTCGGGGTTCGTGGTCGCCGAGCCCTCGCACCTGTGGGGCGGGACGAGTATCTGGCGGCATGTGAATCGGTGGGTGATGCGGAATGGTGAGTCGTCCTCCGATGCTTCTATTTGATCACGCGATCACGCGAAAGCAACGCGGATTGATGGAACGGACCTGGAAGAGAATGCATCTAACACAACCCCTGCCGGGGGAATGAACGGGATAGACCACGCCTGGCTCGAGATCGACTCGCAAGCCCCCTCCGCGATCGGGAAGCTCAAGAACGTCGATCCCGAGCGCTACGCAGCCATGGCCTTCACGCCCGGCCCGACCTGCGATGAGTTCTCGGACAACATTCCCGTCGCGGACGGGAGCGAGGAAGAACCTCTCTCCAAAGAGCAACTCTGGCAAGCCTACGACGCCTTCAAAGCGCAATGGTGGCCCGCCACGACCCAGTCCCCGGAGATCCTCACCGCGGCGTCGCACGCCCTCCGTGCGGGCCTGCTGGGCGGCTTGACGGCGCGGTGGGTGGTGCTCAGCGGCCTCTCGCAGACTGGTGGCCTTACTCGGCGGTTCATCACGCACTCCGGACATTTGAGGTTGCCGGATGGGGAGAAGGCTCCGTTTGATGGGTTTTTGCCGTGTCAGTCGGGCGGGACGGTGCCTTTGCCTGATTGTGTGTCCGGGGGTAAGATTTTTGAGTTGCTGGGGGAATCGGAGTTCTTGTCGGTGCGGTACCCCTGTGGGGTGAGTGGGCAGATGCATTGGGAGAGGACGGCGCATCGGAGGCCCCAGAGCGAGGGGTATAGGCTGTATGAGGTGGCGGGGATGGGCCATCGCGAGTCGAGGTATTTTTCTGCGGTGGATCGGGTGCGGTGGGGGGAGAGGCCATCTCTCCCTGGGGTAGAGGAGTCTGGGGAAGGTGAGGGAGAGGGGGTGAGGTGGAGTACTGTCGCGAATTCGTTCATCTATCATGCTGTGTTTGAAACGATGCGGCGGTGGATTGTTGAGGGTGGAGACGGCGGGTTCACGCCGCCGGATAGTGTGTGGATTCGGACCGTTGGTGAGACAGATGAGATCGCGCGCGACCGCTTTGGGAATGCATCGGATGGTGTTCGGACGTTGCATACTGAGGTGCCGGTGGCGATAATCGTGGCGGCGACGCCTCGCGGGAGGCCGAACTGGTATTGTGGTGAGTTGAATGTCCTTCTTATCTTGAAGAAGACCACTCCTGCTCCCTGGATGCAATGAAGCCAATCGCTAATTGATGTATACCAATTTCATAGGCTCGGAATGGCCGTTCACGGAGGAAGAATTGCTGGCGCTGTATGGATCGGTGGCTGCATATCGCAGGCGGGCGGGGGTGGCGATTGCCCGTCAGATGAAGTCGGGCTTCCTTTTGCCTGAAGATGCTGAGGTTCTTCGGCGCGAGACAGTGGAACGAGTGCATTTCTGAAGGAGCGGAACGCATGAATGGGCTCAGCATACACTAATTGCACTAGCTATGGGGAGATATGTCGGAATGTGAATATGAGATAAGTTCATACTAGATCAGAGGGTCCCTGCATCGACCGTATACTTCGATGACACTGGCTCTATGCCTGCATAACGCGTAGCCTTTGCAAATGATACTTGTAAATGTAGAACAGCTCACAGAACCACAAAACGAATTATGAAATGAATAGCCAAGAGACGACATGTTACAGACTAGCAGAGTACATTTGACGGATTTTGTCCCCGATATACATCAGTCCCCGGATTCATGCCGATCGCAATTAGGGCTAGGAGGATCTGGTCCCATCTATACTTCTAACAAAATTCAAGTGTGATATTTGGAAGATCCAGTATGGAGGCTTAAATCACGCCAGGAGATGAAACTACCTGCACATCTTTCGACTTACGTCTCATATTATCGATGTACAGTATATACCTTTCAAAAATCCCAACTTCCCAACAAACTGAGAACCAACACCTAGTACCCCACCCAATAATTCAACATCTTCTCTCAATCGAACGATCACATAACATACCGAAACGTCTCCCACTGCTCGAAATCCGTCCGGTCATCATCCTCATCCTCCCCACCAGCCTGTCCAGGATGATGACGCCCTGTCGAGAGTTGCTCGCGCCGCCGATTCTCGTAGTTGTACCACGCCAGCTGGAAGCATGGGACGATGATCATTAGTGCGTAGGTGCCCACTATCCCTTGTCAGCATTGTTCCCGGCGGTGTTCCGGACTCGCCGGGTAACACCGTAACAGAGAGAAGGAAGATGGAACGTACTGAGCATCCGAAACGCAAGCTCATATACCGGGGCTTGGCTGTCGAGGAAGAATTCTATTACCCACGCGAGTCAGTCAGTATGTCACTCACACTGCTTTCTGACATTCAATGCCGGTGGAACAGATCAAGGGGTATGTTAGAAGGGAGCACTAACGTGGCCCGGCAACCAACCCGGCCGCCCAACCGGCGAAGATCACTCCGTTCGCTGTAGCCTTTTTGGTATTCCCCGCGTAGTTGGAGGCCATGAGACTTGTGTTGAGTGTGAAAGACATCGTATGTCTGTTTTCTTGCCCATCTCGGGGACTTGTTAGTTTACAACTGCTCAAACGTGTTTCCCTCACTGCAGAAGATTATCACCAGAAGAAAGGGCAAAAGGGCACGCACGTGTAGGTAAGATAATACCCCGCCAACCGGCCCGCGCGATTCTCCAACGGCAGCGCATGCAGCAGCGACGCCCCGATCAAGGGTGGCACCGAGACAAGCATCGACAACCCAAGCCGGATATTAGGACGGTGGGAGGCAATGTACGAGAACACCAGGAAGGTAGACAGTTGGATCACCGCCGCCGGGCAAGTGGAGACGATGGTCGTTTCGAGGGTCGAGAACCCGAAGCCGGAGACGATTTGGCTGGAGAACTAGACCACCCAAATTCACATCAGGATCTATTTCTATGAGGGATGCAAGTAGATCCGTATAATCAAAATCTTCACTGAACAGAGGGCACGCCTACCATACTCGCGAAAGTCGACGGCATGGTATTCCCGACCGCCGTAACGAAGAACATGGTCGTCTGCGGGTCGCGCAGCGCCTCCCAGAATTGCGGCCACTTCCACTCGTTGGTATTCGAGTTGCCTGTGTGGTTGGCCCGCACGCGGTCGGCGGAGATGCGTCTCTCTTTCGGGGTGAGCCAGCGCGCGTTGGCCTGCGTGTCGGGCATGAGGAGGCTGAGGACGACCGCGTAGGCGAGGCCGAGGGCGCCGAAGAAGACAAAGAAGAGCTTCCACGTCGGGAAAGATGGGTGCACTGCGCTGCTTTAGCTATGGTCTGTCACATCTTTCCACAGTCTGGAGCACATGAAGACAGAGGGCTTGGACGTACTCGATCCCAGACCGTAGGATATCAACCCGCCGCAGAAGTTACCAATCTAGGGCCCCATCAGACAAGACAATATCAGCCTGGCAAATTTCCCAACAAACGCATCCTCTGTCCACTTCTTTGCATTATTTAGAAAAGAAAGAAACCAACTCACCGGCGTTCCCCCCAACCAAAACGCCGTGCGAAACGCCTGCTCCGATCGCGTCCACCACTTACTCGTGACAATCACAAACACGGGGCCGATGATACTCTCCACCAGTCCCAGAAACAAGCGCACGATCAGAATCCCAACGAAGTTATAGCACAGCGCTGGACACAAAAACACATTCATCAGAAAACCACACTACCCAAACAGACAGCTCCTAAAACGAAGGGCCAAACCCACGCGTCAACAAAGTAATGCACGCCCACACGGTCACCGCGCCGGAGATGAACTTCCCCACGTGCTGCGGCCACCGCTGCACGAGCTTGGCCCACATGAGCGCGCCCACGATATATCCCAGGTAGAAGGCACTGCCCAGCCAGCTGTAGTCGGAGCCCGTCAGGTGGAGGGCGGTCTTGATGCCGAAGATGCTGCTGTAGTTGAGGAGGGTTTTGTCGAGGAACTTGATGCGGTCGAAAAGGAAAAGGTCAGTAACCGATGGGAACAAAACACACCTCTTCTCGCAAAGAGGGGGACGGAAGACGCACGGAAAAGACGTAGCACATGCACAGCAACGGCAGAAGAATCAGATCGATCTTGCGCTTCACGCGCCGCTCTTCCTCGGCGGAATAGATAAACACCCCATCTGTGTCACCCTCCTCGGACGCGGTCCCCTTGTGCAGGTTGGGATCCTTCTCCGCTTCTTCGTAGGTGTACTGGTCCCCCTTGGGTCTTCCCTTTTCTTCCCCGGTCGGAGAGGTGTCCAACCGGTCCATGGCTGTCGTATCGTAACGTAATCACTGGATCCGGCACAAACGCCTACAGCTGGCATTAGCAACAGGACGTTGCTTTTGAAACGGGCTCGCAGCAAGACCGACGATAATTAAAAAAAAAACCCGAAAAACAAGGCTGAATGAATATATCGACAGCTCAGCAAGTCTCACAAACCACAATCTAAAGTGGAGAAGGACACTGCGTTTTATCAAACTCCTCACTTTCTTCCCCGCATGAGGTGTTCATCTAACTGGAGATGGTGGTGTGGGGAGAAACGCTGAGGAGAAAAGGGGGGCTGGCTAGCTGGCTGGGTTTGACTAGGGTTGGAGTGCAGCGGTCGACCTCAGCCGGTGCCCGATTGTGTCGGGATAAACATGACGTGTCAGGTGACACTGTCGGGATATCCTCGTACCTTTTGGGACTCATGCATCCTCGTGAATGGTAGGTGCTATCTTCGTTAGTGACATCTTATCTCTGGCACAAGCGTAACTAGTTGTGGGATTATCATGGTTATCAGAGGGTCCGTGGTTCATAGGAGTAGGCAACACGCTCAACCCTGATTAAGACGTATCTTCGTCTCATAAGGATACACTTTGTCGTGTAGGCAATCTTGTGGCTCCCTGGAGGAAGATGGCATTGTCGAAGAAAGAAAGACAGAACCTGCTATCTTACCCCGTGCCCCTGTCAGCACCTATCATTGAATATCCTGGCTATTCCTATCACGCACATGTTTGCTTCGTCGCACACCACGCAATCCCGGACCTCCATGCGGGGTAATATGCACTTTACAGCGTTCGAGTCCATCTTTCTAATGGCAAGCACATGAGCGCGTCGAATTGAAGAAATCTAGTCTTCTAGAAGCAAGCGCTCGGGGTAATCCTTTCGCGATAATGCGAAGCAAATCAAAACGTTCTCAATATAAATGACACACGTCTAAGGCCCAGATCAAATAAAAACCCGCCCCTGCAGCCGATCCATCAGTGTACAAATGTCCACGCCATCGTCGTCACGCCCCCTCGCCGTAGCAGCTTCCAGAACCTCCCGTGCCTTCTGGATAAACGTGCCCCATCGCTCGCCTTTCCTAAAGCGATCCAATACCCAGTCGCGATGGATCAAATCCGTGGTGCAGATCCCGGCCAGCAGGAGTGAGGACGGCGCCAGCGAAGAAGGGCAATCGCGGCGGGAGGGATCGTGTTGGAACTTCAGGTGGCAGTGCAAGATCCGGGAGACGGAATGCTCCCATCGGATACACCGTAGAGGCTGAATCCGTGTTGTTAGCTATCTAACCCAGGGAAAACGTAGGGGCAGAAGGCTGGCTTACGTAGAGAAGATAGAGATACAAAACCCCGGCATGAAGAGCCGCCAGAACAAGATACTGTGCATATGCAGATGCATCCATGATTCCCGGATCTTCTCCTCGTGCAGTGCGAAGCCAGTCAGCCTCGTCCAGGTCGTGATTCTTGTTGCGCATTTGCTGCTCCCAGTGCAGGATCTCATGCACGACCTGGCCATGCAGTGAACGAACCTCCTCCGTACGGACTGGGGAAGGGCCCAAGGTGGCACTTCCAGCCTGATGACGCAGACGTAAATCCAGTTCAGCGATCTTCATCCGTAGCAGGTCTGCCCGCAGGAGACTAACCAGTGCATGGTTTTGATTGCTGTTGCCGTGGTTTGATGATGCCGTTGGGCCGGCATCCGATTCCCGTTCGAAGATGAACGACATCGCCGGAATGTGGCGTAGCGACTGAATCAGCTTGCCCCCGCCAAGCCTATAGCAGGATGCGCGAGCGTCTAGTATCGCTAGTCGAATCACAATCCGCTGGGCCAGCGAGTACGGGTTCTGTAACGCCCGCTGTCCGCGTTCAGACATGGTAATGTGGGCGGCTTCGTTGACAAGAGCATGGAAGACCTCTACGTCGCCTGCAAGAAGATGAACCTTCTTTGCGCGAACAAATAGCGCCGAGAGAAGGCTCTCGGGCTCGGAGATGTTGTGCTGTTTGCACACTTCAAAGGAGTCATGCGCGAGTTGCTCGAAATGCGACGCCTTCACAGCATACGTGCGGTCTTCCAACGCTAAATGCGACGCGGAGAAGGCAAGAATGGCGTACAGAAGAGGCTTGAACAAGAGCGATTGGGAGAATGCAGTGATATATAAGTTGCTAGCCCCCCGCGGACCATCATCCACTTTTGCGTAGCCCGTCATGGTGGTCAGATAGTGTTGGATCAAATGCTGCTCCTCGGCGCCTATGTTGGAGATCTCCCAGGGGAAGAAGCCATCGCCATTCGTGCTTTGCTTATCGGGACACAGTTGCGTAGTGGTACTCTGCAGCTCCAGGCTATGTGGAGAGGGAAACGAATCCGTGAGACTCGTGGGGTCTGCAAGCCCCCCAGCAGACAATGAGAGCGAGCGGTGGTCGAGAAGGGCTGTCCCGTGGTGGAGATTTAAATCCACCGGGGTGAAGTCCAAGCCGAACTCGAGGTCGAAAGGCAGGTCTCCCAGCATATCAACGCAGGCATCCAGTTCAAATGAAGAGGTTTGACTGGCATTGGCAGCGTTGCCTTGTTCCGTAAGCCTTGGCACATCGACGACTGGGCTCGTCGCTGCATAGCCGGTACTTCGCTCCCCTCCACTCACCCGAGATACCTCGTTATCGCCACCTGTCGACTTAGTAGGCTTGTTTGCTTTGGTGTTACGCGATCGCTCACGTCTGCGACCGATGGTTTGCCGTCGTTTCGGTGGTGGGCTGTAATGTTCTCCGGCCACGGGGGCGCTCCATCGGCACTCCAGCCCTAGTCGTCTGCAAGACGCACAGCTAGATAGCCCGTCGGATGAGCTCTCCTGCGCTTCAGACTTGCATCGAACCTTTCTCACCTTGCAAGTATAGCAACCTACAAAACTGATTAATGGACATGAACAAGAGAACAGTAATGGAACACTGACCAGGACAAGCTCGGTGACGTGCAGTCGAAGTGTTTATAGCGAGCATGGATGAAATGGGACGCCCTCGAGGGGCTGTGGACAAGGAGACAAATAAGTGTGGATGGAATAAACCATGCGAGCTGTGGGCGAAAGCAGAATTTTGGAAGAGAAGCGTCAAAGCCCCCGCGTGCTGACCACGCGATGACCTTAAGGTAAGGGATGACAGGCGTGGTCGATGGTTGACAGGGATTGTACTACCCTGGTATCAGACATGGTGGGATATAAGGTACCAGGTAGGTATCTCGGTCATACGCCACCCAACCTTCTGACAAGAACCAGCATTCCGGATTGGGTAAGAGACTCACCGCTTGTCATCGAGCCCTATCTTTAACTCCCACTCCCTGCAAGGTTGGTATCAGCCCCCTCCACTCTCAAGGGCCAAACCGCCTGTAATCACCTCCATCACATCGAGTCACATGCACGGTGAGTTTTGCATGCATTGGGTGACTAATCCCTGCATCCTCGCAACCCCACACTGAAAACACACCCAACCACACACACACATCAAATGTATATTAGATATGTCAGCGAACTTTCCTCTTTGTCTTTCCACCACCACTAGAAGCCGAGCCCGGTCGAGGAGAAGGCCGGGGGTTCAGTACTTGTGACAGTCGAATATTAATGGCCTCCCAGTCCGGCCCGCGATCTTTTTCTGGGATAGCCAGTAACACGCATCGCGCATTCCTGCCCGCGGGTCGTGAATGCCTTCTGCACCAGTCGCACTGCTCCCCGTTCACCCGCTGCTCGGCATCTGCCTTCTTGGCTAACAGCTCCTCAATTGCCCGAAGCTTTTGCTTGTGAACTGCATAATGCAACGGTGGCAGACCCGTGGTCGCATGAGGCTTGTTCTTGTCAGCCCCCCTAGCGATGAGCTTGGTGAGCAGTCCATCGGACCATATATCCACAGCTCGGTGCAACGGTTGGTTTCCCTGGTAATCAAGAATATTCAAGTCAGTTTGTGGAAGCCCACAAAAGAAACTGATTAACTCCCGGCGGGTTTTCTGAGGGGACAGCTTAAGGGCTTCATGCAGTGGAGGGCAGAACCCCGACTCAGCTGGTGGGTTGTCGTTGACAAGTTCGGGGTAGTGGTCACAGAATAGTCTCACGAGTGCAACTTGGCCTTCTCTTGTCGCTTTTGAAAGGACAGGAAATCCGAAGGTGACAGCCAATGGTTGCCCGGGCTTGCTGGCGAAGAAGGTCGCGTAGCATACCGCTCAATAACTCCTCCGACGGCGACAATTCCATGATAAACTCAGCGAGAGACTTGCCGTCACTGGCCCTCCACTTTGGGTCCGCACCTTGCGCTACCAGGAGCTGCACGACAGCGAGATTGCCAGACTTGACGGCGTACTGAAGCGGCGTCTCTTTATTCGTGTCCTCGATGTTCATCGCGGGCGCTTTGTGAAGTAACGTTTGAATGATCTCCCGATTAGCTCGCTCCACTGCATAGTGAAGCGGTGTCTTGCCATCCTTGTCTCGGAAATCTGGGTCTGCCTCTCGCTCAAGCAGAAGACGAACAAGACTCAAACAATCCTCCTCAATCGCACAATGGAGCGCGGTCCTCCCTTTATGGTCCGAGGCATTCAGAAAGGCACCTCGGTCGAGAAAAATCTCTACAAGTTCGAGGCTCCTGGTGCGAATAGCGTGATGTAGTGGGGTTTCCTGCTTGTGGTTCTCGATCTTGACGATGGTATTCATTCGCTGCAGGAGAATCGTCGACAACCCAACCAGTCCTCTGCTAGCAGCTAGGTGCAACTCAGTGTTACCATTATGATCTGCCACGCCAATCTGGACGCGGCTTTCGAGGACGAGATCGATGATCTCCGAGCGACCGCTCCGTATGGCGACATGCAGCAAAGACTCGCCTGCGGCGTTGTGAATTCCCGTGCCTGCTCCCCGATCCATCAAAAGTCGACACGCATTCTGATGCCCCGATCGCACAGCTTTCATCAATGGTGTAAAGCCGCTGGCCCCTTTGGATGTGCTCCGGGCGTTGATGTCGGCCTTGCTATCTAGCAGTAAAGAGATAGTGGAGGTCTGCCCGGCTCCCGCCGCCGACATGAGCGCCGTGCTGCCGAACCCGCTTCGCTTCTCCACTGTGGCACCACGCTCAACGAGCATTTGCACAATTCCATCGTGTCCCAGTCTGGCAGCTAGGCATAGAGGCAGATCCTTGTTCGATGGTTGGTCCACTCCAATTCCCAGATCGAGTAGCAGGCTGACCCCATCGACGCTGTTGGAACGAATCGCGTGGGCCAGAAATTTCGGATGCTCTTGCGGGCTTCGACTCTCACAGATCCAAATAGACTTGAGAATAGCGTATATGCGACTCCGCTCGCGATCGCCGGCTTCTTGGGCTGCATTTGCGGTGAGCTCGTGGGTTGTTTGGCGTGGCTGGAACTGTGGCAAGGGGATCGGCGGATCGTCTGGGTCATCTCCATCTCTGATACTGCTGGGAGGAGTAACATAGGTGGATGGTGGGTACTCGGAGCGTACTTCAGTTTCTTCATGGCTTTGGTAGACCTCTTGCCAATGAGAGGCTTCGAACTCGACTTGGTCTTGCAAGAGCTGTTGAATGATGGTGTTTTGGTACTCGATATGGTTTGCGAGTGGGTGTTGCTCGAATGGCGGGCGAAGACTGAATGATTCGGCTGGGTCAGGCAAAGATTGGGGACAATCATCACGAGGCCATGCTTACCTGTTGGGGTCGAAGAGCCGAAGCACTTCGCGGAGAAGTGCCTTGTATTGCTGCAATGCCACCAGGGCCTGTAGCCAGCGACCGGCGACATAACCTCGCGCACCGTAGCTGGAGCCATAAAGTCGCAGCTGCCGCTCCACTAGATTGATAGTGTTGCCGCATCCTCGCAGAAGCGATGCAAGATATGCACTTGCAGGCGATATATGTGTCCGTGGCAGAACTATGCGTCGAAGCAACGATCGAAGCTCCTCATCTACTCCCCCAAGTGTAGCCAAAGTTTCATCTTGCGACGGATTAAGATAGGGTTCAAATTGGAGCTGAGACACTAGGACGGTGACTCGCACATCGTCGAGTAATAAGGACTGGGTCAACGAAAGAAGGTCATCTTCTACGGCGACCTGCATGTTGGCAAGCACGGTAAAAGGAGCAAGGAAAGAGCGGCTCGAGCGGCGATCCAAGCCACCAACAGTGAGTTCATAAGGAAGGGTGGGTGTAAGGTTTGGGATCTGAGCCTAGGGACAGGAGAGAAGATGAGATAAGTTTTACAGTGATGGGGAGATTGACAATAACAGGGACCCATTATAACTGACAGTGTAGCCCGATGAGGCATACAAGGCGTTGTTGCAGCTCCCTCTGAGGCCGCCTCACTGCCGGCGTTTAGTCATCGACATATGCTAGGCAACAACCAGGCGCGGTGAGTCAATCATTATGGGCAGAGTGATTCTGCAGACACTCGATGATGGGAGTTTGGCTCTCTCTCTCGTCTGGGCAGCAGCAGCCCTTCTGTGTCTTAGGTAGCCATGGGATGCCTACCAAGTGGCCGTCGACAGCTGTCACCGCGGTTATTGGCCGCCTTGCTGCAGTAGACACCGTCAATAGCTGACACTTAGCAATCTCTTGATGCGAAGATCGCCCAATTAGCCAATATCATAAGTCTTCGTGCTGACTTGGGGGTGAATTGCCCCTCATGCTTGATTCGCTGCAGGGTTGATCCCGACCCCGCACCGCTCGCTACGTCATCGGCGCATCTGTCAGCTCAGCCTACCTGGCAATGAGGAGAAATTAGCCTTTCTACCCATTTACAATGTGTTATTAATAGAAAATATTGTTTCAGTGTGATTCTCCCAAGATTGAGTGACTCGAGCTACCGGCGATGAGACTGGTTAGGGCAAGATCATTGTAGAGCTGAGTGAAGTATGTAAAGCTTGAACGCTTGCATTCGGGCTCCATCTGGCCTCCCACGGCGCTTGCCCTACTCGCCTTCGTTGAGAAAACAATGACACAAAGGGAAGGGCAATGTGGAACAATGTCTTGGATTTTTGGTGGTTGTTATGCTGAACGGACTTAACCAATACGTACTACGTGAGTTCTCTGCGTGAATCGCCTCGGATCACGTGGCCGGAATCAAGGATGGACAGTGGAATTCCAGGTGCCTGAGGCACTAGAGACGGTCACCTGACAGACGCCTGTCAATCTGCATCAGAATAACGATCCTCTAAACCCAGACTATATCTAGAAACTATGGAATGTCACATCTCGCAATTGATGTTCATTTCTAACACCCGAAACAGTCCGGTCGGCCTTGGCATAATATAACCAACGCCCTCGAGGGCTAATGGCCGGCCTCCCCTGAAGACTATTCAATGTAGAGATACAGGATAGTGCTACATATATTGCTCCAGGGCTCTAACCCAGGTAGATCCATCCCGCTCTCACCGACCTTGTTCAGAAAGCTTGCTCACGCTCCTCACTCGATCTAAAACCGATCAAATACTCACATCAGCAGATCCCGATGTGAACCATGAACTTCAGGGTCCAGCCCTCAGTCTAACCCCCCAGCTCCGCAATCCTACTACTGTAATGCCACTACATCAACCAGAATTAGCTAGGTTCACAGACCCCGCATCCAGACCGAAGGAAGCAAATGCACTCACGCTCTCATCCCCGGCCCCGATGACCGGTAACTTAGTCCACCGGTTCGCCCAGGAGATCGGGACCCGTTCCGTCACCAAGCGCGCCTCGTCGGCAGGCACCCGCTTGTTAAGAATAACCTCTACGGGAAGAGTCGGATGCAACACCGCGGGTCGACCGAGTCCGATCATGTCACAGTCCCTGTTCTGCAAGGGGTCGATCATGCCCTGGCGGGTACGGAAGCCTCCCGTCACCATCAGAGGCACTTCTGGGAATGAGCTCCGAATCGCGCTAGCAAAATCCAAGAAGAACGCCTCCCGCGCTTCAGTCCGAGCCGAGGGTCGGTGTCCTTGGATAATTTCACTCATCATCATCTATCTAACATGTTAGGCACGGTAATACAACGCACCCCCTCCCCCACTTCTTTATCGCATATCAAGGATAAGGAGCATCAACAACTCACAGTAGGCTTCTCATACGACCCTCCACTAATCTCCACAAAGTCCACCCCAGCCGCAACAATCAGCCGCAGCTGCTCAACGCACTCCTCCAGTGCCTCCGCGGACTGGTGATCCACCGAGTTGAGTTTGATCCCGACGCAGAACCGGGGCGGAGTCGCCGCGCGAACGGCGCGGATGATCTCAACGACCAACTGGGCCCGCCGCGCAGCGGTCCCGCCATAAGCGTCGGTGCGGCGATTCGTGCTCGCCGACAGAAATTGGGCGAGGAGGTAGCCGTGCGCCGCGTGGGTCTCCACCCCTTGGAATCCCGCCTCCGCCGCCAACCGCGCCGCGTCCACGAACTGCTGCACCACGGTTTGGATATCGACCTCGGTCATGGCGCGGGGCACCCCGAAGACCAGTCGGCTGATCGTCTGGGCCATCAGGCCGGGACCAAAGTCCAGCGGTACGGCGCTGGGGGCTAGGTTCTGCGCGCAGAGGCTGCGGCTGCCTGCGCCCATGGGGGACTGGCGGCCTGGGTGGTTGAGTTGCACGATCGCTGGGGTCTGGCGGGGCGTGGTGCAGGCACTGGCCCAGGCGCACCAGCGCGCGAGCTGCTTGTGTGTGCTCGTGGTGGGTTTCATGGTCACGTCGCCTGCGCCGTTGAGGTATCGGTGGTCGACCTGGACGTTGCCTGTCGCGCTCATATCGGAATTATATTAGCTCAATGCGTGTGTCGTGATGCCGACAATTGTGGCAGCGACAATGAACAAAGCAGCACCAAGACCGCCTGCTACTGCTCATTGCTAAGATAATACTAACCCGTCAAGATCAGGCCCCACCCTCCGCCGCCCCATTTCTCATATGCTCGCTCGAGCGTCGGCGTGGGAAGCCCATCCCCGTCGGCGAGTTTCTCAGCCATCGCCGCTTTCACAAGTCGGTTGGGGAGTTGCAACCCGCATGGTAGGGTGAGCGGCTGTGCAAGCGGAGAGTCCATCGTTCCTCTGTTACGGTTTGGGGGTGTGGTGGTGATGGTGTTCAATTTGTTGTTTCCGGTGTTTGGGCGTTGTTTGTAGTGGAACCCCAACTGCCCGCCAGGGACGAGCGGCCGTATAGTTAAGGTATTTATGAGCTGTTCCCAGATAAATCTCCAATCGCCCCCTTGCTATTTCTTCTCTCAATGTCCATCCATTTCCTCATCTACCGAAACCGAGCAAAAGGTCATTGATAAGCCAGCTACCAGATATTTGTAAGTTCAATCCCCGCGAACCTCAACCTCACCGGAAGTCAGTTGCCAAGCATCTCGGGTCTCGGCTTTCGTGACTGACAAGGTCCTTCGGGTGTCGGGACTGGGATCTGCCACGACTATCACGCCACCTTTTTCCCCTATTGCTAGCAGTTTTAGTGTTTTGTTTTCCTCCATTTCAGGTCCGTTGCTTGTCCACAGGTGGAATGCCAGACTGCAATGGCCGCGGATATGGCGAACATGTACCAGACCTGGATCACTGGACTGAGCCACTAGGGCTTCTGCTGGGTGGCTTGATCCACATGGTGCTCGACACGTGACGCGGGTACAGTGCACCTTTCGCCGATGATGTAAGGCATGTTCCATGTTAGGAGGGCTTTTCCTCCATTTGCGTGTCCCTGGGACTCTAGAAATATTCGCCGATCCTATTGCTGGCTATACCGTGTCACTTGAGACGATTCCCGGCAGGAGAACGCAGTCGATGGGATGGAGAATCATTTTCTTTTCGAAAATATTTGTTTTTATAATAATTATCATATTGAAATTCGTAGAACTGACTATATTGATAGATTTTCTATGAAGAAACGAGTAATAGAGACTGAGAAGAGGAATGAATGGCATTGTAGAAAGTTTATCCATGACCCGCATTCATAGTGCGATTGAAGTCTGGGTTTGTGGAACGATTCAAGAGATATGAAACTGACGCACCTTCAGTCTGAAAGTTGACATAATATGTGTTTGTGAAGTGCCTTCATGGGATGGAAAAAAGAATTGCAACTCACGGCAGTGTTTGGTATCTTCTCGAGCAGCGCACACTGCACAATGAACCGGGGCGGTAATGATGGACCAACCACATATAAAAGAAACCGGTGGAATCCGGCGACGACAAGAAAGAATCAATGAGTAAAAATGGAATGGAAGAGGATTTTGATAAAACTAAATGACTGAATAAAAGAGGAGTTTGATGGAACCGAGTGAGATGTCCTCTTATGATCCTGTATGGCAGAGCCATTTACAGGCCAAGTCCCTGCGCACTGTGTTCCAAGTCGGGCGTGTGCCGAGCGGGGAATCAGACCTTTCTCTTCCAGGAGCGCACCCGGAAGAAGTAATACACCGCGAGCGCGAACACCACGTTGAATGCGATGTACGCCCACAGCAGGCCAAAGTTGCGCCACCGCTGGCTGTAGTATATCTCGCGGCCCTCGAGGTACTGATCCGCAGCCTGCAGGGGGCAGTACTGGCATTGCTCGGTGCTGTTGGGGTTGAGGAGTGTGCCCGCGGCATCTCCTGCCGCCTGAAGATACGCCTCCATGTATTCCCCACACGTACTGTAAGTGGGCGGGACGTCGAAGACGCTCAGTTCCTTGTCGGCGCAGTGCACGGGACGGCCGCTGACGCCGGTGGCGATGATCGCGTTGACCAGGTAGGTCATCGGGGAGACGCGGTACATGAAGGTCCAGAAGCCCGGCAGGGCGACTGGCGGGACGAGCACCCCGTTGAACACCAGGGTCATGTTGAAGAGCATCGTGGCGATCAGGCCCGCGGTCTCGGCGTCCGGGAGCACGGCCACCACCGCGTGCGCGAAGGTCGACCCGTACACGAAGAACTGCACGACCAGGAGCAGGAGTACCCCCTGGCGCTGCGAGTCCACAATCCCGTAAACCGGGTAGCTGAAGCTGGCGTACACGAGAATTGCGACTATTATCTGACACGGGACTTCAGCCAGTAGATTAGCGCCTAGAAATGCGGCCCAGTGGTAGGTTTTGGACGGCTGTTCGCGGACTTCGTAGAGGTCGCGCTGCACGATGAACTGAGGCATGATCTGTTGGACTAATGCCGTGAAGATTGCGGTCATCATAAAGACGGAAAAGATTGACGATTGCAGCCCTTGCTCCGAGGTACCAGGAATGTAGAAGGAAAAGCCGACGAAGACTGTATGGATGGGTTAGTCAATACATGGAGTTTGTGGAGGGCAACAGTGGATCAAACTTACGAGCGGAGAGCACTCCCAAGGCCAGTTTGCTGTAGATGTACTCGGGCGACCGCCAGTATTGTTGAAAGATGCGACGAAGAACAGCAGCGAACTGATCCTTGAACGGCATGGCAAAAGCGGTCTCCTCGGACTCACTTGCTGGATCGGCTTCTGTTCGGCTGCTCTGAGGGCGTGACGCGTCTTGCTCAAGAATGCGCATCACCTCCACAGCTTCGGAACTTGCCTTCCATAATGCAGGCCAATCCTGGGAGGCTTTGCTGTTGACTCCAGCACCCGCGAGCTCGAGGATATACTCGGCCGGATTCTCCGCGCTATCACACTTCCTCGCTCCTTGGCGCTCAAAATAGTCTAGCATCGTCCGAGACTCTGGCCCGATCTCACCAAAATAGACAGTGCGGCCACCCTTAGCCAGAAACAGGAGGCGATCAAATTGTTGGAACAGCATCGCGGAGGGTTGGTGGATCGTACACAAAATTGCCTGTCCGTTGGAGGCCAGCTTACGCAGCAAGGCAATGATGGTCCACGAGGACTGGCTGTCCAGCCCGGAGGTCGGTTCGTCCAGAAACAAGAGCAAAGCAGGCTTAGCAGCGAGCTCGACGCCAATGGTAAGAAGCTTGCGTTGTTCAACATTCAGCCCTTCACCCGGAAAGCCCACGACCGCTTCGGCGAACTCCTCCATGTTAAGCATGCGGATAACTGGGATTGTATCAGCAAACTGCAGACCTGGGTTCCATGCCTTCGGACGCGAGCTTACCTTTTTCCACGAACTCATACTTTTCGGCCACAGGAACGGACTTGGGCTGTCGGAGCAGGGCGGAGAACTGTAATGATTCACGAACTGTGGCGGTGTGCAGGTGTAGATCCTGTTGTTGCACGTATCCCGTGCTGCGTTGGACGCTCGCCCCGAGAGGCGACCCATTAACGAGTATGTCTCCCGTCACGACGCCCACCGAAACGCGCCCGGCTAGAACGTTGAGCAGAGTGGTCTTTCCCGCACCAGACACGCCCATCAACGCAGTCAGAGTACCGGGCTTCACCCATCCGCTGACGTTGTCCAGTAAACGACGCTTTTCCTTTTTGATTTCGATATCGTAGCAGACATTACGCCAGGTGAACGTGTCGCGGTGCGGCGGCAATGGAGGCTCTGTTTCCTCTTTCTCCTGAGGTGTAGTGAGAACCGTGGCCCCAGGCTCCTGGATGTATCGCTGAAATGCGATAGGGACATGGCCGTGACGGAAAAGCAGGCTCTGAGCCCCGGAAAACGAGCGGGAGTTGAGTTCGGTCGCCACCAGGTAGAAAGCGAGAAAGGCGATGGTGAAGGCACAGAGGATACCGAAGTTTCTCCACAGATGTTGATACTCATAGCCGTAGCTCACAGAGAGATACCGATCTCCGCTGACGAACAATTCCCCAGCAATCGCGCCCTTCTCGCCACAGATGAAGTAGGAGCCAGATCCGCTGGTAAACCCCGGGTATGCAGGAATCACGGTGGAACAAGGGAAATTCCGACCATGAAACTCATTCACAGCCAGAGCCTCAAATGCGTATCGGAGCGGGTTGATGTAAGAAATCCATTTGAACCAGGGGTGCATGCTGGGTTGCGGCAGAAGGTAGCCGGTATAGATCACTGTTGCGAGTAGAATGACACCTGCCGCCGCAAGTGCCTGAGGGATCGCCTTCGACACGGCTGCCAGGGTACGGAAGACCTGGCTCATACACAATAGAGCCATTGTCACAAATAGATAGAAGACAAAAAATGGGCCAGCATTGTAGCGTAGTCCACACATAAAGTAAAAGATAATATTAAAAGCCAGACTGTTTGCGAGTTTGATCGGGAAATCCGCACACACGCCGGCTAGGGCCTCTGAGAACGGGTGATAGAAGGCGTACGAAGCATGTTTCTCCACTATTGGACGTTGCGCATAGAGATTCTGAATTTCGGACACCGTGAGTAGAGAGTTGAGGAGAATCGCGAAAAACAACGCGGACATTTTGGAGCTAAAGTCCTGCGTTCCGAACGGTAATCCATAGAAGAGGGACCCGATAATCAGCGAGAAGACAATCTGGCCAATCATCAGGGTTAAGGTGGACGGTAGATCATTCCATACGCGTTGGTAGAACCGGATCATGCATATCTTGATCTGCATGGGGACAGTGATCAAGTAGGGAGACTTTGGACGGGCGTGTCGAGCTTGGCGCATGGCATGACTCTCTTTGAATGCTTGGGTGGATTCGGAATTGCTGGTGTATCTTGCTTCGTAGTCTGATATTTCCTGCATAAGTTGCTTATATTCCTGACTGTCTCGCCAGTGGGCTTCAAATTCTTCAGGTGTCCTGGGGACCTTATCCTCAAAGCCCGTCGAAGCTTGCCGCTCGGTAGGGTTCGTCACACTGGTCAAGAAGTCTGCAGTCGTCTGCCTGGCAGGGCAATGCCAGCCCATGCTCTGGAAATACTGTTTCGCTTGCGAGGCAAGGCCGAAGAAGATCTCACGTCCCTCGTACAAGACTGCCACCTTGTCGAAGAGATGGTAAATTGCCTGCGACGGTTGATAGAGCGTGGCTATGTGCGTTGTTCCGAAGACCTTCGAGCCAATCTGCAGTGCCTTGACAAAGTCCAAAGAAGACGCCGAGTCCAGACCGCGGGTGGCGTTGTCCCAGCAGCAAAGCGGCGAGCCTGCCAGCGCCATCTCTGCAATGGATACGCGCTTGCGCTCCCCTCCACTGACTCCGCGAACAAAGTCATTGCCAACCTTCGTGTTGACAGTATGTGACAAACCGAATATCGCCATCACTACATCCCGCATGTGCGTGATGTACTCATTTCGAGACATTCCATCAGGGCGAATCTTGGGGGCGCGTGCCGCTGCGGCAAAATCAAGTGTTTGGCTAACGGTGAGATGAGGAAAATCTGGTTGGATGTTTAGCATGCATATGACAAGTCGAGGCAGAGGCTTGCGGCGGCTCACGTTTCTCGACTTCTTGGTTATAAAGAATCTCTCCCTTGTAGTACTTCTTCATCTCCGGTTGCAAGATCCCATCATAATTGAGGACTGCATCTGCGGACAAGTCAAGCCCCTCCGTCTCAGCAGCCAGGGTTTTCAGGAAAGTCGAGCACCCAGCTCCTGGTCTACCGAGCACCAGTAGCATCTCACCGTGCTCGAGACTCCCGTGAACGTCGTGCAGAATTGTTTTCTTCTGTTTGCCACGCCGAGACAGACTTCCCCGCACCGGAGCTAGGAGGTTCGACGCGACAGTATGCTGGATTTGAATTTCTGCGCCATGGCCCTGCACAGTGGCATTCCTGAAAGCCACCCCTGTTCGTCTTGCGGTTCTGTCTCTCTCGAAATGTTCCACTTGATGCTTTGTCCATGCCAAATAATCAAAGTCTGGGCTTTGAGGGTCAAGAGCTGCCGGTTGGGCTTCATGTGAGTCTTTGGGTTCAGCTGCTGGTTTGGTAGATTGTCGAGTGGCGATCTTCCTCAGTTCCTCGTGGCCAGTCTCGGGCCAGGAGGTATCGTGTGTCGTCGATCCATCATCGGAATTGCTTGCCGTCTCTTTCTGAGTGCTCATAGTGAGTTGAATCGTCGAGAGTGCCACGATCGTTCGATAGGAGGAGGACTCGACAAAGGTCGAAAAGATGATAAAGCGTCGATGACATGGTTTATAAATGAGTGGGGGGTGCGAGAGCAATGATAAGAGCTTGAAAAATGCTGAGCCTAACGACACACCAGCAGATGGGAACTGGTGATGGCTGGGCCCACTTAGGGGCATTCATCTTCCAGAAGGGAGTTTTTCTTTGGTTGCATGTGAAGTTGAAGTAAATGAAAGACTATCGGAGTTGGATCGAGAGCCGAGAATCGAGAAGCTGGAAGGGGCTTGCTTGACTTCCGAGACCCGAAGTCACCTGACCTCGGAGCTGAGGAACTCCGTCCGTCCCGTCTTATCTTCATCGCCCCTCGGTTTTCAACCTCACTTTCATCGCTTCCCATCAATGCCAATCGATGCCCATGCCCGGGCCAACTGCACACAATTGAATCCACAAATGCCAGACCGACTTCAACCTCGAGTCGCCAAGTCTTGCGACAACTGCAAGGCGAGGAAGATTCGCTGCTTACGTAAATTTCTCCTTTGTCGCTCTTCATATGCGCTGCCGTACCTGTCTGATCAGTGATCTGATATTGATGTGAGCATTAGGACCACCAACAAGCCCCTTTTGCACCCAGTGTCAGGTATGCTATGCTACTTGCAGGCGCCAGTGGTAGATGCGTCTCTCTACGGTGGACACTGAACTTGTCACAGAAACGGAACATTCGCTGTAACTTTAGTCTGACACGGAGGCAATTAAAACCCAAGGAGTCCGCGGCAGGGCCAAGTCCAGGTAGGAGGTGATCAACTAAATCCACGGAATTGAGTCCTGATGTATAGTCGATGCAAGCAAGCTTGTCTGCTTCCGATGGCATTCGTACTCCGTTCTCTACCTCCACGCCTACGGATGGCTCACGGTTGTATGTCGACCACATCCTTGTTGACCGACGCGCGGACGGAAGGAACCGTGGCGCATGCTCCATCTTCAAGGTCCGGCTCCCTTAATCAGTGCAATTGTGTAAAGCTTACCAGAACAGACCCACGAGAACCACGGTAACGGCCAGCATCACATCCGCACTCGTATAACAGCTGACGATCTGTAGTAGTTCTCAGTACCGGGATGGCGTTCTTCTCCGAGAGCCACATCCGCTCCCTTACCGCTATCCTTGGTCACACGAGACTACGGGACCTTCTCGAGGGCATGGGGCAGCATATGCATCAGCATGTTCATGACGCTGGAATCAGGTTCCGCAGCCCGGAATCTCCCGTCTATGCTGCCCCCGATGATGCCGCTCGCTACATAGCCGGTCAGTCAAGGTTCCCCACCGTGGCTGAAGGGATGTATTAATGGTGGGTCTTCTAGCATATTTTGAAGCCCTGCATCCCCTTTCGCCTTTCCTCGATCGCACGAAATTCGAACAACAAGCTTTTGAACCTCGACTCGCGGAACTACTGGTAGAGAGTGCCCCATTCAGTGCCTTATATCATACTGTTCTGGCATCAGGATGTCAATACACTGAAGGTGGCTCCTTCAAGCCGGGGCAAGGGAAAGCGTGGAAGTATTTTCAGGTGGCATTAGGACTATTCCCCAATCTCCTTGGGCCTTCTGAAGGCTTGTTCAACGTTCAGGTGCGTCTCATCCATATCTGAACAAAGCATCAACTGACTGCCCAGCAGGCTTTAACAGCTATGGTTCGTGATCAGTGTTCCTGTAGTCGACTTTCTGGGCTAACGCTGGCCCTAGGCACTGTTTGCGTCAAGCTTTTCCTGTGTACAAATAGGGGAAACCTTAATCTCTGAGGCTGCAAGAATGGTGCAAGTTCTGGGCTACAGCGCAGCCTACATACTGACAGAGGACGAAAAGCTTTGCCACAGGGTGTTTTGGGTCATATATTGGCAGGAACAAGTAACGTGCTTCTTTCGAGGACGTGCTTCGGTAAGGTGATCCCAAGCTTCAACAACAATGACACATTGTTAAGCCATGTTTTAGATGATCCCCGAGTATGACATTGGCTGCCCTGTGCCAGATGTGCCCGAGGCGGTGGTCGGCCAGCTGGACTGGCTCTTAACCACCGCCCGCCTGGGCCGGTTGATGTCACGAATGTATGAGCGTCTCTTCTCTGTGAGTGCGGTCCAGATGCCGAAAGCGGAACGAATTGCAGCCATCAATTCTATGTCCGCCGAATTAGAAGCATGGGCTTCCTCCCTGAGCCCAGAATTCCAGCCCAGTCAACCATTTCGGTCTGCGAACTTCAGCAGCCCATGTGCGCATGAGATGGGACTTCAATTGCGCTCCATTTATCATGCCTTGCTGATGACCCTCTGTCGCCTTCGAATCCATCTCACCGCCGCTCAACCGGGTGAGCCCGACCAGGAAACCAAGCGCCAACTTATGAAGACAGCGCGAGCCGTGATCTATGACTGCCGTCACATCGATCATGAAGCTCATGTGCCTGTGTGGTAGTTCCTCCCTCCCAACTCTGTCCCCATACTTCTTGGCGGATAACTGACGGCCTTAAGCAGGGAGCTCGGCATTGTCCCCATCTCCGCAGTCTTCGTCATCTTCGACTTCGTCATCCACAATCCTTTCCACGCAGAGACCAACACCAACCTTGCCTATCTGGACATAGCAGCCGGGTTTTTCAGCCGGTGGGATCTCAGCAACAAAGGCTCCTTGCCGCAGTCGACACCCGCCGAGTTCTCGCATATCGCGCGAGAGTTCGTGCAGAATCTACGCGCCAGGTCGCAGCAGCAGCCAGATGCCTCAGGCAGCACCACCGGCAGCACTCTTCATCGCCGGCGATCAGACCACAGCGTAACACCGCTGGCTTCCCATTCAGTCCCCGACCCGCAAAGCGCTGGTGATTCCAGCCACACGGCTGTAAGCCTCTTCTGCCACCCAATTCCTTCTTTATTGTCCATCCATGACGCTCTAACGCAAGCACATATCACTTGAAGAATGACGAATCAGTCTCCCTCACCGAATACCTCAATACATCAGCAGCGAACCCAGACCATCTGTTCTACCCCGAAGATCCATTGCAACCAATATTGGGCACCTCGATGTTCCCGACCATGGACCTGGCGTTCATGTTCAATGCTGCTCTGTGGAGTCCTCAATCCTCAGGACCCTAAGGCCATCTAGCCTATTGATGCAGAAGAGAATTCGAAACTTCAAGAGAGTGAGTCGTTCGACAATATCGCTCACGTGGAAGTGACAACAGCCGCGATTCAACCCTCATACCAGGACAAAGTCTTGCCTATTGGTATTGGGATTTATTAAGCACATACCAGTCAATGGAAGACCTCGATGCTCAAATGCGAGTGATGGAATCCCGTACCGCTGCAAGCAGACTATATTACACTAACAAGAACAACCACATCTCCTATGACCATTCCCCAACTTACAAGCAATGATTAATATACATACCGTACCATATACATGACGAGTGCAAGCTGGAAGAGTACGAACCCGCTAGCCCTAGTGGCCACCTCCTGGCTACACTTCCGAATCATAGAAACGATATTGTGTAGTTGGGTCGCGGAGGAACCCACATACAAGCTAGATAGGGACATTGGGGGACAACACTGAAAAAGCCACCAACTACTTTCTCAAACCGTGCACACGTGTAGACACCGAACAGTGCCGACAGTAACTCGGAAGTGACCCGCCAATGCCCAAGGGACATTTTCCCTACCTTCCCCCCGAGCAACGAAAGCCTAGGCACCAAGCTTCTCAACAATCCAAGCGGCAGCGATCGGATCATAGTCACTCGCGTACGCCGAGTGGAGCGACAGACTATCTGCGCCCTCGGAGGGGGAGCAGACGCCATCGCCGTTGTTGCACCAGTCCGCGGTGACGTGGCGGTAACGGTCGTGGAGGTAGTTGATCTGGTAGTCGAGACGGGGGTATTTCTTTGACGGTAATTAGCCAAGAAAGCAAAGAAGTGAGGGAACGCATGCATGCATGTGAGGACTTACTCCGGTGACGTTCCAGGTGTTGTTACCCATGTTGTAGGGCTGGTAGGGGGCGTGGCGCGGGTTGCCGTAGTAGACGTTGGCAGCAACTATAAAGCAAGGGGTCACCCGAGGTTAGTAAACCCCCGCAGAAAGAAGAGCATTTAGAAGTTGACAGTTAAGACGCCAGAGTGTATGTGCTGTGGCTACTGGGCATCTCGGCTTCGTATGAGTACACGGGGAGAAGGGGAGGGAGGTAAGCCTACTATGCTTCGAGACCTCCTCCGAGATCAGCGGCTCGGTGGCGTTGCCCAAGGTCGAGTCGCCGCCACCGCCAGCAAGAGCGTCACCAACGATCATGGCACCCTGGGAGTAGGAGATCAGGACGATCTTGGAGCGAGGACACGCGGCAGCATAGCGGTTGACCTGGCTGCCGACCGCTGCCCGCCCAACGAAGTAGCTGTCCGAGCTGGTCTCGCTGACGGCGGGGTAGATGATGCTCTCGTAGTTAGTAGTCAGAGTAGTCATGTTTGCCGCCGCCAGTTCCGCCATGGTGTAAGTGGTTCCGGGGTAGTCCTCGGTGGTCCCGCGAGCCAGCATGAAGTGGACGTCGGCGCACTCGGTGCTATTAGTGAGTGCGGCCTGGGAGAGGCCAATCAACGCGTTGAGTGCGAGAAAAGTCAGAGTATTCGCGATCATGATGCTGAGGTGGGTTGTATCGATGAAGTTGCTTGTGTTGGCTTGGAAGGGAGTTGGGGGGTTGGCAGCGTATCTTATGTAGATGGCTGGAGGCGGGACTCAGCGGGGTGCCAGGAGTCTTGCTTCGTTGGAGATAAGGGCGATTGAACTTACTATGACATAGTGGTTTCAAGTAAGAGGTATCCCAGTAAATTGAGTCATTCTCATCACCAGGATCCATAGGAAATGGGCCCTCTAAAGGTTTAGTGGCATACGCGTACCACTATGTGCGGATATCTTCTCCTCGCACACGGCAGGACTGGCGCTAGCAAAATAAAGTGCTTTCATACCTCCACCGTCTACGTCTACGAAAATCTCCAGCTGGCAGGGCCCATATCAGGCTGGTCCTCAGGAACATGGCTTCACACCCACCGGGGCGGGTGATGCCCGAGGTACCATCCATAACAACCCTAACTTCCTCGATGACCTGAACATCCTTCATCCTTTGCCACACTCATGAACTACAATTATTTCCCTTCACGTGGCTTCACACTGGACTTTGCCCCATGCAGAAACATATTAGTATTGAGACAGGCTAGATTTTAGAGTAGCGCCCCGCCTGTCCATACATCGGTGGGATGTTGCCCTCTATTTGGGGTAACTTCGGCCGAATCCACTCTGATACCCTCCGTTCCCCGAGTTCCGAGTCCCGACAATAACCTCTTCTTTCAAGCCTACTGAAGAGACAACGCGTCTGCGATCGGCGCTTCATGACGCGTCCATCATCTAGACTTTACAGCGATGAAGCAAACAGGGTTTGAGACAAAGTTCTAAGCTTAAATCTAGCATAAACTGGAGACAGACTAAGATTTGTAGCAGCACCCCGCCTGTTCATACATCAGTAGAATATTGCTCTCTATTTAGAGTAACTTCGGCCGACTCCACTCTGATATCTTCTGGTCCTCAAGTTTCAAGTCCCGATAATAATTCAATTTCTTTTTTTAATTAGATTAAAGAGATAACGGGTCTGCGATCGGCGCTTCATGACGCGTCCATCATCTAGACTTTACAGCGATCAAGCAAACAGGGTTTGAGACAGAGTTCTAAGCTTAAATCTAGCATAATCATTTGCTTTTCACTACTGCTTCCGTCGTATCTGCGGGCATTGCCTGGTCACCAACGACGATTGACTCAAAATCTTCAGGGCACTTCACAGCCCCAGAAGTTGGAGAAATCAGTCATCCAAGACCGTTCTCCATTCATAAACTCAATCATGCTTGAGCATGCACAAAGGGCGTATTGCACAGCTATAAATCATCGTCGCGCCGCGGACCTCACGGGAACTCAACAATCAGTCCCAGAATTTCCGTTTATCAAATTACAAGCGCATCCCACGCTCGGAAACCGTGCTGGAGATCTTGCCCCTGCAGCTTCACTATTTCCTGAAGTTGCCGGTGCGTCTCTAAGCCACACATCCCACTGCGCAAGCTTGCTCGTACGATCACTGAGACCTATGCAGGGAACCTTGCCCCAGATTTCGAGCATTCTCTGAGGGGGAGTACTCACGTAACCTTGCTACCTGCTCCTACGTCCCCTTCAATCTTTCTCATCGAGCTTATCGAAATTCAACTGTATACTAGTACGCCGGTTGGTTGTCTGGAATGGTTTGCAAAGCCTTTTGGATGGCACCACGAGCGTCATCGAGGTATCTCAACTCTCGCTGATTGCGGAGGAGCAAACATTGGGCCAATTCCCAATAGCATAGATTCCTCTCGAGGGCGTGTGACTGGAGGCATATTCTATATCATCAATTGGCCGGTTGCTGTTTGTCCCACCGAGCATAGACCGCTTGTTGATGTAATACTCTAGCTCAGTCGATGCTGCCAGGAGTTGTGGCCTGGATTGCCTTTTCCAGCCTCAAGGCAGACTCGACCCCTACGTGTAAAGATAATAGGTTCTTTTGTCCACGCTGCGTTGGATATAAAACAATCATACATGTGGACAGAAGAAAGCTCTGCGTCCCTCAATTGAATGCGGGGCTGGTGAAGAATATTAAAAAAATCACCAAAAACATACAACAGAAGGGATTCGCTGGTGGTCACCCACCCAACTACTAACCTCCCGGCGTGTGGCTTAAGTACGGCTGAGCGGACGGGAAGCCCTGTTTTCCACACCCTGTGGTCGTATGTGCTTGAATGAGGTGGTTTGATAAATAAGTAGGGCTTTGGCATTAGGTAGCAAAAATCAAACTGGTATGTCTCCTTCCAGATGTCGTTCTTGTAGATTGTGTAGGACACCTGAGCGTTTCTCCTTCATTGACATTGCCAAATAGCCAAACTGCGATGAGGAAAAGTAATAAGAAGATAAAATAAAATGACGGCCAGGCGGGGGAGATAATGGGAAATATGGGGATCAAACCGTTACACACAGGCGAAGTATGGACCAGAAGATGGAGATCGGGGCGGCAGGGTAGATGACTTCCGGGCGGGAGGGGCCGGTCGTCGATGGTGCTTTGCCGAGACAGGGTCTTTGATAGGCACGCCGCACCATTCTTTGTTCCTCGCCCAATTGCACTAAATGGTATATGAAGATGATATCTTCAACTTTGGACTCTCTTACAGAAATCTATCAAAGCAGTGATCTACACAATTCTGGTATCAAGAATTCACCAATTGTCATTTTAGCTTCGACTGTTTCGAAATATATTTCACGCCTGGGAAGAACAAACACACAATACATTCATCTCCCCCCTTTCTGGATATCATCCACCATAGATAGAACAAATCAGATAGACCGTAAGTATCAATAGCAACTGCTATTTAATATTCCACTGATAATCCCAAATTTGCACCAAAGAAGAACGAAGTAAAGAAGAATCGAAAAACAGCTAGTGCACTCACTGCACCGTATGTAGATGCCAAGACCGTGACGATGCTCTTGCGTTCGGCGCTAGCGGGCTTTTGCCGATTAGGGCTACCCGATGGGAAGCGCATAAAGGGGAAAGAAAACCAGACATAAATAGGGACAGAACGCGGCACATCATGGCGATGTATCGTACCTGAAGTCGATAACATACACATTAGACATTCTTCATTTTTGCTACTGTGCAGAAGATGTCACTGCACCCAAGATCGCTGCTGGTGTTCGGTGCGTCGAGCCCCACGGGCCAACAGATTGTGGCCGAGGCCCTCCGGACCGGGTGGAAAGTTACCATCTATGGCCGTCGGATCCTGCCGATCCACGCCCAGAACGCTGAGATTACAGTAAGGAAACCACGTTCTTTCCATTCTTCCCTTTCCCGCCTTTGCCCTACTCGCTTTTCCTGCGTTGGAAATAGCTACCTTACAGAGAATCGGGGCTAATGAAATGACTTTATGCGGAGCACACAGGCACTAGAAGGCACGCTACAAGATGAAGCCCAACTCCACCGCGCAATCCAGGGCCAAACTGCCATCGTCTCCGTGCTGGGCCCGTCCGGAATGACGATAAAAGATACCCCGTTTCCAGACTTCTACCGGCGCGTCTTCCGGCTGATGCGCGAGTTGCATGTCTCCCGCATCCTCGCGCTGAGCACTTTCAGCGTCCCCCACCCGCGGGATCGGTTCAGCCTCGCGTGCAGCGTGCTGGTGGGAATGCTCCGGGTCCTGGGGCGCAGCGCATGGCGGAATCTCATCGAGGTGGCGCGGGCGTTTGACGAGGACGCCCAAGACTTGGAGTGGACGTTGTTTCGGGTCGGGTTTCTGAAAGATCAGGGGCCTGGGTTGGTGGTGGAGGGTTATGTGGGTGACGGGGCGTTAGGGTTAGGGGTCAATCGGTGCGATGTGGCGCGGTGGGTGGTCGAGCAGGCGGCTCTGGATCAGGCGGAGCATGTGCGGGATAAGCCGGGGATCTCCTCCGCTTGACTCTGCTGCTTCGTGGTTTTTGTGGTTTACTTCAGCGAGTTTAGCGATTGTCTGCGTTTTGGTTTCTGTTTTCATGTTCGTCCCAAATGAATAATTACGAGACTGAGATGGGAAAGGCGGGGGGATTTGGCCGGGAACTAGACGGTTTAAAGAGTATAGTATCCGTACTGTACAGTACCTAGTAAGGTAAATGGCAAATGGGAGTCTTGGCCTAGGATCGTTTGTCTTGGCAATTATGGGGATCGTATTTGATCACTTAGTGTGGTAATATAAGTTGGACGCTTTCTCCCCGCATGCAGACCCTTTGAACACGGATGGAGAGAACTCGAAACCCTTCCACGTGACCATGTCAACCCCTCATCATGATTATACAGCCGAGTCGTGCTTCTCTTGCCGGATCAAGAAACGGAAATGCGACCGACTGATGCCTGCGTGCTCGCGATGCAAGAAGTAAGAGGATTGTAAATCTGGAGGGGGGAAAAGTCTTATATCTAAAAGGAAACTAAAATGGATAAATTCGTCGGATTCTCAGATCGTCCCAACAGTGCCTGTACGGAGGCAATGGGGTCTACGGCAGTATTGTGCCCATCCGGCATGAAAAACCGCTGCACGCCGTCCCCGCAGCTGTCTTTCATTCGTCACAAGTCCCCGCTGAGGTATTCTTGTTCCGCGGTCGCAAGTCATGTCGCAGATGCCGGCTGCACAAGAAATCCTGCGACAAGACCCACCCCTCCTGTGGCCGTTGCAAAAGGTAAATCGCCGACTAGCCCGGTGCTTCATTCTCCCGACCGTGTCACCCATGCCCGCACTGACAACCTTTGTAGGCTAGATGCGTGCTGCGACTACGATGACCTAGTTCGAATACAACGCCTAAGTTCGCCGCATCTCTCCTCGTCAGCGTCGATGGTTCGAGATTTGGACCTTCAACCTTCGTATCCCATTGAACCCAAGCCCTACATCCCGGGCTTCATTCGATTTTGTAAGTGAGACAAGAGACCCTGCACTGGCAGCTACAAGTGAGCTCATGCTTTGGCTCTAGTTCAGGAGCAGATGGGGCTAGCCGCCCTGCAGGTCGAAGTAAACAGCATTGCTTATCATCTGCGATCTTCGTGGATCCGCCATGCTCTTACCGATCCCTGTTTGTTCCACGCGACACTCTACACGGCCTCGGCCGAGATGGACGCGATGCGTGGTATGCAAGGCACCACCACAAACTACGCCACCCTGTACCATCAGACTAATACGATTCGACTGTTGAACCGTCGCCTGGCCCATGGGGGCCCAATGGACGATGCGACGATAGCCTCTGTGCTTCTTCTGGTAATAAGTGGGGTACGTTTCTCGGTTGACCGGCCCCATTCTGCATCGTAACACCGTCGCTCAAGTGCCCGTCGATATCTAGTCCATTGAAAAAGACCCGGATGCGACCGAAGCCCACCGACAGGGCCTCCTCCGCATGGTCGCGCTGCGAGGGGGACTCAAGCAACTAGGATTCGACGGCATTCTGGCCGAGATGATTGAGATGAACATGGTTCTTCCCATGGTCGTCTTCGGCCAGACCGACTCCGCGCTGCCGGCGCCCGTCACCCCCGCTGAAGCCCTACCCGACAGCCTCCCGAGCCTCGCTCTCGCCCGACTGCGCCGGGGCGGCTCGAGAATCAATCCCCCCCTACAATCGCAGCTATTGCGCGTCCTCGAGCACATCCAGGACCTCTTCCACGCCCTCGTGCAACCCAGCGAGTCTTCCAACCTCTGGACGCTACTCGACAACGCCCCCCCGACCGTCGAGCTCACCACGACCGGGGAGTCAGCCTGGAGCAGCAGCGAGACCTCCTTCCTCCGCACTTGCCAGCTCTCCATGACCCTCCTGCGAACGCTGGCAGATCCCAGCCTCCCTTGGCATCCCGACACCATCGCCGTCCTCCTTCGCGACCTCAACACCAGCATCACCCAGACCGATCCGGCCACGCGCCTCCGCTACGCCCCCGAGGCTAGTCTCTGGGCCACCGCCCTCGGCATGGCCGTCTCCCCGGATGTCCACGGACGTCTGACCTTCCTGATCAACGAGCGCTGCGTCGTTCTTGCCGTTTCCAACTCTAGGACCACGGCCCTGCACGAGCTCTTCCTCGACTGTTACTGCCGGCTTCGTGCCCTCGTCGAGCTTCGTCAGCCTCCGACTTTGTCACCTCTGCCTTCCACTCCTCCCTCCATACCATTCCCTCTCGAGTAGCTGAATATACCTGCTATTCGTTCCGGTTCATGCATTGGGGCCATTAGAAAATCCTTTTCAAGAATACTAGCCGATATACTGGAATAATGGGGAATGATAATAAAGCTTATCGACGGCGGTCCTGCGGCCTCGCCCAGGCTGCTGCTCACCGCCCACCGGTAGCCTTAGCTGGTTCCTCGCAGATAGCCCGAGATAGTCGGAATCCAAGCATCTTCCACCTCTTTCGCAAGTGTCATCACTTATCAATACTAAAAGAGGGGAGAACAATGAGACAGATCCGGCAACATCCTACTGCCCCGTCTTTGCACTTGCACAGACGTATAGATGGCCTCCTACCGGGAATCATCACATACGACCACAGGGTGTGCAAAACAGGGCTTTCCGTCCGCTCAGTCGTACTTAAGCCACATATCAAATTCAGCCGAGTAGAACATAAGCTTTTTCTTAGTTACTGCTTTATAAGTAAAAAAGGCTAAAACAAAAAGAGAGCTCGAGCAACTCTTGTCAATTACGTACAAGACTCAATTCTCCACGCGGTTTCACCAGCTCAAATACCACATCTCTATTGCTGGTGAATCCTTTCCTGATTGGATATATAATCAAGCCGCACAGAAGCAACCATGTCCTGGTATTTTATATCAACCTTTCCGCCGAAGAGCCATACACTTACGTTCAACTTGGCGTGGGAAAATAACGACAAGACGCCAATGGTAAAACCACGAGAGATCCTCATACTCACCCGTCTCCAAACACCTAGGAATTCACTCGACGTGGTCCTTCTCCTCGCTCCTCGGGATGCGTACAAACCCCACACAAACCCCCGCCGCCGCCAGCGAGATTGCGAAACTAAACCACCAAATCGCGCGTAAAGCACCCAAGTCCAGACTATAACCGTCGCCGCCCGCTTGGGTGACTTCCTTCCCGATCGTATCTCCAATGGCCGTTACAATGGCCGCAGACAGGTTCTGAATCGTCACCAGGAGACTCCCGGCGGAGCCCTGGAACGAGCGGGGCACGTTCGACGTGATGAAGATGGACGCCGCTGCGAATGTCAGGTCCGGTCCGAAGGTCACGAGGGCAATCCCCGGCATCGACAGCGCCCAGTAGATGGTATTCGGCGTTTGGGGGATAAAGAAGACCGGACCCATGGTAGTAGCGACCATTCCGGCGATGAGGATCCAGTGTCCCGGGACGAGATGAAGCGTTTTCGACACGATGTAGGTGGCAAGGATGCCGCAGACCATATTAGGAATGAAGAAGAGAGCCACGGTGATTGGTGCATGGCCCTGGATTGTGAGGAGAAATCGCACGGCGAAGAACATCCATCCCCCGACATATGCCCCGTATCCGAGGAAATAGGAGATCGCGAGGGGGAGAAATCCGGGGGTCGTCCAGAGACGGTTATCGACGAGGGGTCGCGATGCCCGTCGTTCCGCGAAGTAGAATAGAACTAGAAAGACCGCTCCCACGATGATGAGGGAGTAAGTGTAGGGGCTCCAGCCACTGGGGACGCCTTGCGTTAGGCCGAGGATGATTAGCCCGCAGCCCAGGGCAGCGAGAACGGCGCCGAGGGCGTCGAAGTGTTTGAGAGATAGTTGGTCACTGGAGGAACCAGCCTTCGGGGCGAACGAAGGGATACCGTAAAAGGAGGCCACTGCGAAGATGAAGGAGGCTATGGCGTTACTCCCGAAGATCCAGGGCAGGTGTACTGTGAGGGCTCCGCCTTGCAGACAGCCGATGAGGAAACCTACGGGCGTCATTGCGGACATGACTGAAAATACCCTCGTTTTGCGAATCCCAGGCGAGTACACCCGCCCCAGTAGGCTCATCGATGTCGACTGTAGGACGCCAATGGCGAGCCCCTGCATGGCCCGGACCACGAAAAAGAGGATTGGCAGTGAGGGACGGATACTAAATACCCCGACGATATTCCAAATGACCAGCCAGCCGAAGCCGAGAACCATGAGAAGCTTCGGGTTCGACAGGTCCGCCAGCGATCCGGAGACAATCACGGCGATGCCGTTCGCCAGCAGGAAGGAACCGATCAACCATGGCGTATTGCTTTCGCTCACCCCGAGCGCGTGAGGGAATACGGCCTGGTTGATAATGACGTTTCCGAGGAAGAGGCCGAAGAGGAACAGGCCCATGGAGCAGAGAAGGATGAATATTAACTCGCCCGTGAAGCCACTGAGCTCGGGAGGAACGCCCTGTGGGCGACGAGGAAGCACTACGGTCTCTTCTGTATGCCGCTCGGGAGCATTTTCGACGTCCAGAGCTGCAGAATGCTGGGCTTCTGGACACCCCTCTGACGCACTGGTTGTGTCTGTCCCGCCCCCGACCATGGGGAATGCCTCCACCGGCGGTTCATGAGCTACGCCTTTGCCTGGTAAACAACATCAGTCTGGGCTAGAAAGAGACCAAAGGGTAGTCATGGGCTTACCAGCTTGCCAGTCTGCAGCTTCCACCGGAGGAATCATGCTTGATCGCCACGAAGAAAACTCGGTCGTTGAGTCAGACGCTTGGAGAGGCTCCCCTGGTTTATACTGTCAGCTTGTCAACCTGCACGGGGCCTGTTTCTTATAAACTGGAAAAAGTTCCTGGTACTGAGGCCAGCCCAACGCATTAGGCAAAATCGACCTTCTATCCTCCTGATGGGTAAGGGACATAGGCAAAATGGGGTGGAACCGAGATAATTTCTATCCACAAGACGTCCATTGGGCTGGGATCGCCTCAATTCTCCTTAACCATTGTCTCGACCAGGTCTAGGCTGTTCCGGGCGATTTTTTGTGCGGGCGGTAACATGGCAAAGTGCCCATCAGCAAATGATGTAGATTGACCAGGAACTCATCCCCAACAATAAGTGACGATACAGACATCGGGTATAAGGAGGGTTGAGGGTGGAGCCGAAGAAGTCTTGGTTCCGGTTATATGCTTGGCACCGCTTATATGGCTGACTCATCGCCCCGTCCGTAACTAGCCGTCCTTCCGCTGCATTCAACATGACATCGAGCATATATCGGCGCTGGTATTGCCGACATGAGCAATGGCAGACGCCACCAGATCGCGCAGGCGAGCCGGAAAGGCATGTACGCACTGCCATGAGAAACGGATCAAATGTGACGCCATGCACCAGATGCCGTGCACTCCCTGCGTGCGAGGTCGCCACGCGGATTGTGTGCTCCGGGAAACGAAACGTGGGACGTACGCCCGGAGCGCCCTGCGTCAGAAAAGATTCCGCAGCGATGAGACACGCCGGAGAGTCGCGGCTGCTGTCGACAATTATCCGACGCGGGCTGACGATCCTGGAGGAAGACTTCCCCCTGGATCCGATGCTGCTGCCCCTTTCGCAACCGGTTCCTCTGCGCCGGACTTGGCCACGTTAAGTTCAGGAAGCATCGGCCATGCCCATCATCAGCCCGGCATCGAAGCCTCCAGCAATCAGGCTCAGAGTAGGCTTACAGCGAGTGAGCCTCCTCAGACCCCGGTCCCATCCGCGACGCCAGGCGACGCCTCCTCCTACCAACAGATCTCGTGGTCTGCCATGTTTGACCACTTCTTGAACAACCGCGAGAACGCACGGGACTGGATCGACAAATGCTCGATTACGTACCTCGGCGAGTCCTTCCCCCTCACCATCGTCTTGAGTGGCCTCAAGGACGGCAGGCAGCCGAGATTACACCACCTCGGCCCTCCTTTCCCGACAACCCAAGGAGATTCCCCCGCTCCGTCAGCACCGACACATATGCTCCCGGAGGATCTCGAATATCTCCGGGCCAAGGGCGTGTTCAATCGGCCGGGCAAGGCCCATCTGAACGCCCTCATGTCGGTCTTCCTGGACCACGTCTACCCGCTCTATCCGATCGTCAATCGCCAGGAACTGATCTACCACTACAAGAACGACCAGCTGTCGTTACTTCTCATGTACGCCATCAGCTTTATGGCGGTGACCTTCGCGCCCTCGTCCGCCGTGACCCTTCTCGGCTTCCAGACCCGACCCGAGGCGCGTCTATTCTTCTACAAGAAAGCCAAAGCGCTCTTCGACATGGGCTACGAAACCAACAAGATCACCCTTCTGCAGAGCACATTCCTTCTCTCCTTCTACGGCGGCGGCCCAAACACCTACTGGAACTTTTACTCCTGGATCAGCACGGCAGTGACCATTGCCGAGGCGATGGGAATCCACCGCTCCACCCTCGCCGTGCCCAACATGCAACCCCAAGACAAAAGCCTCATGCGACGATTATGGTGGGCGCTGGTCGCCCGTGACAGCATCTGCGGCACCCTCGTCGGACGTCCATTCCGCATTGACCTCGACCAAGCCGACGCAGACCTACTAACCATCGAGGACTTCGCGCACGATGCCATGGCCCCGGACTTCTTGCATGACTCCTTGGCACAGCGATACGCCCAATACCAAATCGAGACCACCAAGCTGTCCCGGCTCATGCGAGAGATTATTAGCAGCCGCTTCTACCCCGGCCGACAGCCCGTATCGTCTTCCAGCCTCTTCGGAAAGCTCACCTGGTGGAAAGCCCATCTCGTCCCGACCTTAGCCTGGGACGACGCGGTCCCAGATCCCGCAAACCCGTTCTCCATGGCCCTGTCGGTCCAATACAACCACCACCTCATCTTAATCTATCTTGGCCATATGCGCGGCGAGGATCCCCGTCGTCGCGATCAGCGCGAGGTCGACGACATCATCGACACGGCCGCAGATCATATCACCACTGTCATGTGCATGCTCGTTACCAAAGGGGCGTTATTGAGCGTGCCGCATGAGCTCTACCACGGTATCTTCCTCGCACAGGCGGCGTTCTATGAGCGGATGCGGAGCTCGAATAAGATGGTCGCGCGGCTGGGTCGGACGTCGCACAACTCCTGCCAGATGGTGCTGAAGACGGTGAGTGAGTTTTGGGATTGTGGGACGTTTATTCTGCAGCTGTTTGAAAACCTGTCGAGTCGGTGTTTGGAGCAGCCGGCGGCGACAGGCGAGAGTGCTGTCGGTGTGGCGGAGGCAGCGGGCGGCATGAACGCTGTGACTGCAAATGAGACGGCCATTTCCAGTGCGTCTTTACTAGGGGATGATCTTTGGCACGGGAATCCCATGCTAGGGAGTTTGTTCGATTTACCGCCGGAGTTGTTTTTGCCTGATGCCTGAGTACTCCATAGCTGCAGTTACCTGTCTCTCTCTCTCTCGGTACTTCATATCTAGTATAACGCGCTGCTGGACTAAACGCATTCACACTTTATCTTCACTATTACTAGATTTGATCCCTCGAGATGTCCTACTAGAAGATAGATAAACCCAACACAACACACCGCAACAAAAGTATTTTGTCTGAAGACTGTCTTTCATTGAGTTACTGAGTGATCACTTACAGCCCCATCCTCGTCGCCTCAGATCGAACAATATCCGGCACCTCCTCGCTCAGACTTCTTTCCTGTGGCTTCCAACCCAGAACCTTCCTCGCTCGCACCGCGACCCCCCGCGAGTTCATGCCCCAGCTCGCCGCCTCAAACCCAGCCGACGACTTTACAGCCTCATCAATCGACCAGGCCCTCAGCTCCGGCCGGCCCCCCTTAATGTACTTCTGTTTAAACGCCTCTTCTCCAACCGCCGCCGACAATTCACCCCAAACATGCTCCCCATTCTCCGTGAGATAGTACCCACGCGCGCCCCAGACCTCCTCATCATGGTGGCAGGATGGATCCAACGCAGCCTGCACGAGCAGCCCAAACACCCGACTCAAATCATGCACATGCACATTATTCCACCGCGACAGCCCCTTCCCAATATACGGACAGTACTGCTCTTTCAAAATAAACGCCGCAAGCTCGTACACCTGTCGTCCGCGCCCGGAGACCGGCCCCCGACCTGGCCCATAGATCGTGGGCGGGCAGAGGAGCGCTGTTTTGACCGAATCGGCATGTTTGGTGCCCGTTTCCAGCACGATCTCGTCGACATTGCGGTGGAATGCCGCGGCGGGGAGGTTCACCAGCTCGTCGACGCCCTCCCAGTCATTGAAGACTTTATCGTCGTGCTCGCCGAACGTCTTCTTCACCTCCGAATCAAAGTACGTCAGGATTCCCGCGCCCCCGGTGTGGAGCCAGAATCCGGGTCGTGAGGCGGAGTGGCCCTGGATCAGGCCCCTGGCGATGGCCGTCGCCGCGTCGGCGTGGTCGGATGAATCCGCCGTGTCTGTCGCTGGTTAGCACTGCTGTCGGTGAATGTATCAAGGGGGCATTTCAGCAAACGAAAAGGAAGGGTAGGAAAGACGTACGGATGACGATATCCGCCCAGGCGGCTTCACGCGCCAGTAAGTCGAGATCGTCATTGCCGCCGATGACAATCCGGGCGTTGGGGTACGCGACCTGCACTTTCTTGGCCTTGGCTTCGGAGCGGATCAGGAGCGCGTACTCGAAATCGGGATGTTCCTGGTGGATGTGGTACAAGGCGTCGCCGCCGATGTAGCCCGTGGCGCCGGTGAGGAATACTTTGGCGGGCATTGTGGTCGTTGGCAATTGCGCTGGATCGGAAAAATAAAATCGAATCTAATTGCCTTTGTTTTGTGTAAAGCTAGGGGGGCTTGTATGTCGCGAGTTCGTTATTTAAAAGTTGCGCTGCAACCGATGACGTCGAAGAGGTTGTTGGGGGATCCACATGAATGTCGTGGCGATGGTTCATATAGCCGATGGTCAACCTTTTCCATACATCCGGCACCCGTTAATGTGACCTCAACCAGGAACTCTTCAGCCATGGATTACTCAGATCGGTGACTTGTTGTTGTGAATTATAATAACAGTTCCAATTCTTTTTTTTTTCAAAGATTGCCCCTGCTAGCGTAACCACTGGGTCCAAGAGTAAATACACTACTACGATGTTTGACTGGCTATGCTGGTTATACATTTTATTGCGCTTCTATCGACATCCAGGCTTGAGTATTGGTACATATATAATCCCAACAGGTCATTAATTATTCTTACTATCAACCTATTCTCACTGTCCAGTGCACACACTATCCCCAGTAAGATACAGCCGGTTATACAATGGACAGTTATAATGCCCGCGAATATACCATCCCCTCAAACACTTTCGATGGGAGACATGCAGACACTGCAGCTCATGGACCCTCTCCGTGCGGTCCACCTGCTCTAAATACACGACACTGAAGAAAGCATTAGTATCGCCGCATACTGAGATTCTAGGGCTGCTTGGGGGGGGGGGGGGGGGTAAAAGATGGCTCCTAGACAAAATACTCGCGAGTAGCCTCAGACAACTTTATCTTGACCTTTGTAGCAGACCACCATTGCTAGAAGGTGTTTGTGGGTAAAAGAACGTCCAAGCGGTTGGTTGTCTGATCTAACGCCTTTCTGTCGTGCATGATCTCTCTACGGCGACAGATCATAAATACAAGGCTTATCACGTTCCCTTCCACACGGTACATTCCTTGAACAAGAATCGCAATAACTGTGTGAGATCACACCGATAATCAACGCGCAGCATGCATTGCCCTCGAGCAAAAGTTACGGCCGGGAGGAGAATAACTCACACCATGCACAGCACAATAAGAATCAACGCGCCGAGAGAGGCTCCCAGAATAATAATAATTCGGCTGGCATTTATACGATTATCGCTACTTATTTCCCTCACATGCTGGGTGTATAAGCTACAGTGAATTGGTTCCCGCTATAATATACAATCGTCTCCAGTGTTGTGGCGTCTAAAATTAGTAAGAAAGGGGAATAAGGACAAACACACACTGAGTAAAAGGGAGCAGCACAGTTGAGTGTTGAGTGTAATTGATGAGACCACTTTTTGTCTGCCCATCAGGTATTCACTAAGACCCAAAACTGTGGCTTTATAGTTATTCTCCCGACAAAGCCAATGAGAATGTGCGTGGATATATGACAGCCACAGGCTATATGTCTGACTAATACGTCCATTCGAATGTTTCTTTTTTCCTGCAGCGATTGATGACAACGTCGACATGGTCCGGATAGGATATCAGCCGATAGAGCTCCAAGTTTACCGATATGGTCACCCAATGCTGAAAGTAAGCATCTGTATCCACTCCTATCGCTAGCAGCCTACAGGGCAAAAAGCCGTCCTCAGATTCTTCAATGAAAGATTCCGCTTGCCGGGTGTATTGCTCCTATCCCAATTGATTCATGTGCTTAATTAAGTCAACAGGGTCTACCAAGAAAACAAATGTTATGTTTGAATCTCGTGGCGACATGTCTGTTTCCACAAAAGCATTTCGACTGGTTGAAAGAGTTACTTTCAACCTCGCTGTCATCTGCTCAAGTCCCTTGCCGAGTTATGACTTTCAAATACGACTCAAAATGGCTGGTCTATGCCCCCAGACAAAGACTTTTCAACATCTGGGACGCCTTGTTGGATAGTTTAAGGAACAACGCGGCGACGTAAGCCTGTGTGCATCATGTTTTGCCCCGGCTTTACTGATCATTACAATGACCAGGCGATCAATAGACTGTTACTGTTTATCGGCCACAGCTTTGGGGGGGATGTTATTAAACAGGCTGGTCAGCTTTAAACGTCCGTCCGACCATTGCATTAGCCATGCGGACCCTTTTATTGCTTTTGGTGTGCCTAGTGTAGCAGAGGTCAAGTAGCTCGCCAGTAGGTTAGCCTACCCTTTCCGAAGGCAGCACTCAATTCACGTATCATCGCACTGTCATCACACACCTGATCAAAAGCGGAGAAGATAGGGAACGCACATCTCATTAACCCCCGAACTGTACCTAGGACCTTTGTCCGTTACCATCTACAGCACAAATATAGTACATAACCTCAGCCATAGCCTGTAATAATCAACTCCTGTGTGGAATCGTTCCAGTCAATATATTCCACCCTCACTATAGCTTGAACTAACTCCTAGAGTCCTGTTCTGTCCACCTGTGAGCAACATTCTAATATTAGGATACTGCAGAAGAGGTACTCTACCAGTCACATGCATTGAGCATAACAGGGGATAAATAGGCCCCAGTAGCCGCATGATTGCTTTTTACTCTGGGTGTCATAAATCGCGCAATGCAGAAACCAATTTGTTATATCGCAAGGACCATTATGGACACAAAACTGAGTGTCCGCTCCGCCCACGGTTGATTTCACCCAGACGACACAATTGTGTTCACAATGATCAACCGGCCAGGGGGCTGCGGTAGGAATAGCGGCCAGAAGAAATGAGGCCCAACGAACATGCATCGTGTTTGGTATTCGATGAGGTACTTTGGAGAACAGAATTGATTTCAATTTTGACCCACTATGATTCAACGCCATTTAAGTAGGATGTTTCTTGGAGTGTCACGTTCATATCGTAGAGTTTGGACTTGGAAGTTAGTCCGTACAAAGAAGAGTACTCATTGTACATCCTTCTCTGGGAACAAATGAAAAGAAGATTTCTGTGGCCGCTGGGCGTTTTCTTGGTCCACCATCAGACACCCCGTAGTCTCGTAGACTTGGATCTAGAATAGACTGCCTGTGCTTGGGACGTAACCTTGTAAGTATGGTCTCTTCTTCGGTCCTGTTCGTACAATCTTCGTATTTTCCCTCGGCCAACCACTAATATTGCGGTTGTGGCCCACAAGCTACCTAGTATACGAGCGAGGAGACGAAAGCCTCTGCCAAATAACATATCTCTGGATCCAATAAGCCTATCTTTTGGGAGGACTGGAATGAAAAGGAATTAACTGAAATTCGTGCATTTTCCGACAGCTGTCTGTACCTACTGGTAGATAGCGGGGAGTTGCAAGGAAATAGATATGTTGAAATGCAAATAAAAAGCATGAACCCAGTAACTTTCGGTCACAATGCAGCAACCCCCCCGCTATAGCTCACCTTGACGGCCACTCATCTTTGTCTGTGACCCGATTTGCAACCATTGCCAAGTTTATCGTGATTCTTTGAGATCATTATACTGCAGCAGCTCCCATCCTTTGATTGTTTCACGCCTTAGATGCCCCTGGAGTAGGCGAGGGCGTTGCCGGCAATGTCGGTGTCGTTGATGAGGACTTTCAGACAAGTCATGTTTTTGGTTGCTTTCGTTGCGGTGATTTATGCAGGTCAAGCCTGGAGGTTATTTCCGAGGGGGTTCCGGCTTCGGCCCTGTTTACAGTACGGTATTGGGGATGAATGGTATGAGGCGGGTTAGAAGATGTGGATTGTTGGGAAAAAGACAATCATGATACCTGGAACAAGACCATAAAGAAATATCCGGTGGACGACTGACATAAATCTTTGATTATAATCGCTGTGCCTGTTGGGTTGAACTTGCTCAAGACCCGATACAGTGAACACGGCTAATACAGCGAAGTCCGAATATTTCGAGTCTTGGCCGGAACGGAGATTGGCGACATGTCGGGGCGGGATCCCCGCAATCAGTGCCCCTGGCTGTACTCTGACCCCCATTGCACCGATGGCCCCCTATGAAGGCGAAAGAAAAGCTGTGCCTATTGAGGGAAAGTGGACAGCCGTAATAAGGCGTCTGTTTCTACCGAGCGCCGGCGCCCCACCTTGTCATGTGAGCATTGCCGTCGGCGTAGCGTTCGCTGCGACCGGATGATGCCATGTGGGCCGTACACCAAAATCCAGCCCTCCTTGGCTTTTTCGTGTGTCCACCAGAGAAAGATAGCCCTGGAGGCTGATATTGGGGTACAGGTTCTTTCAGCATGTACTGCTGAAAGCCGTGACAATGCGAGTTGTGGCGGGATCAAAACTCATTCATGATTAGATATATGCGAACTCGTACGGAAAGATCTATTTCTCAACGTTAGTATGTTTTTCCCATCATCCTGTATGTGTATGTTACATCTATGTATTAAGTCTAGGACAAGCAGTCTGCAACAGTCTGAGGCACAATTGTGGGATCGCTGAGCCCGGTGTTAATTGCCCAAATAGGATTGGTCGGCGCATACAGTAAGCTTGCGGGTGTGGAAGTCGGAGCCATATGCCCTAAGAGTCTATGGATGTTATCGTTAGGTCTACTTGCCATTTGCATTGAACGCCACGAGGCATGCGGGACGAAACGCTTTCATGCATGTATGACTCTTTTTTGATTGAAGACGACACATGGATTCTGCAGCTGAATCCGGAGATTGGACTATAATATAGTCCTGAATGTTGACGGGGTTCAGCGGACCCACCATTATTCCCCACGCCCTGCCGCTTCTTGCAGCCAAGCAAACATGCCATGAGGCAAGCCTCTCGGAAATGGTGCGACAGGGCGGTGAGGAGTATATTAGTGCTACTAGGTCAGAATTTAGTGTGATACTAGCTCTAACTAGGCTAAAGGTTGCTTAGCTAGACTGCTAGAGGCTATATCATGCCGATTTTGATTTTCAAATCTTCACAGCTCTGGCTGGGTTAGGGTTACATCTATTGTGACTAGCCCTCAACGATCCTCCTCAACTGTAGCAATCTCTAAGCTAGGCAAAGCTTTGATCTGGTCCAAGCCCATAACAGATAACAATTGGCAACATGGCCGTTGAATGGGTCTGAGCGTAGACCACACTTCCACAATTTCTGACCCCATCGCGCTAGATCCTGGCCCAGTCGCAAGCGTGCCCCCGGCGGAAATCCTGCCAGACGGCTCAGCCTTGCCGATCGAGTTAGCACACCATGATAAAAGGAGAACCCAGCCTTTCCCACCCGCTGCAACGTTGCATTCAACTTCTTCGTGCGCCCGTTGAATGACAATACCCCTGGCACCATGACTAACGACACTCGCGTCTGCTATTACCCCTCGGGCGCGATAGCTGATGATAACGTACCCTGCTCATCTGACGAGTACACTTCGTGCTGTGGAAGCACCGATCTCTGCCTCTCCAACGGCCTCTGCCTGAGTGTAACCCATCAACCATACGTCCTGAGTAGAGGTGCCTGCACCGATCCACAGTGGGGCACCGGATGTTCCCAGTATTGCCGTGCGTTGTCAACCCGTGGAAGGGGGCGAGGGGCGGAAAGCCTCTCTCCTCTCCACGCCTCCAAGCTTTTTGATGGGGCATCACACTGACCGTGTTTCAGAGGACAATAACCCCACCGGCGGCTGTTCGATCATCAACCTCAAGTACTACAATGGAGTATCAACCTACTGTTGCGGGACGCCCGTCGCCAACAATGAGTCGTCAGTCGTCTGTCCCGACAATGCCAGCTCCTTTGAGGTTCCGACCGGGCACGCAATGGTTGGCTACGCGATGCTGGCCAACGTATCGACGCTCGATGCTACCGCGGCAACAACGACTTCCTGCTCCTCGAATCAAACATCAATACTCGCCAGCTCGACGGCATCGTGTACGAAAGGCGCTTCTTGTCATGACGCAGCTATTGGCGCTGGGGTAGGAGTACCGTTAGGGGTGATTGCGCTGGCGTCGATCGTATGGGCATTGTTTGAGCGAAGGCGCGCAACCGCAGGGCGTGCTGGTCTGTCGGCGCTCAACACCAGCCAGTCGGCGCAAATCTATACCCAACAGCTACTCGTGCCGAGTTCACAGCACTTTGGCGGACCAACACCCACTGAATTGGATGGGTCGAAAAGACCATCGGAGCTTGAGACTCCTTAGTTGTGTGCCACATTCGCCATCGATGCTTTTTCTTCTATTGCACCATTGTTATCATGTATCTGTAATAGGGAAAGTGGGATCCGGTGACATTTCTTTTGGAAATGCATACAAAGGTCCGGCCTCGCCCATCACAACTGCTCTCCTTTGTACATAATTAAAGATCTAATAGAACTCCCAGAGGGCGGGTCAAAATAAGAAAAAGAACAAGACGCTAACAATCTGCCTCATAACTTCTGGATAGCTTGGCCAAGCGGAAGACACAACGACCAAGCCTCATCCCCATGCTGCATACACAACACAAGCCTCCCTTGAATTATCAAGTTTAACTCTTCCTTTTTCGTCTCACGCCCTCCCCAATCCAAAGAAACATAGACCACACCCAATGGCACCGCCGCCGCGGAATGATTTTACCTCAAATTCAACGTCATATTGTGTCCGACCTTAGTAACATAATCACCCGCAAATTCCTGTAACATTCAGTTTTCTAACTCAAAATGCGTCAGCATGCAGGTCGTCCGCTCGCACGCAGAGATCTTGACCATATCACCTTTCGGAAGGACGGCAAATTTGCCCGGGTCCAAGACGGCGATGCACACCGTCTAGGCGGTGTGTTTGAACACAAATGCGATGGTAATATTGGCAATGTTCTGGATGGTGTCGCCGAGAAGGAGGGTGCAGACGTAGGGTTGGTGAGTTCGCGATGCACGTGTTGGGAGAGCGGTCCGGGAGGTGTGGAGGACATAACTGCACGCAATTTGACCGTTTAAACTAGATGCATGGGGATCTTGCTAACCTCCAACTTTTATCTTCAAATCTCCTCGGTCAAGTTTACTCGATAGAGCTTAGTCTGGGAACCACCGAGTAGAAAGCCGGGGGAGAACATGCGGGGAGAGCCTGACTCTACCTACGGAAGCCCATTGCGGCTGCTCAGCAAATTTCAAGTCTACCGGCAGACTTAGCGTGGCCTATATACTAATTTCTGATAACCTTAATCGGTAAGCTAGGAAGTACTATTTCCGAATAGCGTACTATACTTTCGGACTGCAAGTACCCCCTCAAGTAGCCTTAGTTAAAGAGAGGAGCTTATCTAATCACGTGACGAGGTCTTCTTGGAGGAGGCGTCGTAACCTCAGCCCCCTCAAGCTGGTAGTCGTACATTTGTACTTCAGTTCTCATAGACTAGATGGAGAACGCGGCCACCTTTCAAAAAGAATGCAGTAGGCATGCTGAAGGAGGAAATCTCCATTGGCCGAGTAGCCGCAATGGTCGCCCGTGCCTGGCCAATCACCACACCACTACTCGAGGTGCATGATAGACAGGGATCAGAAGCGGAGCTGACACGTCACACACACACACATAGACAGCAAAATTGTCTTGGTTCCCCTCTCAATACCCCTCAATCCCAAACTCTGTCTGATCAACCATCCGAAAGCGTGTATATCAGACAAAATAACGGTGGAAAGCGGCGACTAAATCGCAATGAGACGTATTCGAGCCTGGGGCCAGGACAGCTCAGAGAGAAAACATGAAACACCGGAACACAACGATTCCAAGGAGAAAAGGTCGATAAAGGATCGGTTGAGAACGAAGTTCTCCTCGCGGCACTATGACGATGATGCGATACCGAAGAGGACGGGGGGCGAAAGGTCCAGTTGTCTTGAACCAGTTCATCATGGCCATGGGTCTAGTCGGCCAGGAAGCGCATCTGAATGCGGTGAGACGCCTAGAGCAAACTCTCCTTCATTGAGGGAGTCCACGAAGACGTTAGAAGAGCTGGTGATGAAAAATCTATGGCAAGTCGCCCTCGAGGAATTGCGAGAAAAGGAGGGGCGCCTGGTTGCGGCGTATGAGCAGGATCTGGCCAAAGCGTCCAACAAAAATCAGAATGGAGAAAAACAAGTGCAAGGCGGTCCACTTGGCAGGACGGAACCGCATCAGCAGCTTGTACGCGAAGCTCTTCAAAGATTGGAGGATGGCCAGCTCGTCATACCCAGACGATGTCGTCAAAGTGCGATCGGGAATCACGTTCAGCGCATCGTCCAGATTGTTCTGTCTGTCAAGGATGTCATATCGCAGGCAGTTAGCGCGGAACCTCATGCCTCTCTTGCTTGGGCAGGTGTTCTGGTTGTGCTTCCTGTGAGTATTCACCTGCAGAACTTTGATCTCATCAACTGACTCTTGAACAAGCTACTCTTGAAGCCATTCACCCAGCTCGAAGAAGCAGCAAATGGTATCGAGTTCATTTCAAGGTTGTTGATTCGATATCAAGTCATTCAAGGCTCTCATCTCCAGGTATTCATCGTACCACCTGTTCAAAGTGAAAGGTGAAACCTGTCTGTCGAGACTAGAGAATTACGGCTAACTAAGACTTAGCATGACTAGCGTCGACCGCTTTTGTAGCTCCATTCGAGAGCAAACCATTGCCCTATATACGCAAGTACTAGAGTATCAGATACGACTCGCCAGGCAATTCTCACGGTCGGGGTTGTTTCAGGGAATCAGAGACCTGGTGACTGCCGATGATTGGCTTGGAATGACCGCGAAGATCAAGCAGACCATACTATGTTGGCAGAATGGTCGCAAAGGACCATTCTGCATATCGATAAAACAGTTTCGTCACTGCAGGAAAAGATGGACGAATCGCTGTCTTTGAGTATTGGGATCAAGCAGGATATGAATGTAAGACAAGCAATGTGCCCTCCTTTCGCCAAAACTGACCAGTCAACCAGATCCAACGCAACGAAACGCTACTCAAATCTATCACCTGTGTGACTAGTGCAGCTTATGGCTTCTACGACCAAGATAAAGGAACCTGTCTTGAAGGAACGCAGGTGGCTGTTCTCGAGAAGATTCAAAACTGGAGCATTGGCCCTGAAGAGAAGCCCATCCTGTGGCTCCAAGGAATGGCAGGAACCGGCAAGTCTACGATCGCCCGAACTGCGGCCGCATCATTTCGGAATGGAACGTGGTTAACGAACCACGGTGCTCTCCCTGATAATGTTTGCCTTGGGGGTAGTTTCTTCTTCGATCACAAAAAGCAGGATTGTAAGGACCCCCGGAACCTCTTCCCGACATTGGCTCGTCAGTTGGTTGAAGTGATCCCGGAGATCCAGGAGTCTGTTTGTGCCGCAATTTCCAACCATCATGATATCCAACAACGAACACTCCGTGATCAGTGGAGGTACCTGATTTGGGAGCCCCTTTCCATGCTCCAAAGTGATCTTCGAGACACGGTCATCGTTGTCATCGATGCCCTGGATGAATGCGAGGTCAAGGCCAATAACTGCGAAAACGATGTGGAGGTGATATTAGGGCTGTTGAGTCAAATACAAAAGCTTCGCTTGGTGCGGATACGTGTTCTCATCACCAGTCGACCGGAAGCCGACATGCAACGCCACAGCAGAAGTCTCTCCCAGGACATTCACGACCAGACCTTGGAGAAGGTGAAACTCGTCAACGACACCGATGATCGAGAAGACGACATCACTCGCTTGGTGAAACACGAGATGATTGCGATCAAAAAGAGTCATCCCCGCCTGCCTGCAGACTGGCCGGGCACCCAGTCTCTTAGACAGCTCGTCGTCCAGACCGAAGGTCTGTTCATCTATGCTACGACGGTCTGCCGGTTCTTGCGTGATGCTACGGAGCGAACCATTCAGCCTCGACTCGAAACGATCCTGGGCAATAAATTCGATGGAAACTCAAAGGGTAACAATCTCGATGAGATGTATACCAGAATTCTCAAAATCATTCTCACCGGAGAAGCAGACAATGATGCGGAGATGTCAAGTTTGTTCAAACAGGTCGTGGGCTGTATCATAGTCCTATCGCAGCCGATGTCTCTGATAGACTTAGGCCACCTCATTCCCTGCAACATTGACGACATAAAATGGGCTCTGGGGCAATTACGTTCGGTCATTGAAGTGCCACAGGATCCACACGAGGATATCCAACTTGTCCACCTGTCCTTTCGAGACTTCCTTCTTGACCATTCAAGATGCAACAATGACCTTTTTTACTTGGAGGAGAGAGAGCGGAATCACGTCGTCTTCGAATATTGCTTGGACTTGATGACGCGCTACCTGCGACGCGATATCTGCTGCCTCCGGGAACCTGGCATTGAGCTGTCCCAGATAAACCTGGAGTCATCGGAGAATAAAGAATCGTTCCCGGACAGTGTGCGATATGCCTGTATCCATTGGGTTGAGCATCTTGAGCGTAGCGGTGATGCATCGTCCGCGGACGAAGCTCGAACTCTGGATTTTCTTGAAACCCATTTCACTCACTGGTTGGAGGCAATGTGTCTGATGGAAATGATGCCGCATGTGATCAAATTATTCAAGGTTCTCACATCAGTAAGTGTTTTCCTTGCCCACAAAATGTAACGTATATTGATGAACCCAGATGAATATGAGCGAGAGAATGGGCAAATTTCTCTTCGATGCTAGGAAGTTTACGACAAACTTCAGGCTTCACATTGAGAAGATGCCCCTACAGATCTATACATCGGCCCTTCCATGTGCCCCTCACAACAGCATCATCCGAAATTTGTTCGGAACGGAGATTCCAGCCTGGATAACACAGCTTTCGGCGGCACAAAGCGACTGGGATGCTTTTTCACATAACCTTGCCATATCGGGAAGGGCCAATTCAATGGAGTTCTCCCCTAACAATGAACTATTAGCAGTCAACAGCTCATCAGGGGTTTGCGTATTCGAGACAGCTACATGGACGCGCGTCCTGGAGATCAATGGAGGCGAATCCGATCATTTGAAAATTATCTTCTCTCCAGACAGTTCGCGCTTGGCAGTGCTTTTCTCACACGGAAATGCTCGGGTATGGCATGTGCGTGACGGAAAATGGATGGATATCGAAGCCCAGTTGGAAAAGATTGTTGGGATTCAGTTCTCGGGCGATGGAAGGGAGCTTGTCTGTTTGTTGGACGACAACACCATGACTATAGCCAACGGACAAACTGGTAACATCTTAGCCAAGTTTTCACATGGTGTCACAGCTTTTCCATTGAACTACCGTTCTTCGTCGATGCGAACTAATCTAGCTGTCTCCGACGATGGCCGATTCATTGCAATAGTGGATGATACATTTCATGTGAACGTCTTCGACCAAAACCGAAGCTCAGTTGTTTATAACCATGGCCTTGATGCTGTCCATCGTTATCACATAATATCGATGTCCTTCTCCCATGACGGAAGACATTTGCTATCTGCATCCTCCGATGGCTACGTCAAAGTATGGGACTCGAAACACAACGAGCTTTATGAACATAATACCGGTTATAATATTCTGCAAGCAGTATTTTTGGCCGATTCTGCGGCCGTTGCTATTGTTCAGGAAGATCTGACAGTGTCCAGGTGGACCTGGATGACTGGGAAGACAGAAAGACAGGGGATTGAGCGGCCCCTCGAGGATCCAAGTGCCTACGAATATTGTCAATTCTTATTTCCTCAATCCGGCCCGGTCGCGAGATGCATGATGGGCAACGGTGATGATGGTGTGTGGAAGAACATCCGGACCACGTGTGCTCAAATCAAACACAGATCCTCCCCAGGCAACATGCAGATTTCTATTTCGCCCAATGGGAGGCTTATTGCATCGGTTGAATCGGGGAATGTCTCGATTTGGGAACTGTCTGCACGAGAGATACAGAATCAGAGTGCTGACGATGATACTTTTTTTTCGGTGGAAATCTCACCGGAGGGGAATACGGTTGCCTCGTGTAGTTCAAACGGAGTCAGACTGTGGAAGGCAAGTGCCGAAGAAATTGCAGAGATCCAGCTTGGAACCCCAGCTTTTACTGGTTTCCGGCGTCGTGTGGGCTTTTCTGCCGACGGCAGAGTGCTCATAATTAGTTCGAATGACGGGCTAATTCGACTCTTGGATGTAACAACTGGACAACTTCTGCCCAGTATTCATCTCTCAGATGCTGAATACCTGCATATCGAATTATCACGGGACAAAACCTTGCTTGCATTAGCGTGGAAAACAAGAGATGAACAAGAAAGCAATGGACAGGTTACCTTATGGGATCTGGCAAAGAACCAAGCCTTCCGCGAGTTCGAGGTGGGGATGATACCCTTTAACTTTATGAATATAGCCATTTCGCCCAACGGCAGCACAATTGCTGTCTCCATGTGGGAAGAGATCAGGGTGTATAGCTCTGCTGGAACTATCATACACGCCTTGGACCATAAGGGATTCTTTCCGTATTTAGCATTTTCGGCAAACGGGGAGCTGATTGCCTCCGCAGACAAGAATATCACTATATGGAATACAGCAACAATGAAGAAGTTGAACGAAATCCCGTGTCCAGGCGGTATTAGCTGGATCAGCTTCACAGATGAAGACCGCTTCCTCTCAACCGGCAAGGGGCGATTTTCTATCGCCTCCATTCTATCGAATGATGATGATGTGGATGGATCTGGGTCCGGGTTATATTGCCGTGGCTTGTACATCATGAATGGAAGGAAGACGATTCTTGCCCTTAAGCCTGAGCTCACAGCTTGCACACCCTCAGTGCGCGGGAACAAAATCGCCCTGGTCTTTCCGCCTGATCGAGTTGGCATCTTTGAGATCGATATTGAGGTCGATCATGTCCTCTGAAAATGTCCAGGCCTTGTCGGTGATATTGATTGTCGCTATCCGGTACAGTCCTAGCAAGCATCAAGGTTCTTCGATATGGGCGCCGAGGCCAGTGCAAACCTTGCCGGATTGAACGGGCTAACAACTTTGGAAGGAGCCACGGAAACGTGTCCGAGGTGACAGGTTTGATATGCTTCATAGATAGGGCGGTTCAATACTAGGTGATCGTGAACGTCAGTATCGCAGCCATATATTATGTAGCAGCTGAACGGTAAGAAAAATGGAATTAGATCAGTATTCATGTAAGGCGCAAGTGGAAAACGTTGTATAACCCTCGTGGCAAGCACAAACACTTGACAAACCCCTTCAGATAGTCTATAGCAGCACCAAGTATGCGAATCATACCATCTAAGTTCCCTGAAGTCTACGGTTGAAGGCAGAAGGGTAATCTTCCACAATGAGGATCTGGTGCAGTGGAGGAAGGGCCGCCGACAACACATAGATCGGACCGTGCCGTTCACTCCTCTCGTGTTTGCTTTCTTGGCACCCGGCCTCCGTTACTTCTAGTTGCTTAACTGCCAGACTTATAGCCCTAAAGAGCACCAGCCAAGCCCAGTCAAGGCTATGGCAGCCTTACGCAGCAGGGCTGTGATCACGCCGAGGTCTTGGCCTCATCAAGCAGACGCCACGATTGGAGCGCCAACGGGCTCAGGAACCAACGGAGGATGCTTGGCACAACTTGGGGCTATGTTTAGCCCGCGACCTAAGCCACATGGCTCTACGTGCGCGGGCGCCTCTGCCAGCATATATGTAGTCTTTGCTGATCAGATGCCAAAACCTAGTCGTTTGTTGAACATCCCCCCTAAAAAGCTCCGGTAAGATCGGGCACTCGAGATGTCACCCACCCAACGCTTCTACGGCTTGGAGTATCGCGCAGTGGAAGACTCCGATAATCAGGATGAGGGTGTGTATTGTACTGTCGGGGCCCAAGAATCTTGGGGGTTCTAGGGCTAAGCTTTGACCAGTGGAAGGCCCCATCGACGCCGAGTGCAAATACCCGGCGTTCCCACCAAAATCCACGACGAAACGCAACCGATACATCATCACGGGAATCATATGGTCCGGCCTTCTGCTCCTGGGGTCCTTTCTAAGCCTCAGCATTGTCCTAACCGTCCTACTAGCCGTCGAAACAGACAACACGGGTTTCAGCACCGACAATCCTGACTATGCTCTGTACAAAAACACCGGGTTCAAAGAATGCATCAGCACACCCGTATCCGCCCTACCGTCCAACTGTTCCGTCATCCGTGAGAGTCTCCGTAGCGAGCCAGGGGGTGTATTGGCTTTGCTGCGTCCCCATTTGCGCCACTCAAGCCAGAGTTGGTGCGAGGTCATGAGTTGTTTTCAGGATTTCAAGATCATTCCCTCTATGCCCCGGCCCTCGGCCTTCTGGCCGACCGCGCTCGACACCTGGAACAAGACAGCCATCACCTTCTTCATGGTCACCTGGCAAGTGAACAAGCTCCACCAGGCCCTGTACAGCAAAAAAGGACAGCCCTGCCGGGGCATCGAATGGGACACGTGGGTCATCCTCGCCTGGGATCTGGGATCCTTCGTCTGGTGGTGCGTAGGGCTGGGCCGGTTCGCCGTGCGGCCGGCATTCTACTCCCCCCCGTCGATGCTGGGCTGGATCACACTCTGGAAATACTGCTACATCACCCGCTACCACCCCTACTCCTGCGTGCTGCGCCATGCTCCGCGAAAAGCTCAGATCATCCGGTGGACGCTCACCGCGGTGGCCACGCTGCAGTGGGCGGCGTCAGCCTACCTCTGCCTCCGCGCCCTGCACTTCCGCAACACGCCCGGCACGCCGAGACCGGCCTACGACTGCCTGGAGGCGCGCTTCGCCGCGGCCCCCGGCACCACAACCTGCACGCCCGCGCAGATCTGCGCGACCCCGTCGCTGCTCCACTCCTTCAGCCTCCAGTGGCCCAACCAACGACTCGGGGGGTGGATCTCGGACGTCGCCTTCTTCGCCGCCCTGTCTCTCCTGGCCGTCATCATGGTCGCGGTAATCGGCCTCTTCCCTCGACTGGCCCGGCTGATTGGCGGCGGGGATCTGGCCACGTGGCGTCGGCGAGCGGCCACAGTGGACTTCGGGTTCGCGGGCAATGTCTGCTTGGCGGGCGTGGCGTGCACCATCTACGGTGGCATGACGGTCGTGGATGCCATCCGCGCCTTTGGGCGGGGTCGCGAGGCGGCCGTCGTCTTCAATTATGATTGCACCGCGCTGCATGTCAATGTGAGTCCGTGGCGGTACTACTTGGATGTTGACTATGAGTTACCTGTGAGGGTGGCGAGGATGTGGTTCATTGCATAGTGGGTGCAGGTCCTGGGGGTTTTTGTATATAATGCGCCCTAACGACTAGGTAGTGATGAGAGCGTGAAGATGAATGGATTTCAGCTATCTGGCGAACTATCTAACCTGGCGGCCGAAGGCGGTGAGCTGCCTGACCGATGAGGAGGTCAGGCCTCTCACAACAGGTACCTTGGTTTAAATACTCTCAATTCCTGCCTGTCAGGTCTTTGCATTCTGAATATGATCCTCTACCACACCGGGTAACGGTAACCTCTGTGTTTGTAGCTTCTCATTTATCCTCCCGCCCATATACCTGACGACATATTGCCAGACCTCATCGTTCGCTGCCGAGTAGAGAGGGGACTTCGAGATTCGAAGTTGAGTTCCGTCGTGGATGGCGATCAGATACCGTACCTTGCGTCCAATAAAGGAGACAAGGAGGACCTAGCAACGACAGACCAGGAATGTTAGCACTAACTCACCCAGTCAGAACCGAAGCGACATCCCAACCTACCGGAACAATCATGTCGAGCACCCTTTCCACAGACTACCGGGAATACATGAGCGCCACAATGACTTTCAGTTCAGCTTTGAGCAAGTGGCGCTCTGCGTTATCAACATCGCTGTGGCTGAGGATCGCTTTCACATGCGGTGGCAAGGGTCGAATCCGGCAAACATAAAGTGCTTCGAGGTCCCACATGATCTCGGTGCCGGGGATCACCTCATCCACTTCGAAAACGGGTTCCAAGTTGGACAAGTCCCTGGCGAAAGGCGCTTAGTTTGTAACGGCCACGCCTTGAATCTGGCTTGGGGGTCTCGGGACTTACCTTACCCGCCACTTGTTTAACCAAGTGAGCTTCTGTGTCCCGTCTTCGCAATTCAAACGTGAGCTTGACATCTCGATGTGGAGGCATCTGGAAAGTAGGTCTGCAGCACCATGGGATGACATCGTTCTATTTGTAAATCCCCTGAATTCCGGATGTAGTGCGGTCGCCTGATAATTGAACCATCTAGCAGTGTCCGAGTCGGAGAGATTCACGGGGTGCTCTCGGACGTAGTCGTACGCGAGAGGGACAAAGTAGTTGGCCGGATTCAGAGCTAGTGGGATGTTCGGATCGGTGTCGGTATCGCTGGTGAGGTCAAATGGTAAGATGAGAACGTCGAGCTTGGCTAACTGCTCGGGGTCCATCAAGATCGGATCGAGCTCCATCGCCCTTGTCACCTCGTACGTGGTCCAGAGGTTGGATAGTACCTGCTCACGCTGGGAGTCTAACTCATCCTCATCGCCCGCACGCGGGAAGTGACGTAGCAGGTTTTTGATGAAACGGATAGTTCTTTTGATGATAGACATCACGCGCGATGGATAATGATTTGGTTGTACTCTGGGAAGAGAGATATAGGTTGAAGGGCACGGCGAAAGAGGAGTTTAGGTGGGTTGGTAGGCTTGCAGGTGTTCCGGTAGAGATTGTTGATGTCATGCGGCGGACCGCTGTTGCGCCAGGCTCGGGAACGCTTCACTGTGCTCGATGATGTGAATGATCCAAGTAATGAGATTCCGTTCAATTGGTATAAAGCTGTGACTTGTTTTACGTGATTTTGGTATTGCGGGCTGGGTGAAGGGGATTCACTAAACAGTCGCAAATATATCGGGAGTTGTCTGTGAATAGGCTCCCGACTATACAAACAGCCGGGATCTACTGAGATATTGAGCGGCTTGCCGATTTCCTTATAATGGAAAGAAAATAATTATGTGTCGTGTGTCTGGGTGCTCATTGACATCTACCAGTCCACACAGTCCTCTTTGGCTCAGATCCCAGAGCATGGCTTAATTTCTCGTCGCCGGACCTGATCTAGATCCTGACGCTTCCTTGCCTCTTCACCTCATCCCCTATAATGACACTGCAGACAGTAAGTACTATCAGAGTTAAGCACCGAATTGACAACCGAAACCCGAACGTGGATCTCTCAAAAAGGCCCCTTTCTATTTGTAATCGCCGCCCACTCATACCTTGTCCATCACAACCTTATCCGCATTCACCCCATCCTCTTCTTCACTGCGCTTCAGCATCCCCATCATTCTCGACCAGATTCCTTGATTCACACGTCCCTGCACCCAATAGCCCGCCTGTCTGCCCTCATCTCCATCGCCATCCGCATTCCCCATTCGCGCAGACGCCCTCGCCTTACACGTCGTCAACCCGTCGTCCATCCGCACTCCAATTTTCGTCAATGGTCGACTCAATCGCGTATTCCCGAGAACAAAAACGGGCCTCGTGCCTTTGACGTCCAATCCATACCAAGGCAGATGACACCACGAAGTCAGCGCTACCCGGGGCGTGCGGGAGCCGTATCCTCGCGGAACTGCCGGGGTGTCCCGGACTGGCAGATGTTGGTCGATGATCTGGGCCACGCAGACGGGATCGCGGGCGTCTTGGATGGTCTGGCGTATATGGTGAGCGATGTCGACGAGATCGTCCGATGCCGATGAGGCGGGGGCAACAGGTGCAACTGGGACGTTGATCCAAGGGTTGGTCAGGGCGCCTGCGGCCGAAGCGAGATGCGATTGGATGTTGAGGGTAAAGATGAGGCCGGTGTGGGCTTCCTCTTCCTTGGCGGTTGGCGAGAAGGCCGACTACGAGCAATTAGTATCGAAACGGGAACCCCTGGGCGGGGGGGGGCAATGGATTGGAGGGGTCTGTCTGGGTGGATTTAAGGCACCGTACCTGATAGATGAACGCCATCAAGAGGTCATGTTCCGTGACTTGAACTCCCCTGCTCTGCGCCTGAGCCATCCACTCATCGATTCGCGACTGTGGCACGAAGAGCATTCGGCGCACCCGACGGGCGGAAGTGGGACAGAACGCCCAAAGGCGTTGGCGGAGATACGCCACCAGGAACCTTGCCCAGCTCACCTGAAACCCTTGCGAATAGCGAACGGCAATCGGGTGGTTCGGCGTGTCGGCGTGGGCGGCCGCGGTTTGCCCAGCCTCGATCACCTCGGTTTTGAGGAAGAATTCGGGTCGAATTGCAGTGTCTCCTCGAACATGCGTGCCTGATAGCAGAGCGCAGTACGTCTTGGCAATCCAGTGGATCCCTGGAGCCAGTTAGCAACAAGAAGCACATGGCGTCGGAGGTTGCGAGGACAATTAGCGTACCCCCGGCATCGGATAGTGCGTGTTGAACGATGAATTGGATGACACATGCATCGCGCAGATGGATTGTTCGGATGGACAGTACCTGTCGGCCATCGTGCTTCCCTCCCTTGAACCGAACCAGTTTCTCCAGTATCTGGGGGTCGTAAAAGACAGGCTCGGGCTCGGCTTCGGTCGAGCACAATTCAGCGGTGTTCGATGGTACAAACTCGTCCAGGCGCAGATTGACTGTCCTGGCACGAAAGGTTGTCCCGAGCTTGCTGGGAGTGCGTTTCCCCTGGATAAATCTCGAGCGCTGCGTGACCGTGTGAAGTTAGCATTACTTACAAAAGTAAACCTCGTTCGTGTGGCTGCGCAAAACCCGCCTTCATATTCAACCTTGTACCCAGGATCGGATATTCCGTAATCATTTGGCGTGTCGCCGCCAGACATTCCTCCGGCGTCAGTTTGACCGGCAACGCAACCGTCAGATACACCTCGAGCTGGCGCGAGAAGGACAGCTCTAGCGGTGAGAGCTCCATCTGCTGCTCCAGTGACCGCTCGGAGCTTGGTGGTGAGCATGGAACAGTATTGTCCAAAGGCTGTTTCTCCAACATCATCTTCAAGATCGTGATCGATGCACTTTGACATCTCGCGTCTTTCCTCCTGGCCCCCCTGAAGATGCAGACGGAGGTATATGTACCCTCTACTCCGTACTTCCGGGAGATTCGGCCGATGTGGGGCTTTACCCTGTGCGGATCACGATGCAAAGATAGTTAATGAATAGGTTCGACAGTCTTCGGGAAATAAATCGCGATCGTCGTGGCACCGTAACTGTAATCTGGCCTGCATGCGAGGGGAGCCAATAGGAGGCTGGCAGCGTTTTTCCAGCATCTTAGATAATGGGGTTGAGGGTCTGGAGTTTTCATTTTCAAGACATGGCTATTTTTATCCTCTGTTTACGTCTATGTTGAGGCTTCTGATGTATTAGTTTTTCAAATCTCCATGCGAAAAAATGGATTCAACCGTCTGGGCCTACGCTCGCTCCCAAACCAGCCCGATTATCGCCCTCGGTCGGATCCGTGATTCTTCATGGATCCAGGAATTATCGAGCCATGATCCGGATTAGGAAATTGACCATTCAGGGGGAGCAAAAAGCAGGATCTGCAGTGTCGATCTTCGGGAAAAGCCAAGGAAGATAACTCGAACCCTTCGCTTGGCGGGCCAAGTTGCGCGTGGTGGAGCCGCCCGAATACGATCAGCAGTTTCTACAGCGAGTCACGACGCGGCCCGAATCTTGATTCCGTGGGCGACGAAGTTGAAATCGATCCGGCATGGGGTCAAGGAAATTGGACGCCATGTGGAACTGTCATGCAGCAGCAGCCGGCCCCTTTTCCCTCGTGGCTGTAGCGGGAAAAGAAAAAAAAAAAAAAAAAAAAAAAAAAAAAAAACTTGAAATGGTGCTGCAGCTCGGCCCGCGGGCAGCAAAACCTGGAATGCAATAATCTTACCCAAGCAGTCACAAAAGGATGGGGGTGAAACACATAAAAGGGGGGGGATTGGCTTGTGGTTACTAGGTACCCACTCAAATACTAAGGTAACCTCCCGGCGTGTGGCTTGAACGCGGCCAGAACGCGGGTTGGTGTCATTCATTAGGGCTTACTCTCTGACAGCTCGGAACACGAACTTGCGCCTCGGCACCAGGTTCGAAAATTGATCTATGAGACCATAGTTGGACGTGGTCAACTCCTCCAACAGAGAATTTCGGGGAGGTATGCGGAGGCAAGACAGCACGTTCTCGTGGTAGAAGACAACGTTTCAACAGGCGAAGTCTCAGTCACGGATTAAATGCAGCGGACTTTGATGTCTCTGAAGGATTTAATAGTCAAGAGGCCCTCGACAAAGTTGAGGGTCAGACCTATCTCTGTTTAAGGTTCCTATCTTGTGGATAAAGATATGTCCGTTGTGGACAGGAATTCGGCCACTGATAAAAATTGGTAAAAGCCAAAAGCTTAGCAAAATACATCCACCCGCGATAGGCGTGTTGCAAACACTAGAGAGGAGCAATAAGAGCATATGATGGCTGCTGGAGTTGGGGACGTGATTTTCAAGCCCTATCCACCGCACGAGCCACTTGAAAGGATCAATCTCTTATATTCTCCGAGGAACGACACTAGAGGTTTGCGATCTTGGACTTGCGCGTATCGTGTCATGTTGTACGGAATCCAAGGAGAATTGTTACGAATGGAGTTGATTTCACCCAGAGAATATGTGGGGTAGTGGAAGGTAGGTGGCGCTAGTATCAAGATACTATGGTCCGTGGAACGTTTGTGAATGTGTTGATTGATACCAACCGTTGTTAGTACTAAGGCGAGCTAGGATCATGAATTCATTCTCGGAACAAAATTTCCAAACAGAATTTGTGAGCAGCTGTACATATAATAGTACTGCGACATAAAAGTTCAAAAGATAATTCCCGCCTTCCGAAATCTCTCAAATGCTTCCAACCAGCCATCAACCGGATCTCGCTGCTCCGTAAATCCCACCGATCTCAACCTCTTAGAACTGAACTGTCGGTCAAAAGTGAGCCACCACCCGACAGAATCCAACTGCTTCTTTCCCTCGCCAACCCCGCAGGTCAGTGCCTTTGGAGCCCCATTTTGAGCGAACAGATGGCGGTATTGGTCGATGTATTCACTTGGTTTTACAGTGTCGTCTTCCGCTGGTCCCACCCCTTTCAGCCCGAACCAGGCCGCGATGCCCGGCCAGAGGTCGCTAGCGCTGACCGGCGTATCATTATCCAGCATGTTGACGATCTTCCCACCACATGATTCTGGATGTTGTGCGGCATGGATTGCAATGCGACCGAGAATCTCACCCGACACAGGCGTATACAGCGACCGATACCCAGCTTCGCTCCCAGGGAACGGAACCTCTACCGCTTTGTCGGTGGAGCCTCTGTGATTATAGGCGTATAACGAAAGGTACTGCGCCCAGTGGAGAGCAAGAGAGTACGCCGAGCCGTTGGGGGAAAACCCAACCACGGCATCCGGACAGACCTCAGTCCAGGTCCACTTGCGATCCTTGCTGGCCTCGGTCAAAATCTTTCTGAACCACGGATATGCGACGGTCTTGGCGTAGTCTTCCGGCAGGGTGTCGGCCATGGATTCCTCGAGTGGTGGCTGGAAGACACCCTCGGGATTGTAGATACCGTAGCCCTGCTGATGTTAGCCTCCACTCCCGACATGTGACTAACTGCCTACTTACTCTTGATCCGCCGGAATACACGAACGATCGGAGCCTTGGGGCGACGATGTTCAACGCGTCGGCCAGTCGCTGCATGATACCGCAGTTCTGGGTGCACTCTTGGGCAAAGTCGTCGTTGAATGGCGCAAAGACTGATTCATGTTAGTATATCGTGTATGTCGTCATCGCAGCCCTGTTTTCGGCCAATGCCTACCGAAATAAAAGACGTGGGTTATCCCCTCCACGCCGGAGACCTTTTCTTTAAGTTGCTTCGCCAGATCATCTGTGCTTGTTTGTAGCAGATTGATCCCCGAAACTAGCTCAAAAGAAGGTCTGTTTGGCCCTGAAGGCAAACAGAGGTCGGGCTCTGCGACGGGCCGATTGAGCACCGCAGTGACACGAGAGAATTGGCCTCGCGAGGGGTACTCAGAGAGCAGTTGGTTCAAGGTCGCCCATCCGAGCAGTCCAGCTGCCCCGAAGACAATGGCATGAGATTCTGTCGCCATTGATGTTATGTCGTCAAGTGTTGGGAGAATGCGGTAGGCCGGGTGTTGTCGCACTTCCCCGCTCTGTGAGAATTTATTTAAGGTCTCGGGAATTCCAGGCGGGGTCTATTTTGGGGTTAGTGTAGCCCGCGCAGTTGGCGCAATCAGAATGATTCATAATGAGTAAGTTAGTAGTAGTTACAATGAAACTGGCATGCCAGTCCCAGACTCGAGCCAGGCCCGCCCAAACGCCTCCATTGGAGAAGATGGTCTTTGTTCTACAGAATGCGAAGGGTGAGGTGGGGCGATCGTCAGGATGATACTACAGGCGGTATTGACTTTTCATACCTAGTAGACGGGAATCAACCCTCGATCTCGGTGTTCGAAATGCTTCTCGCATCACAAAGCCTGTCCGATCTGTGCTTGAGAGTCTACTTCTCGCAGACCTATTCCGATGCCGAGTTTATTATCGTGAACTTTGCTCTATACGGTACCGATTTCCCTCACCTTCCCTCCCTTCCCTACGGAATTGAAATGTCCAGCTGAGGGTCCCATAACAGCTTTGATTTATATGCCGTGAACATCCTGAACCCCCCCCCTCTCCTGGAATCTCGTGGGCATGGCGTCCCAGCATGCTCGTACACCCGGGTTCCACACTCGCTCGGTCGGCACGAGAGACCTCTCGAACACCCTCAACTCCAAAGGGTTTCTCTTCTGGGCGATCTATGTGCTGGAAAGGTTCTTATGCCTGCGGCTAGGCCGGACCTCGTCTTTGCAGGACGGCGATGTGACCTTACCCCCGCCCCAAGCATCAATGGCGGGTGAGTCGGCTCTCGCATACTTCGGTAACACGGTCATGGTTGCCAGTCTCGCGGGAAGGGTCTATGAGCAGCTATATTGCGCCGGGGCGCTTGGTCTGCCAGCCGATGCACGGCGAATCCGAGTGGCCACGTTGTCGCAGGAGCTGAATGATCTGATCGAAACTTCACACACCATCAGGGTAAGGACTTCGAACATGTTCCGCGTCTGTTGGTTCCGATGGGCTCATGATTGGTACCACCGCACATATATTCTAGGATAATTGGATTCGCCATGCAGTGGATCACAATGATCGCGAGACTGCCATTCACACGGCCATGACCGGGGACGTCCAGCGGTTTTCCATGCTGACGCTCATCCACCGCGCCACCCCACCCCACAGCCTTGAAACCACCATTAGCAAGGGGTGCATTACCACGGCCCGCCACCCACTCGAAAAGCACCAGGACATGATTCGCAATCTTCATCTGCAGGGCTCCATTCTTCTGACCTCTTATATCACCTGGTACCAACCGCTCCCCCTTCCCCCCAGATAGCTTTTTAACCCAGACCGTATCATGAGGGAAGAGAAGCATATTGGCCCTTTCATCCTCGAACCACCTCAACTGACTCACTCAATCGACTCACCCATCATGAGCAGGTCCATCCTATTTGTCCCTTTTGTCCCCTTCATCGCACTCTTCTGCCACGTCATCGAAACCGGCGATGAGGACCTCGCGAGCATGCAGACATTCGTCACTTCGCTCGAGTCCGCCTGCCCGAGCTCGCGGGCCATCGCCAAGCACCATCGTCTCTTCCAGGTCTTCCATCGGGTTGCGCTGCGGTACAAAGCATGTCGGGATACGAGCAGCCTGTCGCAGCAAGAGTCTTTCAGCCTGCGTTTGGAGATGAATACTCAACTCCACGCGCTCGGATTGCAGGTTCCGACGCCGCCTCCGATAGGGCGGGGAATTGGTGAGGCCAGTGCGGTTGGGGCCTGGTCTGGTTGTGGTGGTGGTACCGCTGCTGCTGCTGCGGATGCAGATGCGATCGACCCTGGTTACTCGGCGGCCTCAGACGTAGATCCCTGGAAGGAATCAAGCCTGCAACTGGGTGAATGGTTCTCATTCAGCCAGAGTATGATGGACTTGGCAGACGGGGACGAGTGGTTTTCATAGATTGTGTGGGTGTGTAACCCTTCAATATGACTTTGCTTCGACTGTCCATCCGAGGTCACCAAAATCCTCGGCGAGAGAGGAGTCGGTTTACGGCTGGAGTCCATGTCCACCGCACTTCGGAGGTTCTCTACCCTTTGCTTCTTACCGTATCGCTAGGATGGCGCTGCGATTCAAGGAAGCCTGATTTACGCGACGGGCGGGCGATCTCATCTGTTCTAAGGAAAGGAAAGAGAAAATAGATAGATAGAATAGCTAACACTAGGTGCCGCAGTTGTACCGGGGCCCTCTCCACAACAACTCCATTGGAATGCCCCCATGAAATGTCGCGCGGTGTTTGGGTGGCATTTGAAAACACCTTCACTCCACTCCCAGCGCAGTCTTGATCAACCGACAGCCGGCATTGACTGTCAGATCCAGCAGGGAGGGCGCGATGTCAGGATTGATTTCCACCAGGTCTAATGCAATCAGATTCCCCGATTCATGCAGTCGCCTGGCAACCCGCACCCCTTCCTCGAGCGACAGTCCCGCTGGCACCGGGAACCCGGTGGAAGGCGCCCATTCCGGGTCTAGGGAATCGATGTCATACGAGGCGTGGATCGGCGTGTCGGGTCCCAGATGATCCAGGGCGGCGTCCATGATCTTGTCAATTCCCAGCCTAAATTAGTCCCAGAAAAACCATTGTGATCATTAGCTAAGGTCTCTATATTCAGAAGTACTTATCTCCGGCGGTTTCGGGAGTGGGGGCGCAGGAAAAGAAACAAGCACAAACCCACCGATTCACATCCTCCATCGTGAAGGCCTTGACCTGATGACGGGCAATGAGCTCTTTCTCCGCCTCGTCGACATCCCGGAGACCAATGTAGACGAACCGCCGCAGATTGATGCGGTGGCTCGGCTCCAGCCAGTCAAACACCCCCCTCTGGGGCGAGGGGGCAAGGCCCGATGCAAACGCCACGGGCATGCCGTGGAAGCGGCCACTCCTGCTGGTCTCGGGGGTGTTAATGTCGGCGTGCGCGTCAATCCAGAGCACACCCAGCTCCTGCTGTCTCTGCTGCTGCTGGCCGGCGAACCGGTCGCGGAGGGCCTTTGCGGTCCCCGTGACGGTCCCCGCCCCGATGGAATGGTCGCCCCCCACCGTCAGCACAAACCGTCCTCGGCGAGCGTGCCGATAGACTGCACTGCTCACGCGCTGGACCGCTGCACTCACTTCGCGCGGTCGCTTTAGCCCCAGCCCTATACCCAGTCTCTCCTCCTCCTTTTCCTTCGCCTCTGTCTGGTCGGCGGGGGCAGGTTCAGCCGCCAACATATCGAAACTGATGGCCAGGTTGGCTTTGGTAGCGATCTCTTGGAAGACCCCGGTTTGCATGATTGCTTCCGGTCCCTTCTCGGCGCCGGCTCGAGGCTGCAGGAGTCATATCTTTCCCGTCAGTAAACCATCCCTCCCAGTGCGAGTGGAGTTTTCTGTGCGTATCTCGGCGGGCAGGTTGAGGAACAGAAGGTCATACCGCTCCGCAGGAGAATTTGGCGGCTATAATAGCCAAGTGCGTTCCATCCGCGAGAAACTTCATCGTGGACGATATATTAGGCATTGTCGTATGAAATCCGCGAGGAACTCTCTCGAAGAGAAAGAGGATTCAGGGGGAAGATAGGCGGGGGGATAAAGTATTTGCTTCGGGAAGATTGGCTGCAGTTGAAGAACACTGCATCTTCTATGTACAATACCAATCCCTGCGGGCTCGGCTCGAATGAACTTTAGCGGTCGAGGCGGGTCCACCCTCGCTCTCTACCCGCTCTTAAAGTCAAGTTTACGCGGTTTCGATCCCGGATTTTTAGGGTTCCGCGGTGATAACCGGATTCTATGCACAATCACAGTAGGGGGTCAAGAAAAGCAAGGTAAACGATAAGTAGTTCACGCCCCCTTCCCCAAATCCACACAGAGGAACAACCATCTGATGCTCGGACCTTGCGACGCTGTCTAATCACGGCCAGCCAGCGAAGTACCTAAGTCTTGTAAAAGCCAGACGTCGGGAACATCCAGTCTCCGCTTTCGATACATTTGGTAAGCTTTGCCTGTGCGGAACGCTTCGCAAACCGTCGGGTGTGTGTACACAAATGTTGCATCCGGTCGTCCAGCACCCCTTGTTGGATGAGAAGGTAGTCAAGACTATCCTACAAACATGGTATCCTATTACACTGTGGAAACCTTTCGAGGAGGGATAGATACCTTGTCCCATTCCCACAGTAGGCGGTCAGCGATAAGGGGTTTCTGGCAGAGGGTCCTTGCGATTGACCTAAGCTGCCATGTCAGCATGATTGTCATGATAAGTAGATGACCTTCTAGAGATATCCGTGCCCGCATGCTCTCTGTCCATCTACGGCTTGTATAACGGCCATCATGTTTGACCACACCCGTCCGGATCAATCTAACTTTATCTCCAATGCCTACTTTCATCCGTTTATAATTGATTTAGTAATTTACGGATAAATACATTCTGTTACTGCCGGTAAATCAAATGCTTTAATTGTTGTTCTGCCGATTCCTCTGAAGAAATAATCTGATGTCAGTGAAATCGTCCTGTCCGGATTCGGTCTGGCTTGCAGATGATATAAGCTTAATGGAACAGTAGATCCCGGTTGCTGCGGATTCGACTGCTTCCATTACGGCGAGTTGACGATATCATCACCCATGGCCAGATGATATCTTTCGATCCGCGGGGTATTCCTGCTAGCTTCTCGGTCATCTATCCTTCAATCGGCAGTTCGTTCAGCGCCGGATACAGCATCATTTCAGCCAATCCGGATTCGGCATCCCGCATATGAGACAATAGTTCACCCACACTGTTCGGATTAATGAGTCAAGTGGGTCATGGTGGGGCTGCTCAGCTGCGTTCTTATCGGGGGATATCTTTGTAGGTACCATTGCAGTGGGACATGAACGCGACTTCCCTGTAAAGACATGTCTGCTATTCTGCACATCACTCTCGAAATTATCATCGATCTACGAACATGAGTCGCTGTGCACAGCCGACACCGCTTCCCAAGGCCTGCTCCAGTACAGTACATAAAACCCACCGAGTCTCCTCCCTTTCTCTTGCCTCCCTACTCGTGCAACAAAACTCTCCATTCTCACTCTTTCCATCCTACTAGCCTTTTCAAGCATCATGCGGCGAATGAACGACGACGACTGGCGGGAACTCGGGATTGGCCTCGGGCCGCTGGGACGGGGCATCTACTACGCCTGTATGTACACGCCCCACGGATCAACCTAGCTTCTCGGACGCAAATTCTAAGTTTTCCAGGGAACGCTGTCGCTGACAGCGATGGCAACCCTGAATGGGGGACCGGGGTCAGCATGACGGGCTGGACGCTCGCCTGCAACGACAACGATGATCTCGTCTTCCTGAAGACCGAGGGGTACACTTTCGCCTACTTTTGCGACAACAGCGCGCCTGGTGGCGCCTACTTCGCCCTTCACGACTTCGCTGTTAAGTCGCGCGAGTCGGACGCCAAGTTTATGGTGATGCACCCTTTCAGTGGCGGCGGGTGCGACCGGGACCAGATGGTGGAGTGGGCGCGACGCTGGAGCGGTTATGAGGTGACCGGAGACGAGAAGGAATATTACATGCGGTTGATCCGGGCAGCAAAGGCAGGAGAAGGGCAGGAGCAATAGATATTGCAGTACAGGCCCTGATCTGAATCTATCCAAGGAGATGGCGAATCCTACACTCCATTTACCTGTAGAACTTGCATATTTTTACGTATATATGGAGTACTGTGACTCTGTGTGTATCCTTAGCTCTAGCTACAAAGTCTTGTATCTCCTTGCGCTGGCCCCTATAACTCGGGCCACTCGGCACCCTGCACTATATACTGCACTACTACATAGTCCGTCTCCGCCGCTGGCTCCTCTACCCCCAAGATCGGATATAGACACAGCCGGCTGGAGCCGAGCATGCGTCGAATTCTATGTAAGGATAGGAAACCCCACCATGAATCGGAATCTCGGATTATTGGCCGAATAGAAGGTTAGGTAGATCGATCGGTAGATCCCGGCCCTTGCCATGTTCAGCATGCCAGCAAAGATCATGGACTGGAATGGACCACGCAAGTGGGAATTCTTGTTTCGCTGCCCGGCGACATCCCGTACATGTAAACTGAGATGTTCTGCGATTTGTCAATGCGTGGCCTTGTCAGATATACCAAGGAAAGCTTATCCGCCATGATGCGATTGGAAACGCTGTCCTTACAACCTACAGCGTACAAGTTAGCCCCAGCTGGATTAGGAGTCCATCGGTACAATCCACCACGATGATATTGACATTACAGTATTAGTATAGAACGAGACCATTCTCTGTTAATACTCTCTTCTACGTGTCTGCGTTTCACATTAACTTTCCACAATGTATATACAAATCGACAGTACTTATCATCTTAAAAATGACAGGTTTGGAAATGTTTTACCTGCATTAGACGAGCAAGTATCATAAGGATCAGGCCCCCGGTTGCTCGCGCAGTCATTTGAAACAAGCGCCGATTCTAGCGACAATTGTATAGACTGAGGATATACACCTTGGTTACCCAACAAGTGAACTGTGACGAACAAGATAAAAGGTGAGATAAATGGTGGGAAAGAAAAAATAAATACAAAAACATACAACAGAAGGGATTCGCTGGTGGTCACCCACCCAACTACTAACCTCCCGGCGTGTGGCTTAAGTACGGCTGAGCGGACGGGAAGCCCTGTTTTCCACACCCTGTGGTCGTATGTACCATATTTTAAAAGGCTGAGGCTTGTATCCTATTCAGCAAAAGTGGTTGTCACGACGCCATTACTTGAAGACAGACTGTTGCTCAGCCCCATCCTGGCATGTACTGTACATCTCTCTATACTATAAGCTGATACGTCTAATTATTGATACATACCAGTGTTGCATCTCCGCAACACAGCATTCAGCACTGTATGATGCTACACCACCACATCTCCTCCTCCACCCCGCACATACTCGGACACAGCCGGATGTGGAGTATGCATAATCTCGGGGCTCGAGAGTTCGATCCCGGCTCTTGTCGTGTGTAGAGTGCTAGTGAAAATTATGAATCAGGCAGTGCCACGCAGCGAGGATCTTTCAATGCGCTGAATAGCTTTTGTACACAGATATACCTCGATATTGACTTGCGTGTGCTCTCATCAGATATAAGAAAAAAATTCGGTCCAAACTTGCTGGAAAACGCTGTCACTTACGCCCTACGGACCAAAGCCCCCTTGAATATACAGTGTGATTGGCAATCCAGCGATCCGATCCACCGGGATGACATTAACATCAGAGCATCAGTATATAATAAGGACAACCCCTGTCAGTTTTCTCTTATACTTTCATTCAAACAGCACTTCCTGCAATCTAACTTAGAAAGAACAAAGCTCCTCAACTTCGGTAACATTTCGAACCCATAATCCCTCCCGCCACCATGAACAACTCCAGTCTCCACGAAGCCATCATCTCCTCCTTCCTCGCAAACCAGCGTGCCCCGACAATCCGCGAGCTCGCCGCTCGCTTCCAGTGCACTGAATCAGAGGCTCGACAGGGCCTACAAGCGCTAGCCGACTATCACGGGGTCGTCCTCCACCCGCACTCCGACGAGATTTGGGTGGCGCACCCCTTCTCCGCCGCCCCGACGACCTGCATCGTCTCCTGCGGCGAGCGCACATGGTGGGGCAACTGCGCCTGGTGCTCGCTCGGCGTGATGCAGCTGGCCGGCGGCACGGCCTCGCTCACCACCCGCCTCGGCGCGATCGGCGACGAGGTCTCCATCGCCGTCAAGGACGGGGAGCTGGTCGACAAGGACTACGTCATCCACTTCCCCATCCCCATGGCCAACGCCTGGGACAACGTCATCTTCACCTGCTCCGTCATGCTGGTCTTCCGCAACGAGGCCGAGGTCGACGACTGGTGCGCCACGCGCGGCATCCGCAAGGGCGACGTCCGGCCCATCGACCAGATCTGGACGTTCGCCAAGGAGTGGTACGGTCGCCATGCTGATGCGGACTGGACCAAGTGGTCCCTGCGCGAGGCGGTTGAGATCTTCCGTCGCCATAATTTGAACGGGCCGGTTTGGGCGATTGGGGGTGATACGGAGCGCTTTTGAGCGTGATATGCTGGGTGAGGGCGTTGTGTTGCGTGTCGAGCGGGAGTGCTGCTTGTCAAAGATGAGCTATGTGTCTAATTCTTAGGTATTTGTAAGGGGGTGTCTTTGACGCTTACTGATATCGCGCGACTTGGGAATGTATCCAGAGCAACCTAATTGTATTCGCAAGATTGGCGCAATCGGGGTCATGTATTCACAGAAAGTAAGATTTTGAGGTTGGAAGAGTAGAATGGTGGATACCCGTCCAATTTTTTAGGCGTGGGTTGTAAAGAGTAAGGTGCCAAAATCCAAAGTTTTCCTACCTAGCCAAAGGAAAAACAAGACTATATTTACTATTTACGTTCCCAAAATCTAAGCCTCCCTACCAAGCCCCACACGTGTGAACCGTAAAACGAAGCCCTATTCCTTTATATCGTGTGTTGTGTGTACATACAAGGTAGTCGGATGACCTTTATATACATTAGTCAGTATCATCTGGATTAAGCTAAAAGTAAAGCCATGTCGACAAGAGGGGCTTTCTATCTGGGTGGAATGTGCTCAGGGGGGTGTTGATACAGAGTCCGACAAAATAGCCACAGATACAGATAATCTTAGTACGTCGCACCAAATTTGCCGTGACAGGGCTTATCTGTTAGAAGTGATGATGAATAATGATTGCCAAAGGCAGAAGGTAAATGACGGAGGAGATGAAATAGAAAATAGCACCAAGTATACAGCTATTTTGACTGTTCTACGCTGCTGGGGGAGATTATGCTGAGTACGGGAAAGTAGATTAGCTATGATCAAATCAGATGACACGGTGGCAGGCAGAGTCCACCGCTTACTTAGCCCAGACAGAGAAATATACATGAAAGATAACTTCATCGACAAAGGCTAGGACATGGCCCTACAACTGACACTTGATTGGAGCAAAGTGACAGGGATTATTACCCACTGATGCAACACAGCCACAGCGCTAGCCTCGAGCGGTCTTTGGCGCCTAATCATCACCACTGAGCTAAAGTTCCACAAATTCTTCCCAAGCAAACTATTCATCGTGAGCAACATAGTGAGAAGCATTGCGAGAATGTCTGCTGCACAGAGTCTCATCCAGAACGCCTTCGATGCCGCAGTGCAGGAGTTCAAAGCAAACCTCAACAACGACGCAGTCTACCAGAAGATCCTCTCCGTTACCTCCATCGATGAAGTCTACGACCTTACCGATCAGCTTCAGGCCGAACAAGGCAGAAAGGGGCACCTGCGACACCTGGCCAAGATCGAGCCTTACCTGAACCGTCTCCGCGACTACGCAGCAGTAATTGAAAACTTTGTCCAAATCAAGCCGGAAATCATGGCCCTGATCTGGGGCCCGATCAAGCTGCTGCTCCAGTGGAGTAGCGTTCTAGCTCAGTCCTTTGATGCAATCCTTCAAATAACGGGCGATATCGGGGTCTTGCTGCCGGAGTTCCAGGATTGCGCGGTCTTGTTCGCGCAAAACAGTCGTATCTATGATCTGATGGTGCTGTTCTTCAAGGATATCCTGGACTTTTACCAGGTGGGGTTGAAATTCTTCACCATGTCGCGTACGTATAAATGGTGGGAGGCTAAAGGATCTGAGCTCAAATGTGATGCTGATTCCGGATATAGGATGGAAGTATTTCTTCGAGTCTGTGTGGCCTCGTAAGAGGGACCGTATCAATCTGGTTAAGACTCATATCGAAAGACACTCTTTGCTTATGCGGAATGAAGTACGTCTAGAGCACATTCGCGAGGAGCACGAGGCTCGATTGAAGGCCTTGGAGCATTTCAAAGCCGAGGAACGTGCTCAGCGACTACAGCAGTTTCATGTGATCAAAACAGATGTCAATCCGAGGATGTACGATGACAAGCTGAACTGGTGTCATGGTCGCATTTGCGACGGGTCGGGCGCATGGCTGCTTAGGGACAAGGCTTTCACCAGTTGGCTGGATTTCTCTGCTGGGACGCCGCCCATTCTCTGGCTTCAAGGCATTCCAGGTGCCGGTATGTGAACCTCGAAGGATCCATTGTCTGCCGAAGAGACTGACACCCAGAGATTTTGTGAAGGAAAAACATTTCTTGCCAGCTTAGCTATCGATAAGACACGCACAGTAGCCCACACGGCCTTCGCTTTCCTGAGTCACACATACAGTAGCAGTACTTCAGCTCTGAGCGTGCTGCACTCTTTGATATTTCAGCTCGCAGGGCGAAATGAGGACATGCAGGATGTGCTCTGCCATTCCACCCACGACCGCATCCGGAGCGATGTTACTGTTGCCGTCGAGCTTCTCAGAGTCTTATTGAATTGTGCAGGTCCCGCATTTTTGGTTGTCGATGGTGTAGATGAGATCGAGGAGCTTGAACGTGGTATTCTCCTCAACCAGCTTTTGCTTCTGCCCGAAAAGTGTCCCGAAACGCGGGTATTTATCAGCAGTCGGCGAGAGAGCGACATTGCTGCCATTTTGGAGAAGATTTCAGAGTCAATTCGAATTGACAAAAGAAACCAGGAAGGCATTCAGGCATTTATAAGTCAGCAGCTGGGACTGATGTTTGAAAGTCGTGAATTTCCACCCGACGTCCAGGCGCAGATACGCCAATCCATGGAGCCGCTAGCTTCAAAAGCCAATGGTAAGACAGATAATCGACCTGATATATCATATCGTACTAATATGTGATTGATCCGACCTTAGGAATGTTCTTATATGCCAAGGTTGTCTTGAGCAGTATTGAGCTGCTAGACGACGTCGCGGAGATTTGCGAAGAGCTGAGCCTCCTACCAGAAGATTTGGACAGCGCGTGAGTCTCTTATACAATGCTGTGAAGAACCAATGCTCAAGGCTCACATGTAAGCAAATAGCTATGCTCGAATTCTACTTCGGATCAACAATCTGCGACCGGCATCTGTCAAGGCGAAAGCCAGAAGGATACTAGCCTGGGTGGGCTGCTCACCCACGCCATTGACTTCGCGGGAGATGGAGCAAGCCCTGAGTATTCAACCCGGGAAAGTCAATGCAGGAAAAAGATTGAGCGCAGCGCCAAATCTCAACAAGCTATGTGGACCAATAGTTGAAGTTATTGGCGAAGAATACGTACAGTTTGTCCACTTTACGGTCAAAGAGTAAACACACTGCAATGGTGGCGCTGAACACATAGCTAACCGACTCAAGATATTTTTTTAGTACAGCCGTAACCGGTCATATCAGCTTTATCGATGGAACTCTCGACTTAGCCACAACCTGCATTACATATTTCTGTCAGGGATTTCACAATCCTGATGTCGTCAGCGATGACGATCAATTCACTCAGCATCTCATTGAAGGTGGTTACAGGCTGCACTACTATGCGCAGGAGAGGTGTTTTGAAGTCCTTCAGATCTATCTACGCTTGTTGGATGGTGCAAAGGCCCCCTCGAGTCTTTTAAACTGCCTCAACATGTTGATGGCTACGCTCAGGAATGATCGATTCGCACTCGCGGCGGATGACGGACGCATTGTGGAAGCTTCGTTTCTGCGTGCCTTTCAAACAGATCACCCAGAGCTTTATCAATTTCTGTACGACATCTATCGATTCCGCCATATGTGCTCACAAGAAACATATCATCTGAATGAAGGTAAGCCCCTTATCGCACAATTGTTGGCCCGATGCCTGGATGATAATGTGTCTAGAAACGAAATGGGTTGATTTCGATCCACTAGCATCATCCCAAGTATCAATTCGACTTTATCAATACATCAACAAAGCGCAGTGTGCTTCCAGCTCTCACAATTCCGGATGTCAATGCGGCCTGCTTGACCGTGTATTCGGTTTACAGGCCTACAGATGCGGATATTTAAATTGTCCTCTCCAACGGCGTGGGTTTGAGTCCATAGCAATACAAAAGCGACATGAAGATGAACATACTCGCGTTTGGAAATGCCCTGTTTCAGGCTGTGAGTATGAAAAAACCGGATTTTTGTCTGCAAATATGAGAGACCAGCATGCAATCAAAGCTCACCGAAAGCAACATAATACCAATGACATTGTTCACGACAGCCATATGTCACCCGAGGACGAGGTAGAGTTTATCCTAGATCTAGTCAGGTCTAATGATATTGAGGCTATCAACTCCCTCCCCCTTACTCTCTTTGAGGCGAGATTTCGGTTTGCAAACAGCCACCGGCTCAATCTGGGAAACGTGCTGGGAGAATTTGGATCTGCCTCAACTGTTGGGATACTTTTGCCATTTGCCGACTTGACATCGACATATTCGGGAGCTATACAGGCTTCGAATACTGACCTTCTCAGCTGGCTTATTGATACAAAAACAATAGACAAGGGGCAATGGAGGTTAGCATACGTTTGCAAAGAATTTGTAAAGTGCGATTCAGCAGAGATGTACGACTTTGGCCGCAGATGGTTTGCGATGATTCGATTTAACAGATTGTACCTTCCAGTCATGAACGAAGCTGTGATCGGTGTTACAGCAAGACTACCTCGCAGAGAGGACTTTTTGGTCTCACTGTGGGATTATGCTTGGATGGAATTGAGACAAATTGATATTTCACAGGCGTTGAAGGCCGTTGCCAAGACAACCTGCTCTCTAAGGCTTGGACAGATTCTGATTCAACATGGAGCCAAGGTAAATTGCACCGTCAAGTCAAAAATTACGGCACTGGGATATGCAACAAACAAACCTGCTCGCAAAAATGCTCAATTCGCCAAATTTCTTCTATTCCATGGCGCTGACCCACAGCACACTTCGGCCTCCGGAAGAAAGATATCTGACCAGATTGGGGCGAAGAGGATATCTCATTGGCTTGGGATTTCATGGGATGATTTGGTAGAACAGGCTAGGGCCCATGCAGATGAAAATGCAACCACCTCTTGAGTATGCCACAGACAAAACAAGCCAATGATGGGTGACTTTTGTATCTCATGTGTCATATGAATGCACGCGAAATTTCGACTTTGAGACATTATATACACGTTAATGATCATAAATCCCACATGATATCCCCTGCAGATCGTCGATGATAGTTTTGTTGAATGATCAGAGAGCAAAGAACTCTGAGGAAGAGAAGTTCCCATCTCAACGGCAGGCTAATCATCTGCCTCTGCTGATGGTGCCATACCCAGAATAACCTGTAGCTTCTGAAACCATTTTAGTCATATTCTATCAAGGTAGCACTCAAGAACAATACTCTACATACCTTCCATCGTCTATGGTCAAGATCTGCCTGTGACGTTGGAACGGAAGCCAACGACTGGTGAATAACTGCTAGCTTGTCTTCCTGGACCCAGCGAACGTACTGAAATCTCATCAGCGCGATTTGAAGAAGGAAAGGTGCAGTCTATACATACATCCTCAATGGAGTTGGCAACGAGATACCTTGTAACCGAAACTTCGCGAGACTGGCCTATTCGATGAACCCTGTCAACTGCCTGTGCCTCTAGCATTGGGTTCCAATGAGGTTCCATAATGTGGATGGAGTTGGCTGCGGTCAGGTCGATGCTGTGAATTCTCCGTCAGCCGAACAAACATGGAAATTGTATACATGTTTCCTCACCCTTCTCCGGCACTGCCAATACTGGCCAGCATTACCGTGCAGCTCTCATTCCTTGTGAATTTCTCAAGCGCTAACCGGCGATCTGTTAAACTCGACCCTCCATCGAGACGAACGTAGTTGTAATTATTGGAGTGGAGAACCGTAGCTATCAGATCTAGCATCTTGGTCCACTGACTGAAAACCACACTAATGATCACTTAGTGAATTTGCAATTCTCGTTTGTAAGCGCGGAATTTTCGCGGCCTACCTTTTTACAGGCCTCAGACCTGATTGCGATGTGTCTCGTTTCTGCCTTTCCAAGTTCTTGAGTAATGCTATCATCTTCGGGGATAAGTCAAAAGAAGACTCGTGACATTCCTCCATCGGCATTTGAGCAGGAGTGTCAGCTGTACGTTCTGCAGCATCATACACGTCCCCAAGCTTGGCACTGCCACCAGCAGCTTTATCACGAGCCGGTGTGCTTCGATCGTCGGGGACAAAGTCTTCCTCATTCAAGCAGCTGTCTACACTTTCCCAAGGTGCAGTGATAACATCATCTACATGTCTGTCTCGGTTGCGCCATAGCTCGAGCGCGGATTTAGGTAGCAAGCGCTCACCATAATCGCATATTAGCCGCAGGATGTTAATCAGTGCAAGGGTCGTATCTGCACCGGCTTGCTTTCCAGGATCTTGAGCCTCACCAGAGAGCTTCGCTGCCGTCTTGGATGCTTTCGCTTTGAAATAGTCATATACCTCCCGATCTGCGGCCGTCAAGTGAATCAATTCGGTTCTTTCAACCTTTTTCGGTAGCTGAAGGGCGGAATCGAGCGTCTTCTTGGTCCGCCGGAAAGCTGTGGCAGCCACGAGCGCTTGGAGTGTCCGGATATAGCCCGGTTGCTGACGCTTCACCGGTGATGCAATCCAGTAATCAAATGCGGACTTGGTCTCCAGGACCGGCATTTGCATGAAGCTCAAGAGGGCACCATAATCGTCGATAGAGTTTTGGATTGGGGTGCCGGTGAGACACCATCGGAAGTGGGCTTTCAGGGAGCTCACGGCCTTGAACACCTGTGAGGACTGGCTCCGGATACGATGTGCTAGACTGAAGTCAGATCACAACCAGCGGTAGATCATATCTTCATCTCAGTCTCTTTATCATACGCTTACCTTCATCTAGAACTATGCGATACCAGGTTGCTGTGCTTAAACCATCCTTTATCCGCCAATCCTGGCGTATGGTATCATATGTTGTAATGACAATATCGTACTCGCGTATCAGGGAAGGTTTGGCTTTGCCTCGGCTTGCGCCATGGTATATGAAGTACCGAAGTTGGTTATGTTTGATGTGTCTGGGGCCAAGGTCAGCTGCGAAATGACAACGTGTCAAGAACAGGCCTACGTTTTAATTTGTGCCACCCATCCCGGAATAGCTTTTTGTGTCAGCCCCGACTCATTGTAAGCCATCAGGAATTTCAACTTACTGCTCTTCGGTGTAATAATCAGAGTCGCCCGAGGGCTGTCGAGAGGTAGCTGTAGACAATCTATGGCATCTAGGGAGCAGCAGAGTAGTGATAGAAGGCTAAGTGTTTTGCCCAAGCCCATGTCCTGCACATAGGTCAGACACAGTACCATTGCAGGGTACAGTCCAATAACTCACATCCGCAAGGATACCGCCACGCATCGGTTTAGGGTCTGTGTCAATGGCCCCTGTGATTCTATGCCGGTACCTGCCACCAGTCAGCCGCGATGAACAGTGCCAATCGCCTAGTGCTGCTAAAATTTCACCTGTGGTTCCCAAGCCCTTCCCAGATAGATGGAAATTTCAGGCCGTCAATTTGTTCAGATTCCCTTTCTATCATCATCGCCAAAGCCACTTCCTGGTGACTGCATTGAAACATCAGCGTCTAATTCGATCCGCTACACGAAGATTTCACTTACGGTTTCAATCTCGACGCCAACCTTGGACTGGAGCAGGCTTCATAAGACCCCTCATAGGTGTTAACCGTATCGAGGATCCGGAATAGCTCACTCTTGACCCCTTCATTCAATCTCTCCGAAACCTGCGAGCCCTGCTCATGGTCGGAAATCCTGAGTTCATCAATTCGAGGCATTTCACCCCCAGGTCGCACAAGATAATGTGGGTTCACATATGGGAATCTGGGGTCATACTCTGCGCTTGTGGGATGCTGCAGGTACATTCCTGCGTCTGATAAGCAAGTCCCGACCGCGTCTTTATCATTGATACTTCCGTAGACAGCGATCCTCAGCTCTGGCTCCCAATAATACTCAGTCCCATCATCCTTATCGAATTGAGCGGCGAACAGTGTGCCGACTAACTTGACGCGATATTGTTTCAGGAAGTCAACTAGCGCAGGCATAGCTACGATACCTGCATACTTCTTCGTGTCCGTGAAAGACATCTTGAAGACTCCGCCAAGGGTTGTTAGATCGACCCGCGCTGACTTTCGGTTTCGACTTTGTGTCTTTCCGTCGTCCTTGAATGTGGAGGTGGCTTCGACGGTGAGCTGGGAAATGTTAGCTTGCGACAGGTAGGGGGTGGAGACAAGTGTGTTTTTCTGCATACCTCTCCAAAGCAAGTGTCCCATGTCACAGCGTCCGCTGATTCAACGCTTATGACGGGCTCGCTTTGACATTTATTGAGATACGGCCGGTACTGTTCCTCGTCTGCATCACTCGTTGGTTTCTTTGACTTGCCCATGATCTTGGCTTGAAGCTCATTTGTACCCGGACTGGTACCGGATAACTCCATTTTAGTTGCGTTCCAGTCAAAGTCAGGTTTGATCGATAGATCCTGGACGTCAGAATTTCCCGTGAATTCCAGATCGGGACTGAGTCTCTGAAAATCTGCTGGGCCTTGTTCGCACCCCGGCAACTGGTGGGCCAATCGCATGTCCGTTATAGGGTAAGAAGCGCCTTGTTGTCCTTACCGACCGCTATGATGTTAGCCTGAGCGCAGGAAGTGCTAGAGGCAATTCGTTTCTCCCACTCGAGAGTCTTACCACTCTGACCCAAGTCCTGCAAAGCTGGCGAATCAAGAGCGCCCTGGCGATCTTCCACGTCCAACCTCAGATTATCCCCCCGCAATGCATTCCAATTGCTGTCCAACATATTGATATCCACCTCGTGCGACGGATGAGATGCCAAGCCTGAGTCCCGGATTAGCGCCCCATACGGATCCTCCACCCGTATCTCCGGATAACCCTGTTGTGGCCAAATCGAGCCGCCCACGTTACACCCGAAAGGGTCTGGAAGGTCATCAAACGGCTGCTCTCCGAAACAGTCGCCATCTGGAGTAGTGATAGCATGAGTGAGACTCTCTGCGGGCGTCTCGGAGCAGGCCCGCTTGCTACTTATGCTGCTCCCATCGTTATCATCCTCATCGTCAGGCAGCAGGCGCTTGCTTGCTGAGCGCGACAAAGCCATCGGTACTATCCTCGACAGCTCTCGAATCTCCGTTTTGCGACCTGCTCCCCGTATTCTAGGGAAATATTTAGTCGAACTATAGGAAAGAGGAGCCGGATCTGACTTTTAAGACAGGTAAAATGCAGGTTCGTCCTCAGCTCAACCGCCGTCTGACGCCCCACGCCTGGCGGTGGTCACAGCCACAGCAGGGATCATGCTGACCGGCACACACATACAGGCAACCAATCAGATGGCTGAGCGTGAGGAAGGATTGACTGCGCCACGCCCTGGCTGGATAATTGGGACATCACTCCCCAATGTTAATATCAAATAATACTAGATAGGACTAACAGTGAATTACTAGGGATCTGTGTCATTCATTTATTTTTTTGTGTTCACTATTACTGTCAATGCAATCAGTATAGATGTGTTCAAAACCACCCAGTTGACCCCTCGTGTTGCTTCTTTTAATTGCCTTTAAGCGGCTTTGTGAAGCTTGAGAATGGGCCATGTGGAACGATTTCTCGATCCCTTGGTGGTTGATTGTTCGATGAACTAGCCAAGTTCTCAAGGTGGGCAACTCGCTTGGTGCGGTCACGTGGCCTGGACTGCCCAGAAACGCCGATATTACGCAACCCCCTCAACCTAACTAAAGAAATCGCCATCACTTCAATATAATCTTTTCTTCATCTTTTGTTCTCCCTTTCTGTTTCTCCTTCTCTTCTTCTTTAATTCCCGCCATCCCAGTGCAATCATGCAACTCATTACCCATTTCAGCCTAAGCACAGCTCTGGATGAGTTCTAGATCTCCTCTATCAACTTGCAGCACTGGAGGAAGACAAGATCGTCCAACTAGCAGGCGGCCGGCGTCCAGAATCCGCAATCAATGCATACGCCGCCCGCTCTGCTGGCTTTCCTGATGGAATACTGAAATCTTGGCGGTCGAGTCGGCACCCTCGCTGCCGATTCGGTTCAGGCGGCGCGCGGCACTAACCGAACCCGCCGCATCTTACCAACCTCCAGGGGGGACCGGGAGATGGAATGCTGGGGCTGCCGAGTGTGGCGGGTAAAGTTTCAGCCGCGGCACCCAATTCGGCAGTGGAATGGTCGTGACCCTCTTATCAGATCGCCCTAAAAGGCTTATCCCCTCCTTGGTCCGGTTCAACCCTGGGATTTCTCGCGGGATCTATGATGGCGGACTCAAAAGAGAAAGTAACGCTGACCACTGGGTCTGTTGATGCCAAGAGCGAACAAATCTCGCAGCCACCGCAGAATGAACCCGGTAGCACGCAGCCACCTAGAAATGAATCGGCCACAGAGCCTGCCTATCCGAAATGGTGAGCAGACCACCCCACCACTTCGTTCCAAGTTTACTATTCTGACAGGTCAGGCACTACGTCGCCATCGTGGCAGCCGGCTGCCTCATCATGATGACCACCTGCTCCTTCGTCTTCGCCTTCGGAGTCTACCAATCCCTGTACGAGGAGATGGCAGCGCAGCCCAACACCCCCTTCACGGGCGCTTCGACGGCGCTCATCGATCTCATCGGCACTCTAGCCATCGCGCTCATGTCCATGGCCGGACCCTACGCCACCGCCTGGTCGAAGCAATACTCACCGCAAGCCGTCATCATCGCCGGCGGCTGGGTATTTGGGGTCGCCTACATCCTGGCCAGCTTCAGCCGGGCCCTATGGCATTTCGCCCTAACGCAGGGTCTTCTTCTCGGGGTTGGATGCTGTCTTGCCTACGTGCCCACCATGTCCGTGGCCCCGACCTGGTTCAGCGCCCGCCGCGGCCTGGCCATGGGGGTGATCATCTCCGGCACGGGGATAGGCGGCATGATGTGGCCACCGGTCCTGCGGGCGATGATCTCGCACATCGGTTTCCGCAATGCCCTCCGTTTGTCTGGCTGTATTGCCACGACCATCGTAACGGGCGCTGGCGCCGTCCTACGCTGGGAACCACGGTTCCACGCCAACCTGAAAGCCCGGCAGCAGGAGCAACTCACATCCAACCCCAGCAGCACCTCTTCCAGAACGCAGTGGAAGCAGCTCCTCACCGTCCCCCTCGTCGACCGCACCACCGCGTTTTCTGCACGTTTCCTCGCCCAAGCATCCGGCTGCTTCCTGCAATCCGCCGGGTACACGACCCCGCTCTTCTTCTACGTCGCCTTCGCCCAGACCCTGGGCTACAGCACCACCACGGCCGCCACCTTCCTGACGGTGAGCAATGCCTCGAACTTCGTCTCGCGGATCGTGCTCGGCTACCTCGCCGATAAATTCGGCCGGATCAACGCCCTCGCCACGACCACGCTCGTGAGCGCCGTGGCGGTCTTCGCCTTCTGGCTACCTGCCACGTTTTCTCCAGATGACGGGGTCTCTGACGCAGCTGCGCGCGGCTGCTTCATCGTGTTCACGGTGCTGTACGGGGCGTTTGCGAGCGCGTACATCTCGCTGTTCCCGGCGTCGTTGGTGGAGGTGTTCGGGGTGGACAAGTTCACGAGCGTGAACGGGGTGCTGTATCTGATCCGGGGGATGGGGGCGCTGGTGGGCACGCCGTTGGTGGGGCTGTTGATCCCCGAGCGCACGGCGCTAGTCGAGGCCGGGGCGTATCGGCGGGCGGCGGGGACGGTGGGCGCGTTGCTGATGGCTGCGGCTGCGGCGTGTTTCTGGGTAAGGTGGGAGATGAGAGGTAGTAATCCGGGGTGGAGGGTGTAGTTTGTGATACTCCATAATGGAAAGAGTGGTCGTGCACATTAGAACGATAGAGATCGATTAAGACTAACCTATAATACAGCCCGCCATATTATCGTAACTAAGGTAGGACTTGGATTGAGGTTGAGGTTGAGGTTGCCGAGAAGCTGAAAGAAAGGGGGGTCTGGGGGTTCTCCCCCAGATAGCCACCTCCCCACCCCATGGCAGATATTATCCCCAATGAACCACCACAGACTGACCCACACCCCCATAATCCCATCTGCATCACCATAGAAAGCTAACCCATAACCCCAAACAAGCACGAAGACACCACCATCCCCAGCACGACCCACCCGCCCATCGAAACCTTGTGCCCGACCACCGCCGCACTCTTATCGGAGGTACTCGTGCTACTCGCCGCACTGCCCGTGCTGGAGCCTGTCTTCCCTGCTTTGCCGGTCTCAGTGGACGAGACCTTGGCTGTCGCGCTGGCTGTGAGGTTCCCGCTGCAGAAGGCCTCGGTCACGGCGCCGTTGTCCTGGAGACAGCTCAGAAGGGTCTTGACGGTCTGGTCCTGCGCCAGGCAGTACAGGCCGCAGTCGTTGTCGTATTTGGTGACGGTCGCGGGGGAGCAGCATTTGTCCATAACGGAGGAGAAATTACCGGAGTTGGGGAGGGCGCAGGCTGCGTCTTGGACGGGGAGGACGTAGAGGTTGCCCGTGCAGGTGGCGGCCGCGGCGGAGCCGGTGGTGGCTGTTGTGGTGGTGGTTGCGGTGGAGGTGGACATTTTGGTTGCGGGTTTTCTGGGGGTGAGGCTATTTATTTTGGTTTCAAGGTATTGGCAAGGTAAGCGAGCGCGTGTGTTCGTGTTTGTAACGACTGATTGTTGTCACTACTGCTGTAACGTAGTCGGTATGGTAGATCAACGACCGTGTGTTCAAGCCGACAGATGAACGAGTAAGGAGAAATAAGGTGCAGGAACCAGGAGAGATGAAATCCTCAGGCAGGGAAGAAAGACAGCGGATTAAATACCCTTATCCTTGCAGCAGTGATCAATCACCCCATAAAACTTGATCTCCCCACCATTCACTACTGCGCCCCACCCGCTGACCCTATATTTATCCACAACCTGCCGTCATTGGGCCCTGGCCACGTCAATCCCTACTATTTTCGGGGTCCCGCGGCCACAACCTTGGAACAACTGTCTGTGTGACCCCGGATCGACTCTGCTGGTGTCTCACCATTGTGTTGGCCTTTTTTTTTTATTCTTGAGGGGTGCGGTTAAGTCACTCGGTTCAGTTGGATTAGGATTTCATCGTCGGCTGTTAATCTACTATGTGTACATTATTATCTTTGATTTTAGGTTTAGTCTATGTTGACCATGGTCGCTACCGGGCCTTTGTCCACTTCCAACCGTCCACCTGTGTAGTTAAGTTGTCTTACTAATTGTATTCGAATTATCTTCTTTGTGCTCTCCTATCAGTATGCCCAGTCTCCGTTCTTTGCATGGTAAGCTGTTCTATTAGCACACAAGCAACCTAATCATGATCAATACTGCGTTTGACATCTCAGGGCAGCCATTTAAGGTAGCTTTCAAGCGAATCAGGCTCTTTATACTGATTAGATGTTGTACTATGTAATTTACTTCTGCTATTCTTCTCAACTACTGCCTACTATTGTAACAGGAGTGTTTCGGAGCATGGCTGACGAGGACCATTAATATTAAGCAGGACATGAATATATACATATTTTGCGGGGTGCTAACGAGACCAGTGGACAAAACGCGCATTGCCGAGCGTGATCCTGAGGCCGGACCGTGGCGGAGCAGAAAGCCCCTTTAGATAGTAAACCTCTTTATCTAGTACATACAAAGAGACATATTCGCATCTTCGCCACAGATCTAAGTGGTATTCCTACGAGAAGATTATCTTATTCTACTCTATCAAAGTCAACCTAATTTACATATAGAAGCTTATTTTACCGACTCAATTGCATATTTGTACAACTAGATATGAACAAGGTCAAAGGTGACCGTTAATGGGGAGATTCATCCCAAACTATGCGACTTTACACCAATCCAGAATCACTCACTACAGGCTTATCTTTGGGTTCACGCTTCGGACCCGATGTTAGCGGAGGGGGCTGTGGACGGACATGGTAAAAAGCATCAGCATGCTGTAGCCTACAGACATGCTGCGACTATCTCCGAAACTCAGCAAGTAGAATGGTCGCTTGTATGTCCAGTGTTCACTCCTTACTAAGTACTAGGTAGATAGGCATCTGGCCGCTGACCCAACCACGGGGTTTCCCGCGCAGGTGCGTCTTTTAGGGCACCCGTGCGACTATGGCACCCTACAAAGCGATGCTTGCAGAACGGGTATGCTGCTCGCAAGAAGGGGAGTATCAGAGGATTGTGGTCTGTCAATCCTGCGAATGCCGACGAATGCAATGCTGAACTCGGACCTTGCGCATCCAATCGTTGAGCGTAAGATGACCCCTTGACCAGAGATCTACTAGCTACCTAGTACCGCTGACGTCGACCACAGCCTGTTTCCATATCAGAATCGCGCTGCAGGACGAGGCGAAAAATGTTGGCTTGCGGATCGCCAACTGGGGAACTCGAACAAACAGGTTTTATTACTAATGGGCGTTTAGTGTTTACTGTGTTGCAAGCTAGGAAAATGTACAGAGCCCAGTAGAGTGTATTCGGGCAGGAGTTGTGCTGTACCTCCGCGGCAAACTGGAAGCTCGGGCATATGTAAGTAAGATAGGAGCTCTGGTTGAGAAAACCAAATGGAGGTCCAATTCCAGAACGTAAGCACTGTTGCGGTGCGAATTCTCCAATATGCCAAGACTGGCCGAAACTAAAGGTATTGACAAGGCGGGGCATGACCGAATCTCGCCCGCCCACATGTAATGATCCACTTATTTCGTACAAAATTATATTCATACGTACAACTCATACACCCCTCGTGATCGTGAATTTTCCTTGATATAGATTGAGCCGGTTCTACACTGAACGATTAGGAGCTCCGTTGGGGTATTGCGGCACCTTGATCGTTCAGTTTCGGTAGGCCTGCTCCTGCTGCAGTTGTTGAGCATTCAAAGCTAGTCTCGTCGCCCGTGGTCTCTAGACAGTCCCGCGCACTGCTTGGTTAACTTGTGTCCCTTGAGGGCCACAGCTGTCAATGCGTGCTTAATACTTGCATGTATTCGCGAATTTCTCTTAAGTGGCGATTTCGGACTTTTTGGCACCCTTTAGTTTGATCCGAATAGTTCTCCAAAGTGCCAAGCCACGGGATACCCCTCATTTCCCTCCGCAGCACTCGGTATTTCAATCATGTCATCAGCCTCCGGCCAAAGTGATTGCAGACAAAACCGCTTCAATCTACCAAGGCATCAGTTGCTCAACCACATACAATCATGACAGCGCCCAGCCCCGTCGACGCACCACTTCACATCCTCGAACTCCTCGCCAACCTCCACAAGAGGTCCCTGGACCAAGAGGCTCTCCTCTCCAAAACCGGCAAGGTCTTTTCCTCGAGCATCCTGGGCGAGCTCCAAGATCAGGACCCTACCATCACCACCACCCCAGCGAACCCCAAAGAGCAGTTTGACCGCCTCATGCTCGACAAATTCATCGCTCTGGACCAAGATAAATGTCAATTCACCTACCAACTGGTCACTGCAATGGGCGCCACGAACATCGTCGAAGCCGGGACCAGCTTCGGCGTCAGCACGATCTATCTGGCCCTGGCAGTTGCTAAGACTACTTCCCGGACTGGAAAACCCGGCATGGTGATCGCTACCGAGAAGGAGGCATCCAAAGCGGCGGCTGCACGGGGGTACTGGGCGCAGTGTGGCCCCGAGGTGGAGCGGCACATCGATTTGCGCGAGGGGGACCTGTTGGAAACATTGAAGGACGGATTGCCGGAGGAGATCGATCTATTGCTTCTTGATAGTAAGTTCATCTGTATCAAACCCTAGGAAACAGGTTCGCTGACATGGGACTCCTCAAAGTCTGGTCTGCGCTGGCCTTGCCAACGCTGCAAACGGTCTTGCCTCGTCTGCGTCGCGGTGCAGTGGTGCTCACCGATAACACCATCTCGGGAGCCAAAGGATATGCCGATCTGCTGGCATTCTTGCGGTCCTCTGAGAATGGCTTCCAGAATATGACGCTGCCGTTCTCCAATGGCTTTGAGATGAGTGTTTACTTACCGTAATTGGGGCTGTCGTTGTCCAGGGTGTATTTACTATAACTGTAGAACCTCAGGGCTGAGTAACGACAATACAGCTTCTGAACAGTTGACTATAAGTTATTGTATTGTAACATTGTACGACACGGAGTAATATTCAGAGAAGGCGGCTTAGTAAGGCGGGCGGCATGTCTAAATTCCTACTGGAGAGAATTAAATTGTCGCTGCGATTGAACTTCATCACTTGACGATCTCTCCCAATGTCAGCGGCGAAGAAGCTCAGGCTTAGATCCGCTGGGCATGGACCAGACCCTGGTGAGGCCAGGGAAGAGTCGGCGGAACGACGAGAACAAGAACAGAAAAGAGCGTTTCGATGTCGGTTCTGTGCCAAGGATTTTCTCCGCAACGAGCACTTACGGAGACACGAACGACTCCGTATGGGATCTATCTCTTTACCCCAGCATTTTAGAACTGACTCACAGGTCAACAGATACTAAAGAAAAACCGTTTCGCTGCACCAGCTGTACTGAGGCATTCACCCGCCGGTATGTGCTCGTCTTCCACGTCAGGACAATCAACACTGAGATAACGCCACAGCGACCTGCTGGCCCGTCATACTCGAATGTCCCATAACGTCTCCCCAAATGGTGGCAATGCTCAGACTTCAGATAGCCTTGTCACACCTGCCACTACGCGTGATACTAACCCATCGGTACCGGTGGCCAGTGTAGACAGCAGGGCTCCTGTGCTGGATGGCTCTTCCCCAGCCTTCACAACTCCAGACAGCGGTTCTACGCTACCCCGAGGAATGCTAGAGCCCCCCCTTACCTCCAATTCTTCGTTGATCGATCCCCTCCTAACAACGACGACGGGGACACCACTCAGCACGCTGCATACAGCATGGCCAGAACCAACCAGCAATTTCGGGGACTTTGCTTTCTTCATCGACAGTATGGCGATGCCGTACGGAAACATGAACCCAGCGCTATCGATAGAGCAACCTATCTTGCCCTTCTCATCAACTTCGCTCTTCTCCGATGTCCCCCAGACTCAATCGTCGCAGCCGAACGCCGATATGCCCCAGCCTGTGGGGGCCGATCCACCAGCGCCGCGTTTGTTTGATGACTTCACCTCCACGCTCCCCTCCTTCGACCCTCCTCCTAAGTCCAGTGCGGAGCCATGGAAAGTCACTCAGGAAGTCTGGGATCATTTTCTCACGCAGATCCAGAGCTTTGCGGCGCTACTTCCTCCGCAATTCTTTCTTCCATCCCGCCACACGATGACTCGCTATATCACCACTTACTTCACCGGCTTTCACCGACACCTACCCTTTCTCCATATCCCGTCGTTCTCGCCCATCAAGTGTCCAGTGGAGCTGGTGTTAGCCATGGCGACTATTGGCGCGCAGTCAGCCTTCGATCACGCCAACGCCATCATGTTTTATCGGACCTCCCTGGCTATCGTCCAGGAGCGGCTGCACCGTAGAAAGACCCAGCGACGGGATCAGTGTTTTCCTGCGCCAGCAAGTCATCCTACTGAGCCACAAACGAGTCCATTCGACCCGCTACCCCCTGCACAAACGCTACTCATACTCATGGCGATGGCAACCTGGGGCAACTCTCACGCCATCTTCAACGAAGCTGTCGGATTGCAAAACACTCTCGCCAACTACATCCGCGATGAAAAGCTATTGGCGCCCCCGCCTCCACAAGACCCATCGTGGGCTTCCTGGGTCCAAGCCGAAGGCATGAATCGCACCATCACCATAATCTTCTGCTTCTTTGTCTTCCACACCATTGTGTATGACACCCCGCCCGCGATCCTGAACTGCGAACTCCAAACCCGTCTCCCCTGCCGTGAGTCTGCGTGGGAAGCCCCAACCCAGGCAGACTGGATCGAAGCCCGCAAGAGCCTATCTGCAGAGCCCACCTTCCAATCCGCATTCTCCCGCCTCTTCACCGAGCAGCAGCCCACCTCCAGCTTAACGCCTTACTACTCGCTCGGCGGATACACACTAATCCTCGCCATAATCCAACACATCTACTTCCTTCGCGCCACCAATCACCACCGGCAGCAGAGCGAAGGCTGCCTCAGCCCCAGCAGGACAACAACGATACCCCCGCCAGGCATCGCGGCCGTCGAGCAGGCCCTCAAAAACTGGCAGCTGGGCTGGTCCCGCGACCCGGAATCGTTCCTGGGGCCCGGCGGGCCCAGCGGGCCGATCTCCTTCAACGCGACCGCGCTCCTCCGCATGGCGTACATCCGGTTAAGCATCGACGTGGGGCCGTGGCGCGCCCTTACCGCCCACGATCCTCGTGAGATTGCGGCGTCGATGTACGCCTACTACCGCGGGCACTACCACCGCGCCGTCCACCACCGGCTCACCCGCACGGTCCTCTACTCCGCCCACGCCCTCAGCATTCCCGTCAAGATCGGCGTGAACATCGTGGCGCGGAACCAGGCGTTCGCGTGGTCGCTCCAGCATGCGCTCTGCGCGCTCGAGTGCGCTTTTGTCACCAGTCAGTGGTTGATGGCGATGGAGACGCGGCGGCGGCGGCGACGGGATTCCAACCCGACGCTCAATTTGGCCGATGAGGAGCGTGATGAGCAGGTTCCGAGAGATCGAGGCAATAATAATCATCAGGAGAGGGAGGAGGAGGAGCGGTTACTGGCGTACATCAAGGACATGGTGGCGGAAGCGGATCCCACCGGCGAAATGGCGGCGAGTGGGGGTCGCAGCAGTTCCCCGCAGGTGGATCTCTGCATTCACGTCCTCAAAATCTGGCACAAGCTGTTGAGTGGAGACGCGGTGTGGGATGTAGTCCGCTTGATTGGACGAGTGTTGGAAGCCTATTGGAGGATTCTGGAGGGAGAGACTACCTAGTACCCAGCATCGGGGGTGGGGTTCCGAGGGAGCACCTGTCCGTAGTCCGAGGATGGCTCGTCAGTCTGCGCATGTATACTGAGTAGAGGAGGCGATGATCATTTACCCATCTGGATGGGCTCTCATCATACCCCTTTCACTCAAATAGTGAAAGAATCGAGATTTTTCATGGTTTGCATTGGCAAGATATAGACATGCTTGGCCATCGGTGCAGGCATTGATACATTGCATCCAAAATTGATCAACAACCGATCGCTGACCCCGTTGCATTACAGGGTCATCGCATTGCCAGCGTGTGACAATGAAGCATCGAAGCCCCCAATCCACCCTTTAGCTCTGCGTATACAAATCTCCTCGCACATACTTGAGACCCGTATCGCAGCCCACGGTCACCACCGTTTTTCCCGGCCCTAATTCCTTGGCCAGCTGCAGCGCGGCGACCACGTTCAGCCCAGAAGAGGTACCCAGGAGAAGACCTTCCTCCCTCGCCAGCCGTCGACACATGGCACGTCCCTCGGCTTCGTCGATGGCCCGGGCCTCATCATACCAATCCCGGTTGAGCAGAGGCGGGGGAAAGCCAATGCCGATCCCCTCCACCGAATGTTCCCCGCCATGACCCTGGGTCAACGCCGGTGCCGAGGCGGGCTCCAGGACCGCGACACGACACCCCGGCCACCGCTGCTTCAGCGTCCTTCCGACCCCCATCACCATGCCGGCCCCGCCGATCGCCCCGCAGAAGGCGTCAATCGGCCCCGGAATCTGCGCCAGCACCTCGCGCCCCAGCGCCTCGTAGCCCGGGAAGACGTCGGGATTGCTGAACTGATCAGCATAGTAGTAGTAGTCGTGCCCGTCGCCCTGGGCGGCGATGTGCCGCGCTCGCTCGCGCATGGCGGGGATCAGCCGCGGGGTGATCTTGCCGGTCCCGCTGGGCACGAGGTCGAGATCCGCCCCGAACGCGGCCATGGTGTTGAGCTTCTCCGGCGCAAACGCATCCGACGAGACCACCCGGAAGGCGTAGCCCTTGACGGCGCAGACAAACGCCAGCGAGGATCCCGTGCTGCCCCCCGTGGCCTCCACGACGGTCATCCCGCGCCGCAGATCCCCGCGCCGCTCCGCTTCCTCGATCACCGACTGCGCCATGCGGTCCTTGTACGATCCCGTGGGGTTCAGGCTCTCCAGCTTAACGAAGACCCGCGCGCTGTCGGGAGGAACCACATGCCTTAGTTCGACACATGGCGTATTGCCAATCACGCCCAGGGCGCTGGTAGTGCTGGGTCGAACGGACATGGCGTGGCACAGAAGGGAATGACTGACGATGCGATGCGTAAGAAGGAGAGGGAAGGGAGGAGAGGGTTAGAGACGGAGGAATCGATGGTATCAGATGATTGGAACTTCGGTGCAAAAGGCTATTGAGCTTGTTTTGTGCCATTTTATCAGGTGGATTACTATATTAGTGTGTTACTTGCATGGGCTTTATGTGCACTGTACATACTCCGGAATGCCTCTGATGATCGAGGGCGAATTGGGGTTCCGCGATATCAGGAAAGCCCTTCTCCAAAATGCCAAGCCAGCCCAGCCCTACCGTGGACACCGACTACCTACAGTACGTATCTAACTCTTCGCAATCCAGGTAACGGTAAAGAAAAAATGGTATCGCCCTCATCATGCCCAATGCAAGAGTCTTTTTCCCTTTGAATCTATAACATGTGTCGGTGGGGGAGTGAACCATGGCCATCACCCGCCGGTTACAGTACAGCACAGTACAGGCCGATGACCGTCGGGGGGCAAGGGTCGAATTCCGGAGATGGGTCAATTGACATGATGTATAAATCCTCGTCGCTTCCGTTGGAGTATTCAGCTGCATCTGGCCCGAACAGCAGAATTGCAGAATAAAACAAAGCCTGTTGCAGAAGATTGTATTGATTCTAACCCACAGATCCGTCCGCGGCTGTACTGTACTACCTCAAGAATATGACCGATTTGTCGGACATGCCCCCTCCTCCACCATTGGGCTTGTATGCGTAATATACTATAGATAGATAGAGTCACCACAACAAATAGAGCACAGAGACACTGGGTGTGCAATTAAGAGCAGGAAGAATCAAGTTATACTTTCGTACTTGATACTGAAGCGCCGTCCGGCTATTGATAAGCACTGGTGACAAGGTTCTGTTACTACTGATTATTCCAGGTGTAAGGAGAATAGGCATGGGTTTGGATTTTATCAAAATTGTCGAACTGCTTGATTATAGCACGGTCTATCTCTGGTGGGATCCCAGAAGCGAATAATATCAAGAAGTATACGATAGATATCAGAAATGGATTATATACTAAAGGGGTAATATTATTGGTATGAGGCCAATACCAGCTCTACCAGAAGCTAGATTGATAATGATAATTTCTAAATTCTCTGTGGTAGGCTTAGAACCCCTTTTATACAAATAAATCTAGTATCTTCTTCAGCCAGGCATGTATACTACAAGCAGCAGACTTATACCCGTACTGGGTACAAGCATAGAGGACCTCCCAAAAACAGCGGGATCCCTGGGCCCCGGCCTATTAAGTAGACCTGCTGGATCGTAGGTCTCACTATCTTTAGAGCTTGGTTTATTAGTATTAAGCTTTTAGGGTTTATACAGGCTACTTATAGCTGGTGATATACAGCAAAAGTACTTCGACCGGAAAATGACGCCAAAGGGCCTGAGTCCCCACTCTACATAGTACCCGTTACGATTGGCTATCTCGTCTACATCTGCTGGTTTCCACTGCTCTGATTCGTGGTAACCTCTGCTGATTAATGCACTGCTTATGTGAGCTGTCTCCACTCCTTCCTTCCTTCCAAAGTACAGACACATCATGGATGATCCGATTGCACTTCAACTTACTTCATCTTCTACTTAATTTGATCGACATGATCCTCGTTTGATCCGTCCCTGCCTCTTTACTGGAGATCCCCTCGGGGCTCAAAGCACTGTACGGCTTTTCTAGATCTACGAATCTTGTATGTGGCCGAAATGTGCCAGGCTGCACGATCTGCACCCAAGCCAGCGCCTCGCGTGCATGGCCACGGGCACTAAAACCCGCTTTATGAGCCCAATCGAGACCAACCACAGTGATTGGATCTGGGGGGAAAGACCCCTGTTATGCCAGCTTGCTGCTATCGAAGGCCAAGTGCTTGGCTGTCATATTTAAAAGAACCAGATCTCGCGCAATCATCCATCAATCGACCCCTTGTCAAATCCCAATTCTCAACATGGAGTCACAGATTGAGACAAAGAGCCCATCGAAATCTCAGAAAAGGACGTTCTCGAAGAGATCCCGCACTGGGTGTCGGACCTGTCGGTGAGTACAGTACCTAGTGGTCTGCCTTGGACTTGACAGACTGGCTGGGATTGGCTAAAGGATCTTGAATGCACAGAGCTCGCCATGTCAAATGCGACGAATCTCCTGGTGCATGCAGCAACTGCACAAGCACCGGTCGCACTTGCGCGTATGACATGCAACGGCTTCCCCCAGGAGGTGGGCGTAAGAGAAATACAACCAAAATCGTCATCTTGTCAGCTCCCAACGGCGCATCTGCCACCATCCGCGCCGCCATCGCAGCCAAATTCCAGTGGAATGTGACCTCGGATGAGAGCCGCTGTCTCTCCTTCTTCCAGCACCGGTCTGTCCCGCAACTCGTGGGCTACTTCGACTCGCCTCTGTGGCGGGAACTGATTCTGCGATTGTCCTGCACCGAGCCTGCAGTGTACCATGCGGTCGTTGCACTCGGGGCAGTGAACCAGGCCAATGAGATGGCAGGTCGTACTCCAAGACCCGGACAGCAGCACCTTCTGCGGAATGCCTGGTACGGCTTCGCGCTGGAACAGTCCTCCCGTTCATTTGCCCTCATCCATAAGAGACGCACGTCACACGACCCGCAGCTCCAAGAAGTCATTCTGGTTTGCTGTTTGCTTTTTATTATTTGCGAGTTACTGCGTGGAAACGTCACCGAGGCCACCTGCCACCTGCAAGGAGGTCTGCGTATCCTGCATTCGATGAATATCGAGCGAGGCTCATCGGGGTTGGAACTCAGCTGCGGGGGAGTGGACGAGTGTGTCGTGGAGTCCTTCATGAACTTTCAAGAAGGGTCGATCTACCATGGTCTGAAGGAGCCCCTGCGTTTCGACAGCGAGTTCGTCTACGATCGACCCTACGAGGCCTACCTCCAGCCCTTCCAGAGCCTCTCCTACGCGCGTAGGGCCTTCCGGCCCCTCCAGCACACCGGCTTCGAGCTGATCGCGACGTGCATGTCGGCGTCCGAAGCCGACATCGCGAGCAATTACGCCACGATCCACTTGCAGCAGCACCGACTGATCGCCCTGCTGACACGGTACCTGCAGGCGCTGGACTACTTCTGCCTCCGCACCTTCGGAACCACCTCCTTCACCTGCCCCGTCATGGCCGCGAGCCGGGACGCCGCGCGCCGCAAGGACTTCCGCGAGGTCGAGCTGACGCGGCTCACCTGCCTCGCGCTGCTCTTGGGGCTGAAGACCGCGACGTACAGCAAGCAGCAGCCGCCGATGCCCGACCGGCACCTCTGCGAGCGGCGGAGCCTGCTGGCCGCGGCGCAGACCGTCATGCGCAAGTTCGACGGTCCGGACCGCCGCCCCGCCTTCGCGCCCAGCAGCACCGTCGTCGCCGCCGTGTACATCGCCGCCCACGTCTGCCCGGACCACGCCTTCTACTGCCTCGCCAGCGACCTGCTGCACTCTTGGAGCGCCGAGGAGGGCTTCATGAGCTCCACCAGGAACGCCAAGATTCTGGATGAGTCGCTCAAGCTGTACCTGTCCCAAATGTGGCGCAGCGCCGCCCCCTTGCCGGACGGGGTGACCTTCTCCACGGACGCGACGGGCTGCCAGGTCACGGCCCACCTGGCGTACCGCGCGGATGGGGTCGAGAAGCGGCGCTCCATGGTCCTTGAGAGGGATGAGTCCCTCGTGGCGGAGCTGCGGGCCATCGACAACTCCCAGGACTGGGTTTGTTCGCGCGCGTTGGGGTTGCTGGAGCGGAGAAGTTACCTGTGAGGGTTGATCATGTTTCGGCCACAACCTCGTTACGATTTCGGGCCAACATATTTGTACATATTCGGAGGGTGCCCCTGGCGTGTGTCCCTGGCGTGATGGAAAAACCAATCTTGCAGATATTCATTCACTGCGCTGCGCTCATGTGTCATGGTGCATGAATCTATGGTTCATCCCGGCTGAATCATCCCTCTGAATCTTCTTGTAACCGGATTTCCGACATCCAGAGTTAGTGGGTCGTCCAATTGACTATGCGCGTGACGCCCGGGTGTTTCCATGATAAACCTAACGAAGTAGGCTGGTTGAGCTGCATTTAAGTATTTTGCAGCCTAGGATGACAGCAAACACGGTCCGGGCTAGGGAGCTAGATCACCTGGACTCAGCTGGGTAGGCTGGGTATATAAGTCCATTTCACCCTTTCTATTCTCATTGCTCAACATTGCCAGTGTAACCGCCACATGGGTTCCCCCTCTTAAATGTAAGAGTTGTGAACATGAAGGCCAGACTGCGCAGCTATCTCTCTTTCTTTTAATCAGAAGGGGGGCCCTATTTGTTGAATGTGTTCTCGGTATGACCAGCCTCTGGTGTCCATTATGCGTCACACTGCAGTTAAATCAAGGCTTTCCAAGGAAATCGTTGCACAACTTCTCAGTCGCTAATCCTGTGTGACCGGCATGTTTGATGCTGTACGATTTTCAGCTCTGGAACTTGCGTGGCTGCTGTCGCACTGCAGATGGTTCATGTATCTACTGTACTTGGGGGACGATCCACATTGACTTTGTCTCATCTCGAACAACTCTCAACGAAGACAGCCGGTCTACATCGTCGCGGTTGGTGCGGACTTCGTGGCTGCAGTCGTTGCGAATCACCTACTCACACCAGTTTGGCACGAAAGCGCCCAAATCATTTGCCGATCAATCGCGATCATGACTCTGATTGCCGCAGTGGGCCACAAGCTGAGTATGATGGTTTTGCAAGCGGGCTGAAAGCTGATCAGTGGGTTCAGACATTGTCAGCGATGGTTCTCGCGGATGCAGTCGCAGTCAGCTCCACGTTGCTTTTTCGGGGCAGGAGTGATGGTTTGCAGGGATCTCTTCAGACCTACTTCATCAGGGCTGATGCTTTGTGGGAAGGTTGCCAGTTGCACACATATATGAGTCTTGTCTCGGATGTTCCAGCACAGTGGTTCATGTCTCACTCCAACATCCACTGTCCTGGGATTTACGTAGTCACGGGCTTTATACATTTCCGTCGTGGTAACGCGACAGGCTGAAACCTCTGACTACACCCCTCTGTCCTCTCCAGCCTTGTCTCGAAAGGGCGTCAGCATGCGTTCTCAAAATGAAGTCGATCCGGAAAGTAAACCCTTGCTCGACCGACGCTCGCGGAAGCTTTTCCAGATCCTGAACTACAACTGGGGGATCTTCCCGTGCACGGCCTTTTTGTCGTTCCTAGGTACATCCAAAAATTCTTTATGATTATAATATACTATGCTTACTGGCTCCGCTACAGGAGTATATTCTCTGATGGTGTGGGCGGGAGTTCCTGAGGCGATCGTGCAACCGGGGGTGCTCTGGACGCGCGACTGCACGATCATCTCCCTCACCATCACCCCGTTCCTCCTCGCCCAGTTCCCCCCCTACTACATCCTCTGGGGAATGTGTCTCCCCATCCGGCCGTTCTCCTACTCCCAGGCCCCGAAACAACGATCCTTCCGCAGCCTGCGCGTCGTTCTTGTCACCAAAGCGACCAACATCCAGGGAAGTACTACCCCCTTCTCAACCTATGCAACATCCTGCCCAATGCTAACCGAAACAAAAAGACCGTCCTCAACACCGTCGAGCTCTGGAAACCGCTCAGCCAAGCCTTCCGCATCAGCTTCGTCGTCGTCGTCGACTCAGCCCACAACCCCTTCACCACCCTCCTCCCCACCTGGGTCGAGCAGCTGCAGTGCCCGCCCTCCTTCCAGGCCGCGCGCGCCACCCACAAGGCCCGCGTGCTGGAGTGGTACCGGCGCCACAGCAGCCTCACCGACCGGGACTGGGTGCTGCACCTGGACGAGGAGACGGAGATCGACGACTACCTGATGCAGGCGTGTTTGGATTTCATCGAGCGGGGAAGCGATGATATCGGGATGGTACGCCACATTTACCCCATGCCATTAGCACCAAATCCCCCTTCCTTCTTTCTCATCCTCCCTTCCATCCTCCCTTCCCACACAGAGCCCTAACCAACCAAAAGGGAACAATCTACTACAACGCCTCCTCGCACTGGAAACACCCCCTCACCACCGTCGCCGAGATCCTGCGCATCGCCGAGAACTTCGGGCGGTACCAGCTCCCCGTGCGGTTCTTCCGGCAGCCGCTGCTCGGGTTCATGCGCGGGAGCTTCCTACTGCTGAACGGCACGGTCGAGAACGCGGTGACCTGGGACACGGACTGTCTGACGGAGGATCATTGGTTTGCTTACTACGTATGGCCTCCCTTCCCTGCTGCCATCTGGGTGTGCGAGAGTAGGGCGTGCACTCTTAGCACGAACCCACCCCAACAGACCAAGCGACTAATTGACTAATCGCCGGAGGGGTAGGCCGCGAAGCAAGGCTTCAAGTTCGGATGGCTGAACGCGATCGCGCGCGAGCAGGCCCCCTCCACGCTGGGCGATCTGCTCCGCCAGCGGCGCCGGTGGTACAGCGGGGAGCTGATGATCCCCAGCTGGGCGCTGCGCGTGATGGTGGCGTTTAACATGTTGGAGTTTGTGGCGCATTTCTGCTTGTATGCACCCCCCACCCCCTCTTGGGAATCTGTCTTGGCCAGGCGTGCAGCCTTCGCTTTTCAATTGCAGGCGGTTACTGATGCTTGCTGCGGTATGGGACAGAATGATGACCATGATCTACGGCGGCTGGGCCATCTCCGTCTCCTACGGCTTCTTCGTCTGGACCACCTTCAACCTGGCCGTGCTGCTGCACGGCCGCGTCGTCGCGTGTCTGCTGGAGGATCTGGACTGCCGTGCCACGGCGCTGCTGGATATCCCGGTGCATGTGGGGCTGACGGTTGTGCTGGCGCCGGTGGTGGATTTGGTGCAGGCGGCGACGTTTCTGTGGACGGTGGTGCGGCCGACGAGGGAGTTTACGGTTATTCGGAAGGATTAGCAGCCCCCAGCCCCCCCAGGAAAGGGGAGTGGTAGGGCTGGGATGATAAAAGGGGGTTGCGGGTGTTGCTGTGCTCGTAAAGGGGAGGGGGGTGGAGGGTTCACTTGCTAGTGGATACTTTGATAACTGTTTCCTATTATTTAGATAGCGTTCTGCGTCTTCTTCACTACATAACTACTACCTTTTTTCAAACTCGGGTATCTGCACTGATTGAAAATCTACGAGGTAAAAGGAAAGGAATGGGGTAGTACCCCAACTCACCATCCCAACCAAGCCCAGTCGCATTCTTAATCGCTCTGGACCCCATACCCACACAGTTCCATCCACGTGTTTCCAACTCTTGCCAATATCCTGACAGTCGCATCACGAGCGATGACATGATATAAGTCGGCATAAGGATGTACATGCCCGAAACTGAGCTGTATCCGTTCATAAGGCAGGGGTAGACCCAATTCGACTGCATCGGGGTTCGGTTCAGGTATGGTTCGGGGACCATGTTGCGAGGTACAAGATGAGTGTGCGGTTCAGTACAAGATAATGATTCTCTGTCGTTGTGGTAATGATATCTTTTACTGTAGTGCTCTGGCTTGTTTTCTGGTTTTAGTGACTTGGGTGCTGGGCTGTGCGGGTCTTGTGGGGTGTGAATCAGCGCTGTGGTTATTGTGTCTGAACATTTATCTTGGTCCTAATTTCGGGGATAATCTTGGGGGTTGTATGTTGTATCTGCATGAAAAAAAAAATACTATTAAATAGAAGACAGGTGAAGGGAGTAAGAAAGGCAAAAAAAAAAGAGAGAGAGAAAGAGAAAAAGAGAAACATAACTCATGGTTCTTCTGGTTAATTTTGTAGTATAGTGGCGGAAGGAGTTGGCGCCTTCGAAATGTTTCATGCTCAAGATATGCGGTGCCGATATATATATCCCCCTCAAACCCGGCACAATACCACAACCTCATCATCCCCAACGAAACATCAAATCACAAATTCCAAGCCCCATTAAAATGACTCTCTCTCTATCAACCAGAACGGAACCCAAAAAAAACCCCAGTGCCACCCACAAACCAACGACACTCAAAAAAACCAACATATCGCAAACCGGAGGCATCCCCAGTCAATCCATTGACACGCCTTGCTAAAGTCACCCAAAAAGAAGGGCACCTCCAACAACTTGTCTCGATGGTGTAGTTGGTTATCACGTGGGTCTCATATCTCGCATATGACTCGGAAGCGCAACTTCTGGGCGATCCCAAGGCCGGGAGTTCGAACCTCCCTCGGGACATTCCTTTTTGCTGGATCCCATTCCCCTCCTCCAGGGGGTGGGTTCGCTTTCATCGTCGTGATTGTGTGAATAATCTTTTTGTTCCACAAAACTAGGGTTGGTTGTTGTGTCATCACCACTGGAAACATACTTGATCCTCGGATCGGTTGGGCAGCCGAAACCTTCAGAGGACGACGGTACGGTGGTAGACACGCGAGTTTGGCCTTCCCGCTCGCAGCATGAACGATGCAGACTCACCCGTTGTACCCGTTCCCGCTGAGTGGTCTCGTGACACATTAACAGGCCGGGGGATATAACCACCCGGGAGAACCGTCGCACTAAGCCCGCGCGCATCCCAAGCCCTGTATGCAGATACAGAAAAGCACAACCATCAACGCCCAAACTAAGAATTCCCCCCCAGGTGCGATGTCCCCCGTGCAACTCCAGGCATTCTTTTCCCCTACCTTTTACCCCTGATAACAGACGTGCAGCACAGTTGGTCATCCGAATGGGCCTATGGCGCAATTGGTAGCGCGTACGACTCCAGATCGTAAGGTTGCCTGATCGAGCCGGGCTGGGCTCATCCATTCTTTTTTATGCCTGAGAATCGTACCCTAACTCGCCTCCTATCTACCAGGGTCCGTACCCCGATTGACCTCGCTATTCACAACGACAGGTAATTGATGCACAATTACACCGATTGAAAGCCCCACCCGAAAAAAAAAAATTAATATCATGTTGAAAATCTAGCTTCTATTATCTAGCTTCTATTGTATTATCACAAAAGACAATACGACCCTGATCCAAGCCAGGCAACTAAGCCCACCCGCGCTTCTGCTTCCACTGCATGAACTTGGCGGCGAAGGGGAACAGCAGGATGGAGAGGGCGATCCAGATGAAGAGCACGGCGAAGTCGAGGCCGATGCGCGAGTGCGTGTCGAAGAGGATGGTGCGGAGGGCTTCGACGACTGTTTTTGCAGAAGATTAGTCTCGGCTAGATCCAAGGGGGATGGGGTTGGTTGGATAAGGGAAGGGAGAAAAGGAACGTACTCCGATGCAGAGGCCACGCGTACCCCCAGCGGAAGAACCCCGGCGCCAGATCGAGGGCATAAAACCCCGTGGCGACGTTGGTGATGACCCAGAAGATCAGAAACAGCGAACTCCACGGGAACCCGATGATCATGGCCATGTTCTCGCAGGGGAAGCCCAGGGCGCACATGCCGACCCAGTTCAGCATCCAGTACACGACGAACGAGCCGTGGCCGTAGGCGTTGGGGTTGTCGGCCGGCTGCACGGGCGAGGCCGGCGGGTTGGTGAAGGGGATCTGGAAGGCGAGCGAGACGAAGCTGTAGAACAGCGAGAGGCAGAAGTAGGTCCCGATGTTCGCGGCGATGCGCCACAGCAGCCACTGCGGGATCTTGAGCGCGGGGCTGTTGGGCGTCTTGAGGAAGCGCAGGTGCACCGGCATCATGAACGGGGTGTTGAAGAAGGCCAGGATGATCAGGTAGATCAGCCCGATGCTGGTGGCTGGCGCGATGACGGCCGGGCCGAAGAAGCGCAGGTCGATCTGCGTGAAGCCGATGGCGGGGTTGAGCGCCTGCGCTGGGGTTTGGGACAGGTTGGTGGTGCTGCTGGTGAGGTTCTGGATCCAGCGCGGCCCGAAGTAGCTGCGCACCGCTTGCTCCAGCCCCCAGAATTCCGGCAGGATGTAGTTGTAGTAGGTGGACTCGTCGCGCGCGCTGATGATGACGAATTCGGCGGCGCCGTAGGGGTCGTACGAGGTGTTGCCGCCGGTGACGGCCCCCTGGAGCAGGGCGGTCGCGTTGGCGTTGATGATGATCGCCGCGTAGGCGTGCTCGTCGTACACGCTCTGGCGCACCGCCCACGGGTCGTGGTCGAAGTCCGCCGGCGAGCGGATCGTATACCCCAGTGCCTCCGGGTTGGTGCGGACGGTCTCCTCGACCACATGCGTGATGGCGGGGCCCACGATGGCCGTGGTGTTGCGATAGGGCTCCACTTGGCCGTCGAAGTCGACCACCCAGACGGTGAGGTTCTCGAACCGCGTCTCGAGCTTGTATTGCACGGCCCAGAATAGCGACAGAATGCCCAGGATGAAGGTGCAGAGAATTAATACTGCGAAAGTCAGCTTTGAGGTGCACTCGTTACCGCCAGTCGGGCAAACTCACCGGTCTTCCCCCATTGGAGGAACACATGACGTCGGACTTGCGATAAGGCAGGATCGAAAAACGAGACGCCGGCGGGTGGCGCAGAAGGCTTGACCCCCGTCTCGGCCTTGTCAATGGACTCCTCGGCGCTGCTCATCCTGAAGGAACAGAAGGATCACGAGGCGCAGAGTTGGATGAGGATCTAGGATGCAACCAACAGAAGGAACCACCAGACCACTAACTTAGCTGCAGGGCAGGCAGGCGAGCGGGCGACTTTTAACCCTAAGTACGGCGGGATCCCAGTATGCATCATTCTTGCTCGACGCTGACTGCGTAATCCGGGCTGTTAACTCCTTCGAGTAATCAAACTCTTTATCTCCGGCGCAGATGCAGATCCATGGCTCTCATTGGTCGGGCCTTCGGCCTCGATCGGGGCCCGAAGGGACGCGAGAAGATTTGCTTAGTGATCTTATCAGGGGTCTAAGATCAGGGGACTGAATCCATGGCTCAGTTTGTGCCGGATTGCCGGATCTCGGAAAGTTGCGTATCTTATAAGTTACATTCACCCGCAATCCAGATGATCCATCCCTTGCGCTACCGCATCTTATCTGATTGTTCCCTCCATCCTACTACAAATAAATAAGCAACGCCTCGGACTCTTGCACAGTAAAGGTCGCTTGGCCGCTCTGCACGGTAGTTGTCTCCGTCTCCGCCGTGCCTTGCAATGCACACGTCCCGTTGGCAAATGTCTGTCCCCCGATGGTGATGGCCCCCGCTCCCACGGTCGTTGTCGCCGCATCACCTGTCAGTCGCTTGGCTGATACGGTGGTCGAGGACAGGCCGCTCAAGCTGATGTTGACGCTGCTCCGTGTCCCCGAGGTGTAGTACTCCGAGTTGTACAGCAGCACCCGCGTCGGCGCTCCGCTGCTGTCGTAGATCGCATACGCGGCCACCCGGCTGTCGCCGCTGTCCAACTGCGCGACCTGCGCCGCTCCCCCGAGTGCCAGCGCCGCGGTATAGGCGCCAAAGAACGGGGCGTTGACGGTCTCGTCCCACCAGCAGTATGGACCTAGATGTTTCAGTGTCAGTGTTGCCCTCGTACTACACTTGATCGACCACTCACAGTTCCCAATAGTTCCCTGATGGAAATACAGTTGCTGCCGACCGTGTCAGTCTTGGAAGATCAGCATCCACGTGGACGAGTTGTTTGCTCACCTTGATCCCCAGGATAACAGCTTGCATCGCGTAGTCCAGGATCCACAAGCCCGCGCCAAAGGTAGGACTGATCCCCCCGCCTCCCCCGGTCGCTACCCTGCAGTTAGTTGGGTTACCATTTTCAGGATGGAGGGCAACGCACCGGAGTTGGTTTCTCCCATCACGAAGTCCTTGTCGAGATCATGCGCCGCAGACACCTGCGACTGGAACGCCGTCACGCCCTCCACGATCGCCTCGTGGCTCATCAGCCCGTCGAGATCCGCGGTGGAGGCGGAGTAGGGGTAGTAGTGGTGGCAGAAGGAGCGCACGTATTGGGTGGCATCCGTGTCTTCCTCCTCGCCCACGAGGTTGGTCACCTCGTAGGACCCCAGTCCGAAGAAGACGCCCGCTTGGATGATGGCGGTCTTGTCGAGTGCGGTTCCGACCGAGCTCTGCCATGCAACCTGCGACACGGCGTCGGCGGCTGCGGTCCAGGATTTGCCGTCGGCGATGGGGTCGCTGGATGTGAAGACTGCCGAGGTTAGACCTGCCGAGTTGACGGGGTCAGGGGACATACAGTTTGGCTCGTTGCCGAGCTCGATGGCGTATAGGTTGTTGATTGTGGAAGTGGCGACTTTGGCGGCTGCGATGGTATTGTTGATGTTGTCTAGGCGTCTGTTGAAGCCTGTAGAGGGTTAGGACCATGGTCTTGAGCAGAGTTGCTTGGTGGCTTCAGACCGATGGTAACGGATCCACTATAGCTGGCTGCGATGTCCATGAACGAGTCTCCGAAAGTCAATGTCTCGGGGGCGTCGTCTGGCGAGGCGACGGTGTAGGATACAGCAGACGACAATGAGGCGTTGTATGTCGCGCGGTCCCTATTCGGTCAGTTGGTGAAGTAACTTGGATCTGAGGAGCAGAACTCACTGGGTGGTTCCTCCGATCCGGATAGGCGGACTTGTTCCATATGCATCGGCCAGCACTCCCAGACAGCCGTCGGTCAAGGACAGCTGCTCGAAGTACTCGGGGAACGCGAAGAACTCGAATCTGGATTGTGAGCTCTCATACCAGGAACCGAGTGAGATCCAGAAGACTCACGACAAGCCCACCGGCGCAGCATCGATCTGCGCACTCGCATTGGCAGGCACAGAAGAAGGGATCTCGAAGCTCAGGCCGTTGACCACGCTCGCAGTAGCCAGGACCCCACTGGCTATGGCAGACACACGTAGTTTCCTTGTAGTCATGATGGAATTACACAAATGGAGATCGCAGGAGTTGTAGTTGACCGGGTCAACCTGGGAGCCCTGTAGCCATATATGGAGCTCGGTTATTTATCTGGTCCATTGGCTGGCCAGCAGCAGCTCCCTCGGATAAATTGAGACCAGCCCATCAACCCATATGCAGGTGTCTCGGAGAATTGATGAGCGAGCAGGGGAACGCTGGAGATGGATTGGGAGAAGATCGACTTCAGTGACGCTGAAGTGCGGGGAAAATGCAGGTGGGGAGGAAAACGCGGAGAAGCCGGGGTGAGCAACGAGCGAGTTCTTCCACCAAACATCATGCGTCAGCCTTTCCTTGGATACAGATGATCTTGTGCCATAGGCAGAATATTCAAGAGAGAAGTTGCGCACATTATCATCACCAGCAGAAACCCGACGGAGGTGGTTGACCCCTCCCATACAAGATAACCACCTCAACCACCACACCACGAAGAAGTGAACATCAACAACCTCACCTCAACCCTCAACCCTCAAACACAAACAGTACGCCGGCGGCCATCATGGCCATCCCCGACCTCCACCCTCAAGTCTCCATCCTCACGCCAGACCCCCCGACCACCCACCGCCTCAACGCGTGCGCCTACCAACAAAGCGCCCTCACCACCGTCGCACACACGCAATACGCCGCCTTCTACACCCCGACGCCCGACCCAACCACGCGCTTCCTCACCCTCGCGCGCCGCGATCTCTCCGACCAGAGCAGCGAATGGCACCACCTCACCTTCACGGACTACCCCCAGCGCACCGACGACGGCCACAACACCATCTCCGTGGGCATCTGCGCCGGCGACGGCACGATCCACCTGGCCTTCGACCACCACTGCGACACGCTGCACTACCGCCTCTCCCAGCCGGGGCTGGCCTACGACACCCGCAAGACCAGCTGGACATCTGCCAGTTTCGGGGCGGTGCAATCCCATCTCCCGGGGTGCAGCACCCTGAGCGACGTGACCTACCCCCGCTTCATCCCGGCAGGAGAGAACCTGTTCTTTGAGTGTCGCATCGGACGGTACGTCCCTGTCCCTGTCCCTGCCCTTACCCCGTTCCCCGGCCCCAGCACCCAACCCTAACCAACCCCCCTAACTAACCGAATAAACAGAGCAGGCGCCGGCTCAGAAGCACTATACCTCTACACCCCAGCGCCAAACACCACATCCACAGATACACGCACAGATACATCCCCACTCCCAAATCCAGGATCAGCAACAGCAACAGGAAAATACACCCCCCACCCCACGCCCCAAGCCCTCTACCTCCACGGCCAAGCCTGCAACCCCTACCCCAACGGCCTCTCTTTCCACGCCCCCACCAACAAACTGCACATCACCTGGACGAACCGCCACTTCGTCCCCTACGAAGGAGCAGGGGACCCGACCTCCACGGCGCACAAAGCGCAGACGGGGCCGAACGGACCCGAGAACAACGAGGGGCTGTACCATGCTTTCGCCGAGGTGGACCCCAACCCCAACCCCGACCCCTGGCACGCAGACAGAAAGTTGGGCGTAAGCGTACGATGGCGCGGTAGCCATACCGCGGACGAGGTCCTTGCGACCGGTGCATTCGGCGCGGATCCTCCGGATGAAGCGGAAGAGGAAGCGACAACGCCTCTAGACTCCCAGGACCCCCGGCTCCGGGTGAGGCGGATCCCCCGCGGGAGTGGGATTATGAATCAGGAGAGCCAGTTTGTCGACGCGGACGGGACCCTGCATGTGTTGAATCGCGAGAATACGCGGGCGGGGCGGGAGGAGTGGGTGTATTATGTGTGTGGGCGGGATGGGAAGGGGTGGGAGAGTTGGGCGTTGGAGGGCGTGTGGCCGACCGAGACGGGGTTGAGGGGGAAGGTGGTTTGCTGGCGTTCTCGGGTGTGGTTTGTTTTGCCGGAGAATGAGAGGGAGGAGTGGGTGTTGGCGCGGTGGGGGAGGGAGGAGGGGTTGGAGGTTGTGTGGAGGGGGAATGGGTTCACGGGGGAGCCGGTGGTGGATGAGCGGGCGTTGCTGGAGGTGGGGGTTTTGTCGGTCTTGGGGTTGAGGGTTGATGGGGAGGGGGGGAGGGAGGTCGTGGTGCTGACGTTTGTTTTGGAGGGGTTGAATTGATATTAGTTGAGTTGACGTGGGTTCGTTGTAGGACCGATCAAGTCTTCTATATCAACCCTTCGTGGAATGTTTGGATGAAAGAGAAGGACAGAGGTCGTCAGGTGTTCTACCCCAGAGCAGACACCGGCAGGAATGATACGAAGAACTGTAGCTACAAGCATATGTCGTGTCTTGATATTAACTATAACCTAAATCATCATCCATGAGCACATACTCAGCAATGATACACACTGCGCCCAATCGGACAGCTCATAAAGACAGACATCCCACGGCGGTATGCAACAATATAACATGGAGAGAAGGAAACACAAGAAACAAAACCGGGGATATTAAAGAACATAGACCGCCATCACCCTCTATGCATGCTCGTGTGGGATGCTGTCGCAAAGAAACGCAATTTTGTACAGGCGTGATATCATAGTAACCAATCCGTCTACTCGGGCTTGCGAGCAACCATCAGGTACATCGGCGTGAACAGCTTCTTCTCACCGCCGGCCACCAGACAGTCACCGGCCAGAGCCAGACTGTCGGCGGTCTTCTGAGAGCCCGCGGGGGCGAATCCGATCTTCTCCAAGGCGCCAACGAAGCGGTGGGCGATGCCACGGCCCCACCAGGTCATGCGCGCAATGGTGAAGAAGTCCCAGATGGTACCCATGTGCTTGAAGGATCCGGCCAGGGGATAGTACCAGGGGATCGCGTCGGGGCGGTCGGCCAAGTCCTCGTTGTGGAGGAGCTCGAAGCCAGCGTCCTTGACGGCCTGGAGACCCTCCGACACCTTGACCATGTTGGAGATACCGTCACCCTGCTCGATACCCAGACGGATCTTGCGGTGCTCGGCGTTGTCGTTGTCGTATTCGTCAGTCATCAACCATTCGTACACACCGAAGACACCGCCGGGCTTGAGCACGCGGAAGATCTCCTTGTAGACACCCACGAGCTCGGGGGCGTGGCAGGTGGCCTCGATGGCGTAGACGGCGTCGAAGGTGTTGTCCTCGAACTTCATCTGCATGAAGTCGCCCTTGACGAAGTTCAGCTTGTGGCTCAATCCCTCCCGCTCGGCATAGCGGGTCGCGCGCTCGATCTGGTAGTCGTTGTTGTTCAGGCCGGTGACGTTGGCGTCGGAGAACTTGACAATCTCGCGAGCAGGGCCGCCGACACCGCAGCCAACATCGAGAACCTTCATGTTGGCCTTGAGGCCCATCGTGTGGGCCAGGTAGTGTTCGTGACGCGCGATGGCTTGGCGGAAGGGCTCGCCAGGAGCGAAGCGGCAGAAGTGGAAGGAAGTACCCCAGCCATATTCATAGAAGTCGGTGGCCAGGTTGTAGTAGCTGGAAAAACCAAGTTAGATGGGCAATTGAGGCCATAGCGGCGATGGAAGACATACTGTCGGGTCAAGGTCGCATACTCCGCTCGGCGGGCCTGGTGTTTGCAATTGATTAGCTTAGCTCAGCAGCAACGGGCGCCGGTTGCACAGTGCTTACCGCGCGAATCTCCTCGGTCTCGTCCTCAGCGCTCTTGTTGTCCCAGTGCTTGAAGTACTCGTCGATGGCGGCCTTCTGGGCAGCGGCGTCCTTGCCACGCATGGCAGCAATACCACCCTGGGACTGAGCGGACTTTCCGTGCAGGACACGGTTGAACTCAGCATCGCGCACATGGTTCTCCTGTTCCAAAGCTGTGGGAGCCATTTTGAGAATTGAAAGTGGTAGTGGGGATTAGAAGGATTAAAAGGGGGTAAAGCCGGGTTGAAGAAAAGTGGGTTGTGCGAAAGAAGAAAGGGAGAAAAAAAAAGAGAAGAGAAGGCAATTATATATCCACGACCCAGTTGAATGGAAGGGAATTGAATGGGAAAAGAACTGAAGCCGAACAGGCAGCAAAGAAAGGCAGGAAGAGGGGGAGAAGAGGAGGTGAAGTGGAATGAAATGAAGCGAGATGGAAGGGAAGGGCCACCGTAAGGTAATGTCTGAGGGAACACGCAAACACGAAGAACGGGGAAAGAAAGGGGAGGCGGAATTGCGACCGACGACCGACGGGCATCGAATCGACTTTTGACATTTCCCCAGCCAATCACTTTTGCAGCGCTGGCCAGCCAACCAGAGACTCAATTCGACGCAGCACTAGACCTTATCGGGCCTTCCGGGGTTCTGGTGGCCGGGAAAAAAGTGTGGCCGAACGGGACGATGGAACCACGCTTTTCTCTATATGGCTTAGTGCCAGGCATCTTCCGCGCCTCCAAGCCTTGATCTTCGCCCGCCAACTCTCGTTCCTGGTTGCTTGCTCTGCGTATTGCGTATTGCGTATTCGCGTATCTGCGCGGATTCAATTCCAATGCATCTTGGGGCTGGCAGGGGTGCGGACGAGGATGCAATGCTCTTGGGATGTCACAAGCTAGATTCATCTCTACACAGCCCCTGTATCACCAGAGTACGTAGCCTGCCTCCTCAGCATTAAACGAATTTCGTGATTGACAATGCCCTCCATAGCCCATCAGCCACATAGATCCCATGCAGTCACGTGAAGGCTAGCTGCGGGTGCTTATGTCATGCATTCGCCACAACGCTCTCCACTAGCCACATTCAGCCACGATGACTATCGATAATCCAAGTTCTTGCTGCCGCTGTCAACTCCTCCAGTTCACCCACACAGAGAGCTTCAAACTACCTCACCACCATGCCTCCTGCCCAGATCAAGCAGGATCTCAACCGATCCGGATGGGAAACCACCGACTTCCCGTCAGTCTGTGAAAGCTGTCTCCCGGACAATCCTTACGTTCAGATGCTGAAAGAGGACTATGGCGCAGAATGCAAACTTGTAGGTAGCCCTCCCGACGGTCGCTCTGCGCACCCATTCTAGCCACCGATACTAACACTGTTACAGTGTACGCGTCCGTTCACCATCTTCCGCTGGAAGGCCGACCGCACCGCCCGCACCAAGCGCACCACCATCTGCCTCACCTGCGCCCGCCTCAAGAACTGCTGCCAGTGCTGCATGCTGGATCTGTCCTTCGGCTTGCCCATCGTCGTCCGTGATGCCGCCCTGAAGATGGTCGCCCCGGGCCCGGAAAGCACCATCAACCGCGAATACTACGCCCAGGGCCACGAGAAGGAGATCGAGGAAGGCCGCGGCGCGGTCGAGGAGTACGAGAAGACCGACGAGAAAGCGCGCGAGCTGCTCCGCAGACTCGCCAACAGCGAGCCCTACTACCGCAAACAGCGCCGGATCGAGGCGGCCCCCGAAGACGGGGAGGGTCCCGCCACAGGGTCCAGCGAGGCGCCCGTCGTCCACAGTCGGTACGGTAACGGGCCGGGTCCGATTCGCACCAGCGAGAGCCGAAGGGGAACACCGCTGCCCGGCCGGGGCGGACGCGGAGCGGGAGGAGGAATGCGCGGGGGACGTGGCGGGCGTCCCTTCCCCAGTGCGGCGCAGGTGCCGCCCTCCGCCGACGACATCAACCCGCCCGCCGACCCCAACATCACCTCGTTGTTCGTGACGGGCGTCGAGGACGACCTGCCCGAGCACGAACTGCGCACCTTCTTCACCCAATTCGGCTCGCTCCGCTCCTTGATCTGCTCCCACCGCGCCCACTCGGCGTTCATCAACTTCGCCACCCGTGAGGGCGCCGAGGCGGCCGCCAAGCACTGCCAGGGCAAGGCCGTCCTCCAGGGTTGTCCCCTGCGCGTCCGGTGGGGCAAGCCCAAGCCGCTGGACAACATGGACCGGGAGGAGCGGATGAAGAACGCCCGCGAGGGCCGACAAGCCGTGGGCACGCGCCCCTCCGGCGATGGCGGCAAGCGAGCCATCACGGCGGCCGGAGAGGACCTGGCTAAGGAACAAAGACCCCAGAACTATGCGGTGGCACCGCCCCCGGGTGCTGGCGAAATCCAGTACTCCAGTTTGAACGGCGATTAAACTCTTTTTTTGTTGACACTGGTTTTCCGAAGGACGGAGGGAGCTTCATATGATGTATGTTTGAGAGCGGGCGTTTTTGACTTTCTTTTTATTTCTTTCATATTTTGTGTATGCATTTGTCTACCTTGTAGTTCTACAAACCATGAAATACCCCAAAGAGACGCCAGAAAGGAGAGAAGAGAGAAAACAAAAGGAAACTTCGGGTATACTATAATACAAACCGCAATGCATATCTTTGCAATCCACCACCGCACCCCCTCCCCGCCCGTTTAGACTGTAGTCTGTCGCTGTACAATCGAATCGTCGTGATCAGGCAGAGCAGGGCTTGTCCACCTTGACCTTCTTCCCGGCGATCTTGATGGAATCGTTGTCGCCGCGCTCGATCTCGTCGTGGATCCGGAGTTCTACGATCGTTGTTAGCATCGTCTTGTTCTGGAAAAGGGTCGGGACCGGAGGCAAAAAGCGCACCCCACTTGGCATTCTCGTCGCCGTCGTCGCGCACGCCCTGCACGATGTTGTGACGCAGGATGTTGGCCACCTCGATGGCGTGGTTGATCTGCATTGGGGTGTCGATGCCCTGGCGAGGGTGGTTGTCGAAGTTGCGGCGCGCTTCTTGACGCGCTGCGACCATGACGCGGAGGTCGTCTGTGGGGAAGGAGTAGAAGTCAGCGGTGTTCTTGGAGAGGCGGTTGAGGGAAGAGATCGGGTGGACGGACTGTGGAAGGCCACGCGGGTCGCGCGGAGAAGTTGCCGGTAGGCACTGCGTGCGGAGACAACGCCTTGAGAAGCCATATCGAAATGTGTGAGTTTTGTGGAAGACGATGAGTGGCTTGTGTGTTGCGTGTGTCGGGAGTGAACGGTCTGGGCTTGTACTGTGCTCGAGTATGAGTCTCCAGATGACGGTTTGCGGATCGGTAGCTGCGAAGAGCGAGCGGCGGGAGTGGTTGTGAGAGCGGTTGAGTTGTAGTAGACCCTCTACTTACTCGCTAGAAGGATAATGAAAGACAAGACCGTAAAGCAGACCGATCGTAGTTGAGAGAAACAAGTAGGTATTCTGTTGACAAGCAAGTGATCTTCGCAGCGGAATCGAGGCTTTCGAAGAACCTCCGAAACAAGTCACCCGTGATTGGCTCCGGGCCAAGCGGCAAGTCGGGGCAGAAAAAAATAAAAAAGCACCTGGAGGGCCTTGAAGCCTTCCAAGTTTTCTCCCGCTCACACAACGTTCTTGTTGGGGTCTTCCATTGTCTCTTCCCATCTTCATCCGAGGCATCTCAAAAGTCCATCATGACTTCCACTCAGACTTTCAACCTTGCTCTCCCCGCCCTGCCTTCCGGCTGGAGCGCCGAGAAGGACTTCAAGGCCGTTGGCACTCTCTCTGGCGCCACCCAGAGAAACCTCGAGGCCGTCGGTCCCTTCTTTTTGGCCCACGCCCGCAGAGTATGTCTCATTTTTCCATCCTGCTTGAAGTTGACCTCAGGGTAAGATGCTTACAATTCCCACAGAAGCGTCACGGACGTACCTTCTCCGAGGATGAGAGAATCCAGGCCCAGCAGAATGTCAAGAAGACCGAGGAGGACGACCTTGGCGAGATCTCCGAGCCCGAGGACAACATGCTCCTCGCCAGAGAGGCTAAGGACTGGAAGGTACGGTTTACCAGTAACTAAAAGACTGCTGCTGCTCGATGCTAATCCCTTGCAGAGCCAAGATCACTACCAGGTTCTCGGCCTGACCAAGTACCGCTGGCGCGCCACCCCCGAGCAGATCAAGCGTGCTCACCGCAAGAAGGTCCTTCGCCACCACCCCGACAAGAAGGCCGCTCTGGGCGACCGTGACGAGAACGACCAGTTCTTCAAGTGTATCCAGAAGGCCCACGAGGTGCTCTCCGACCCCGTCAAGCGCCGCCAGTTCGACTCCGTCGACGAGGCCGCCGACGTCGAGCCCCCCACCAAGAAGGAGGCTGCCAAGAACTTCTACAAGCTCTGGCGCAAGGTCTTCATCTCCGAGGGCCGCTTCTCCAACATCCAGCCCGTCCCCGAGCTCGGTGACGAGAACAGCAGCCAGGAGGTCGTCGAGGAGTTCTACAACTTCTGGTACAACTTCGACAGCTGGCGTACCTTCGAGTACCTGGACGAGGATGTCCCTGATGACAACGAGAGCCGTGACCAGAAGCGTCACGTCGAGAAGAAGAACGCCAACGCCCGCCGCAAGCGCAAGACCGAGGACACCGCCCGTCTCCGCCACCTGGTCGACGACTGCGCCGCCGGTGACGAGAGAATCAAGAAGTTCCGCAAGGCCGCCCGTGCCGACAAGGACAAGAAGCGTCTCGAGAGAGAGGCCGAGGCCAAGCGTCTCGTCGAGGAGAAGGAGAAGGCTCGCCTGGAGGAGGAGCAGCGCAAGAAGGATGCCGAGGAGGCCGCCAAGGCCGAGCGTGAGGCCAACAAGAAGGCCAAGGAGGCCGCTAAGAACGCCACCAAGAAGAACAAGCGTGTTGTCAAGGGATCCGTCAAGGATGTCAACTACTTCGATGAGGCTCCTTCGGCCGCCCAGGTCGACTCCGTCTTGGGAGACGTCGATCTCATCCTCAGCAAGATCGATGCGGAGGAGCTGGCTGGTCTGGCTGGTCGCCTTACTGCTGCTGGCAAGGACGCGGCTGCCGTCAAGACTGTGTACACCGAGGAGGTGCAGAGACTGGTCGGCGCTGGCAAGCTCAAGGAGGGAGAGGCCAAGTTCTTTGCTTAGACGATTTGATGTGTTAGAGGGAGGGGTCTTTCATCGCTAGTCATGATATATTATAGATGATAGATTTCCAGTCGCTTTGCAAATAATGAGTAGCAATGATAGCATGGTTGATACATTTCTTTATTTGTTCTACGCCGCGTGATTTTGTCGATTTTGAAGTTCTTTTTTCTCCACATTTTCTACCTTTTCTATCTTGTTTATCTTTTCGGTTTCTTTTCCCCATTCCTCTTCAAGGTTCTCATCTTCCCCCCAGGTTTTTAAGGTATGCTGCAGCAGTCTTGCCGACCGCGTCGCTGCCGCTGGTTGGGGCACGTGCCCGTCGCCTGGCCTCAGGCCCACTTTCCACCCACTTTGCTTCCCGCTGTCCCGCTGGCCAGTCAGCGCCGAGTGAATCGCAACGTGCATGATTCCTCCATCATCCATCCATCTACTTTTCCCCTGCAGAACTGCCAGTCATTCTCATCACCCATGCATAACCGGCTTTCTCCTGCTCCCCCGTCGGAGATTAGATACCTCGCTGCGCAATCAAGTGCATGCAGGAGGGGCTAGATGCCATCGCTTAAATCCACAGGGCCAATCGCTTCACTGCAATTACACGGTTCACAAAGCTTCCTATCGGCAGCGGAGATGTAGACACATGCCCCCATGGGCTCCAAGCTGTCAACCACCTCGTCCGACATCGCAAGACATCGCAAGTTTGAGGAAAGGAAACATATATAAAGGCGCTCCACAATCACAATGCTCTCATGTCCTCTTTCCTTCTTTGTGCCTCCAACCCGCAAGCCATCCGGTTTTAATCACTCACCTGGCCTCCGTTTCATCCATCGGGCATCATGTTCACCAAGCAATCCGTCTTGACCCTCCTTGGAGGACTGTCGCTTGCTCTCGCGCAGACCACCACGGAGGAATACCCTTCCGCCGCGGAGATTGCCGCAGCCAAGGCCTCGGTTCAGCCATACTCACCAGTGTCCAACGTCAAGGGTCTCTCATTCAACCGCTTCGTGAATATTTGGTTGGAGAACACCGTATGTCGATTCCTGGTGATGTATACAAGTAGATGGACCATACTGATCAGATTAGGACTACGATACTGCCGCTGGGAACACTCACCTGGCCGAGTTGGCCAAGAAGGGTCTTTTGCTCAGCAACTTCTGGGCTATTACCCACCCCTCGGAGCCCAACTACTGTGCCTCGGCCGCCGGTGACACCTTTGGCATGGACAACGATGACTTCCACCAAATCCCCAGCAACGTGTCCACCATCGCGGACTTGTTTGATACTAAGAACATCGTGTGGGGAGAGTACCAGGAGGCTCTGCCCTACCCTGGTTACCAGGGGTACCGCTACCCGGAGAGCGGTGCCAACGTGTACGTGCGGAAGCACAACCCTCTGATCTTGTTCGATTCCGTGACGGAAGATTCCCTCCGTCTACGACAGATCAAGAACTTCACTACCTTCTACGAGGATTTGGAGCACGAGCGTCTCCCTCAGTACATGTTCATCACCCCCAACATGACCAATGACGGCCACGACTCCAACATCGAGACCTCCGGGGCCTGGACCTACGACTTCCTGACTAAGCTTCTCGAGAACGAGTACTTCACCAAGGACACTCTCGTTATGCTGACCTTCGACGAGACCAGCACCTACGAGATTGGCAACAATGTCTATACCTTCTTGCTGGGTGGTGCCGTCCCGGAGAACCTCCGTGGTACCACCGATGATACCTTCTATACCCACTATTCCGTCATTGCCTCCATGTCCGCCAACTGGGGTCTCCCGTCTCTGGGTCGCTGGGACTGTGGTGCCAACCTCTTCAAGTGGGTGGCTGAAAAGACCGGCTATGTCAACTATGAAGTTGACACCACCAACCTCTACATGAACGAAACCCACCCCGGTCCGCTCTCTGATGACGACTACAGCACCTACACTGCCGGATGGCCTGTTCCTCTCACCATGGGTACTTGCTCGGCTGGCCATGGTATCTTGTCTCAAGTCAAGAAGACCTGGAAGGGACTGACCGCTACCTTCAACTACACTGCTCCTTTCCCTTACGACTCGCGGAGCAACAGCAACCTTGGTGTTTCTTACAGCCGCAAGCTGGTGAGTCTCGTGCCTACTCTATCTCAAATTGCTATCTCAAATTATGCTAATCGATCTCTTGTGTAGAAGAATGGAAAGACCGAGTCTAGTGTTTCTCAGTGATGTGTACAAAATGGTTATGTCATTTAATTTATTGCTAGTTAGCAAGGCCGTGAGCCGACGTACATAATTCCCACCATTCATCTTTCTTGGCGGCATCCTGCTTCTCCCTTGGAAATTTTGAGACAGCATAATTTACCATCATTATGCTGCAGCTGATCAGAACGAGTTAGGTCTGTGTGCGACTGAGCTGGCCTGCGTTGGTGTGGTGTCTCGACCGCGGTCTACTTGACTCATCGTGGCTGCGGGGTGAGTTGCATCATGTGCATATAAAGCCCTGCTCGCACAAACACAATCTTCGTCTTTGGTGCATCCCCAGTCTCCCCCATCCAAACAATACATTCAAAAGGATACTCAAGATGAACGAATCGAGTCGGGAACGACTTGCTGCTCCAAGCAATCTGGAACTGCAAGACTTCGACAACAACGCCGGAAATGCCCTCAACGTGACCTCATTTGAGGACATCCCTCCCGACGGAGGGTATGCCTGGGTGTGCACCTTCTGTGTGTTCATGATCAATGTGCACACCTGGGGGGTCAGCAGCGCATGGGGAGTGATTCTGAACTACTTCCTGTCGCATTCGACCTTCCCCAACGCCAGCCACCTGGGCTTCGCTCTGATCGGAGGCGTCTCGATTGGGCAGTGTCTGCTCATCGGTCCCCTGGTCACGCAAACCCATCAGACGGTTGGCACAATGCCCACGCTGCTGTTGGGGACTGTGCTCGTCTCCGCCGCTCTTTTCAGCGCCTCGTATGCCACCCAGTTCTGGCATCTCCTCCTGACGCAGGGCATCTGCTTCGGCTCCGGGATGGGCTTTCTGTACCTGACCGCCACTGCCATCCTGCCCAAGTGGTTCAGCAGCAAACGCAGCTTCTCCTCCGGGCTTGCCTCCTCCGGCACCGGGCTGGGCGGGCTGGCATACAGTCTGATCGCGGGCCGCAGCATCGAGACCATCGGCATCCAAGGCACCTACCGGGTCCTCGCCGCGTGCGCTTTGGGCGCCAACCTCCTGTGCTCGCTGCTCCTCCGCGACCGCCCCAGCCCTCATCCCGCGCCCTCTGTCCTACGATCCCGACGCAACCGCGCTCGCCCCGCAGCCACCACCACCGCCACAACCACTCTCTTCTGCAGCCCCACGGAACTCACCCACCTCGAAGTCCTCCTCATCATCATCTGGGGCACCTCCACGGACCTGGGGTTTATCGCCCTCCTCTACTCGCTCCCGAACTACGCGGCCTCCATCGCCCTGACCCCAAGCCAGGGCTCCATCGCCAGCGCCTGCCTCAACCTGGGTCTCGCCCTCGGCCGGCCGTTGATGGGGTACCTCTCCGACCGGCACGGCCGCATCACCGTGTCGATGCTCACGACCCTCGTCTGCGCGGTGCTCTGCCTCACCCTCTGGGTCTTTCTGTCCTCGTACCCGCTGCTGCTCCTCTTCGCCCTCCTGGCCGGCTCCGTCTGCGGCACGTTTTGGGGTACGGTCGCCCCCGTGCTGACGGACGTGGTTGGATTGAAGCGGCTCCCGGCGACGTTCGGGCTGGTCTGCTTCATGCTCGTGGCGCCCACGACGGTGGCGGAGGTGATTGCGCTGCGGTTGGTGGATCTGGCTGGCGGAGGGTATTTGGGTGCGAAGGTGTATGTGGGCGGCCTGTTTGCCGTGGGCGCGGTGGCGTTGGCGGTGTTGCGGGCGTGGCGGTTCTATGAGATCGAGCGGAAGGCGGTGGTGGAGCGGGATGGCGGCGTGGGGGAGTTTCCGGGGTTTGGGAGGTGGGTTGCCCTGGAGAAGCTTTTTTTGCGGGGGAGAGTGTGAGAGGAGTGTAATGGGGGGGAGTGGTTGAGGGGGTTATAGTACAAGGGGCATTGGATGGGAGTGAGGTCGGTATAGGGTACTGGTAATATGGATCTATAAAAGCATTGGACGGATGAGGAGTTACTAGATTCATGGAACGGTAGATTGAATATGAGGTTATGATCTTTATTATTGTCTTCTACGTAGGTTGATGGCATCACATACTGGCTGTGTTTATCCGGTAGTAGTACACTCTCCCTACTCTTTCCAACCAACCGATGTATGGGTCTTCCACAGTTGCTTAAATGTTTCGGCAGTGAAAGCTTCCAAATGTGCAGTACATGTAAAGACAGGTAGGTGCAAGTAACACCCCAGCTGTGGCTGGTGAATTACTTCCACTGCATGTCTCACTCAACCCAACCCCGCATCCTCCCCTCTTCCTCCATCACTCCATCACTCCATCAACCTCAACCTCATCAACCCCCTCGATTCCAACTTCAGCCTGTCAATCAGATACAACCACCACCATGCCCCTCAGACCCAACTCCGTCTTCCTCATCCACCTCCTCGTCACCCTCGTACGTGCCCCACCATCCCACTTAAACCAAACAGAAAAACTAACCACGCGAAACAAAGCTCTCCATGCTCTCCTTCATCCTGTCAATGTCCGTCCCTCATCCCAGCCCCCAGCCTACTAACTAACAACCAACAAAAAAAGCCTCGCCTGGACCCGCACAAAGACCCTCTCCCTCCCCCTCCCCCCCGCCCTCCCAATCCTCACCACCCTCCTAACCCCCTACACCCTCGCAACCCTAACCGCAACGACCCTCCTCAAACGCACCGCCTCCCCCAAACTAACCCTGATAATCCCGATCCTCAACACCCTCCACACAGCCCTAACAACCCTCCTCCTCACCCTCGTCCTCACCTACCTAAACACCACAGGGGTTAGCAGCTGCACCCTCGACCGAACCTGGCAGACGTATTTCCACGCCCGCGACGCGGCGACCATCCGGACGATCCAGGATCGATTGCAGTGCTGTGGGCTGCGCAGTGTAAGGGACCGCGCGTGGCCGTTCAAGGATCGGAGTCACGGGGATGATGCCTGTGTGTTGCAGTTGGGGTATACGCGGGCGTGTGCCGGGGTGTGGAGGGGCGAGGAGGTCAAGGTGCTGTGGTTTTTGGTGGTGGGGGTGGGGGTTGTCGGGGGGTTGAGGGTCTGTATTCTTTTACTTTTTTTTTTTTTCTTTTGGGGGGTGGGGGGTTGTGGATGTTTTTGCTAATGTGTTGTTTGTGGTAGATTGCGTTTTGGGTTCTTCGGGTAAGGGGGATGGGGGGTTGGGTTGTTAAGGGGGATGGTGATGGTGGTGGTGAGGGGGTCCGGCGGAGACGGGAGGAGTATCAGCGGATTTTGGATCGGGAGGTTGAGGAGGGGGGCAGTGTTGGGGGTTTTGAGGCGGAGGATACGGGGGAGGGTGATGGGGGTGATAATCGAGACCCTGCTGCTGCTGCTGGGGCAGGCAGGTTGTTGCCGCATTCGGAGTCGGGGTATGAGTGGGGGCAGCGTTGATGTTGGCATACATATGGTATGCATGCTAGATGAGGAGTGGAGGATGTGCTCGTGGTTAAGTTGCTGGCTTGTGGGGTTACTCGTTTAACGCTAATGGGTATGCTATGTACAAGATGCAGGTTGTGGTACAGGTTTCGTTGTGAATAGTACTTGGGCGCACAGGACAAATTGCAGTGCTGTTTCGCTTTCTGCTTGTCTCGGTATTTTTGCCACGAGGGCGGCCCTGCGGGTGGGAATGGGGGCTTGACGCTGTGTCGTTGTCTGCTAAAGCCTGGCGCAGACAGATGAGTTCGAGCGAGCGCTCGATGAGGGTGACTCGATGATATAGGTGACGGTGGCGTCAACCTGCCATGCTCACGCCCGACCATATCCCACGAGATTGCCGTAATACCGCTCGTCCAGCCCGGCCTGCATGCGCGCCTCGGTGTTGAACGGCTCCCGCAGCGCCCCCACCCAGTATTGCTGCACATTCGACCGGAACACCTGCACTGGATCCGTCTGCTCCTGCCCGCAGATCCACGTCAACCACCGATGGCCCGTCGTCACATGGGTGATCTCGTCATTGTGGATGATTTCAAGGGACTGCACACTCTCTTCATCGCCTGCCTTGCGGAACTTGTCGATCGTCATCGGGTTCACATCCAGCCCCCGCGCCTCATGCACCAACGCGATGATGCTAATCCGTGCGCGGAGATCATGCCCCGTCAGCGTCGCCGACTCCCACAGCCCATGGTGCACCGGAATCGCCCCGAAGTACGAGCCCATCTCCTCCAGCCGCGTCCGCAGCAGCGAGAAATGCTTCGCCTCGTCGTTGGCGACCTTCAACCAGTCGTGGAAGAACGCGCGCGGCAGACCCCGTGGTTCCGTGGCCGTCGTGCGGAACGCCGCGAACCGCACGCAGATGTCCACCGCCAGATCGATCGCCCACTGCTCGATGTTCGCCAGCGCGTGCAGCATCATGATACGACTCTTCTGCGTGCCGCCGCGTCCCGCGCGGGGCATCTGGCCCGGCTTGATGTCGACGAGGCCATCGCGGGGCGGGATCGCCGGGAGCGTCACGCCGCTGCCGTCGCCGATCTCCATCTGGTCGGTTGTGCCTTCGCGCGCCGTGAAGATGGAGAACAGATGCGCCGTCAGCTCGATCTTGTGCTCCGGGTTCGAGGTGTTCAGGATGTGCGCGCACCAGTCACACACGGTCGCCTTGTCGTCGAGGTAGACCGCCGGGCCAGAGGGAGTAGCGTCATTTTCTGTGGTTTGTTGAGAAGAGGCAGCCGTCTCGTTGTTCCCGTTTGTCTTATTGCTGGTGTCATCACGCTTGCCCGTTACCTCCGTCTTCAGCTTGATCTTCTCACTAACAGCCTCCATTTTGACCAATCCCACCCCGTCCTCCGGGTATTCCAGCACCGCCTGATCCCCGAACTCCACCGCGCCCCACACATCCACGGCGAACGTGCACGCCTTGATCCCGACACTTGACTCCCCGGTCTCCACGTTGAAGTCGTACGCGTGCCACGGGCAGGAGGCCACGTAGGCGGAATCTTCAATGTCGATCGACGAATCCTGCATCGGACCGCCGGCGTGCGGACACTCCGCTTCCATGGCGTAGTAGGACCATCCGTTGGCTTCGTTCTTGGGTGTGGGGGAGGTGATGGATGGCTCGATGGTGGGAAGGCGGAACAGCACGAGGCGTTTGCCGGTGGTCAGGTGGATGACATAGCGGGTTTGCGTGAGGGAGGCGAGCGGGGCGAGAGGTATTCGTGGCATTGTCTGGATGGATGTGTAGACTCCGTTCGAAGTTCTGTTGGTGCGTGGGATGAGTGGAGGGGGAAATTGTTTGATCGGTGGATGGGAAAGTGGGAAGAGGGAAATTTGAGATCACGTGGGGCGGGGCTGCGATGGTCTAGACCGGATTGGGGGATGGACAGGCTGTCAGGCACAACTTGGGAGTGGAGTCAGCCTTATCGATAAGGCACATTCTTATCCCAACCTTGAAGTTATCCAGTTATCGGATCGGCCATCGGTTATACTACACGGTACTGGACTGCTCAGCTGCATACCGTATACAGTCGATCTTTCCATGATCAGCATCCGAAGAGCCATCAAGGTATTTGTTAGAGGAATCCTCAGACTCTCTTGGTTGTCAGCAGAGAACTGTGCTACTCATTTTGATTATTTGTACTGGTCTGCCTGAATATGTACAGTACAGGGTTAGTCTGTTGCTGGGCTGTGGAATCAGGAGATTATCAAGACGGTCGAGCTAGATGCTGTGGAACTCGCTGGGTGAAGGATCGCCACGGTGAATGGTGGAAATATCAAATTCTAGCAGGCAGTTTCCCGCTAAGGCCTCTGGCTGATAAAGGCCACCCAACCATCAGCAATCTCCTTCCACATCCCGGTCCTTTCCCCTCTTTTCATCACACAGCATCGTCTCCTCAAATTTTTCCTATTCCCTAAGCTCTGACCTTGACACACGAAGCAGATGGTGTCCACTCAACATGTCGACTGCCTCAAGCCCGCCGGACGATCCCAACTGGGCATTCCTTTTCAAAGGGTGTGTTCTTTCCTGCGGTGGCCTGACTCCTATTCCAGCCTCAGCTAACGTATTCTGCTTGGACCAGGAAAAGCCTTTCTAGTCCACGAACTATCGATCTCATCGGAGATTATGCCGGGGACGAACTGTTCGTCCTGGAGGGCGACTCGCTCCTACGCCACTGCTTTTCCGACGATATGCTAGATTTTGACCTCGGATTTCAGCTCCTTCATGCCACTTACATCGTCGAGAGATTCCTCGCACAACTCCACCAGAGGAAGTGTCACTTTCACATCGTCTTCTTCGCATCCCATTCAGAGGCATGCATCCCACAGCACAGCAGCGCGGATAACTGGTCGAAGTATCGCCTAGCTCGTGAAGTCATCCTGCAACATATGAGTCGCCACTTACCAGAAACTATCCCGTCCATGCACATCCGCTGTTTCGAAAGGCACGACTGCAAGGATTTCGACGACTACCTTGTGGCAACCCGTGCGTACTTCATCATGTGTCATGATGGGGAAGATCTAGCGATCCATCACCAGCCTTGCGCCGAGAAAGCAGAAAATTCTGATGCCCTCTATATGTATGATGAGGAAAAGCACAACACCTCGGGACTAGACGACGAGAATTCCTCTGGGAAGGTACGACTTGAAACTGGTGCGAAGCCTAATGAAGCCGCCGTGAACAACTCCGCTACGTTCCGAACTTTTATTTCTTGGTCCCTGTCTCGCGGCTATACAGTCTCGCTCATCAATAGTCTCGAGCTTCGGGATACTAAGGTAAGTGGAACTATTCAGTCTGAGACATTAGCACATACTGACCTGTACAGGTCATTTCGACAATCCTCGAGGGATCGGGTGTGTCTAGACAGAAGTCGTCCGAAGATCAGGATGTGGACTCGAAATCTGTGCACGGTATTATCTCTCAACCGAGCTCAAACGGCGAGAAGTATGCGGCTAACATGTGCCATCCTGCCACAGTGTCCCACCCTGCGGTCAGCTCCCCTGCAGGTAAACCAAGTGAACGAATCAAGACAAGTTTCAGGAGAGTTTACGAAACTGTCCCACGTCCGAGCCTATCTCAGCGCGAATGGGCCGTTGTATTCACTCTTAGTGCTTTGGGAGAAACTGGCAAACAACGTAAGAAGGCTGGCAAATGCATGGAAGCTATGTTGCTACACACGGCAGTTCTGTCCGAGTGTCGACTGTGTGACCGCCCATGTCAACCCGATGCTTCTGGGCCCGGGGCGGATTTCCTGAGACAGTACAACGATATGGCGCTGGCCGTCTTGCAGTCTCCCTCCTGGCAAGAATTCACTGCGGATGACCATGTGCCCAGCGACTTAATCGATATGATTGACGGAAGGATCTTTCTCGGAACTCTGAACAGGGATCAGAACTTGAGTGTAGCAATGCTTATCAGCCCTACGGTAGTGGAGAGATACAATCTCCTCGTATCAACACTCAGCAAGATCTGCACACAAGAGATTGCCAGAACTATCATGACAGGAGACGGTGCCATGTCGGCAAACCGCCAGTACCAGGAGCACACGCAAGTCACAAGCCTCTCGAGATGCAAGAGCCACTCGAATATCTTGGGCTCTGTCATGCCTTTCAGTAACCCCATTTTGGACAAGCACCTGGGACCCATTTCATTGGACATTGAACCTTCTGCTCTGGGGATTTCGAGTTCTGCACGTTCGAAACCGTTCACGGAGCGAACCCATTGGCATAATGCCCGCCGTCCCTTGGACGTGAAGCAGCCCGCCGCACCGCCCGAGAAGATTCAACGTCGTTATCAGCGCTTGATGAGAGATATCAGGCAGTATGCTCTTAGTCTCACAGATGCGACCGGAGGCATCTTGCAGCCCGAAAAAGTGTTTCGAGAATCGAAAGGAATTGCGGATCGCAGAACTACCAGAAACCAGGAGAATACCCGTCGTTCCACAGGACCCAATCCATCATCCAAGATTCAGGACAAGCAATTAATGTTTATCAAGAAGCAGATGGAAGTGTGGCAGGACCAGCGCCGCTGCTTCGATAAAGAGCCAAGTCTTGCCCAGCGATACGTGAACACCAAGTCCTACCTTGAGGGCTTGCCAGAAGAGAAGCGATGTCATTTAGAAGCTGAAGTTCTAACATACTTGATAAGCACCCTGGTTGGTCTTTGGCGCAAGCGATGCTTCGCCTCGAAAAAAAGCCAGTCAATGCATATAGTGGCCCTCATTTGGCATACAATTCTTCAAATCACCAAGGTGCCAGTGGGAGTAACTCAAGATATTATCCAGTGCATCTCGAAAACTTCGATAGCACTAGGCCTTCCGGAAGTCAACCTAGTCCCTCATGGCAATCAATCCCTGACATTCGAGTTCGCGTTCCCGGGAGCCGATACTGAGGGCTTACACATAGGATTGTCATTTCGTGAGTTTCAGCTTCTCCACGCAGGCCCCTTTCTCGATCGCAACATGGAGTCAGCGCCAGACTCCCGGGTCAGGGGTTTTGCGCCTGATAGATGGCAACGAGAGATCCTGGATCAGATAGATGCCAAGGCAAGTCTTTTTGTGGTGGCTCCTACCAGTGCTGGGAAAACATTCATATCGTGAGTGATTAGGCCTTATCTGCAAGCTTACCTAACATATGTGCAGGTTCTATGCGATCAAACAAGTTCTCCAAGACAGTGATGACGGAGTCCTGGTGTATGTCGCACCCACCAAAGCCCTCGTCAACCAAGTCGCCGCAGAGATCGAAGCACGATTCACCAAAACCTACAAGCACGCTGGAAAGTCTGTTTGGGCCATTCACACCCGTGATACTCGAGTCAACAATCCGACGAAGTGCCAGGTACTCATCACAGTGCCACACATTCTTCAAATCATGCTTCTTGCGCCAGGTAACGCAAAGTCATGGTCCTCCCGCATAAAGCGAATTATCTTTGATGAGGTGCATTGCATTGGTCAAGCCGACGACGGCGTAGTCTGGGAACAGCTACTTCTTCTGGCACCATGTCCTATCGTCGCACTCTCTGCAACCGTCGGCAATCCCAAAGAGTTCAGCGATTGGCTGAGCCTGACACAACGGGCAAATGGCTTTGAGCTGAAAACAGTGGAGCACAAAGTCCGCTGGTCGGATCTCAGGAAGTACATCTATCGTCCACCAGCCAGGTTTAACTTTGATGGCCTCCCGGGGCCCGCAGTGCTTCCAGTCCTCGGTCTAGATGGATGTGCTGACATGGAGTTCATACACCCCGTAACGAGTTTGATCGACCGTTCAAGGGGCATACCAGACGATCTTTCACTTGAGCCCCGCGACTGCTTGAAGCTCTGGCAAGCAATGGTCACAAATCAAACAAAGGAATTTGCCCTTGATGCCTCTCTATCTCCTTCAGCCATGATGCCGGAAATCATGACCAAAGCTGATGTTTTCCCATTCGAGGCTAGATTGAAAGCAGTTCTTGCATCATGGATGGGAGACCGGAAATCGCCATTTGACGCCGTGGTGCAGGAGCTATCCGAGAACGCTCTCAGCAACAAGAAAACTGATGTTCATTCTTCATCGACTGCGAACAGTCATCACACGAAATTGGTCGGCCTAGAAGCCCTGCTGGATACGACTCTACCGCTCATCTACGCTCTCTCCGAGCAAGGCGCCCTTCCGGCCCTGTTTTTCAACTATGACCGGAGCTGGTGCGAGAAAATCTGCCATCACATTTGTAGCGAGCTGCAGAATGCCGAAAGATCTTGGAAAGAGTCTGATGCAGAATGGAAAAGCAAACTGGCCCGTTTTCAGGCATGGAAAAAGTCCAGCTCGAGTCGTGTCAAAAAGGCCACAAGCCACAACGCCGACAAGGTATCACGGGCAGACCGACTGCGAGAAGCTGCCTCAGAGGAGCCCGACTGGTACGCGTCTTTTGACCCCGACGAGCCGCTTGATAGATTCTCTCTGGCCAATGGAAGGGCACTATCGAAATCGGACTTTGAAACATATGCCGCGGAGCTAGAATCCTTTGATGTACCTGATAGGTTCATCGACGCGCTGAGACGCGGAGTAGGCGTTCACCATGCAGGTATGAATCGCAAATACCGCAATGTGTGTGAGATATTGTTTCGGAAGGGGTTTCTGCGCGTCGTCATTGCCACTGGCACGCTGGCGCTGGGTATCAACATGCCCTGCAAAACAGTCGTGTTTGCAGGTGATTCGGTGTTTCTAACAGCGCTCAACTTTCGACAATCTGCGGGGCGGGCAGGTCGCCGTGGCTTTGACTACTTGGGTAATGTCGTCTTTCAGGGCATCTCTGATCTGAAAGTCCGTCGCCTCATGAGCTCCAAGCTGCCTGACCTCAACGGACACTTTCCCATCACCACCAGTCTAGTTCTTCGTCTTTGTATTTTACTTCATGAATCGGACCAGGCTATCCTCGCAAAGAAAGTTGTTGACTCGATCCTGTCAAGTCCGCGCATTTACCTTGGCGGGCCAGAGTCCAGACAGACGGTGCTTCACCATCTACGCTTCTCGATCGATTACCTCCGGCGCAACCAACTCCTCGATGAGACTGGAGTGCCACTCAACTTTGCCGGCGCGATTTCCCATCTTTACTACACCGAGAACTCCAGTTTCGCTCTCCACTCTCTCCTCAAAGCGGGATATTTCCACCGCTTGAGCAAGCATCTCGATGAGAATCCTGAACGAACCCTCCGCACCCTAATGGTAGTCATGTCGCACCTATTTGGCCGCCGGCCCATTCATGCCTCCGTCATCAAGCGCCACCTTAAACGCCACAAACAGTCAACCTCTGTGGTAGTCCTTCCACCACTTCCCCGTACAGCTGAGCGAATCCTGCGGTACCACAATCGCGAGACCTTGGACATCTACTCCACTTACGTCGCTACCTTCGTTGACCAGCACCTCCACGACCCAGATGATGTGCTTCCATTGACCAAGCTGAAACAAGGCGGCACGAATTCAATCTCTCAATTCACCGCCCGTGACAATCGCACAAGACCAGCAGTCATGTGCCCGACCCAGGCGGCGATCACATCAGCCTTCGTCGCCCTATCCTGTCCTGACCCCCCCAAGACCATCGCACACCTCTGTAAATCAGTGCGTCAGGGAGTGTGGCTCGAACAGTCCGTTATCCCGCATGTGCCAGTTGAGTCGGACGGAGAGGCAGGCCCGCTGAATGCGTATTTGTATGACTTCTTTAAGCATGGCAACAAGTCGGCGCTAGATAAGGAGAACATGATTCGGCGCGGTGATCTGTGGTTTCTGTTGAATGACTTCTCTCTGATACTAGCGACGATTGTCGCGAGTCTCGAGAATTTTCTAAAGTCGGATGCGAAGTCATCAGTGGGGGAGCCGGATGATTTGGGAGTTATGGGATGCGGGGATGCGCAGGAGGAGAAGGATGAGGTTGACAGCTTGGCCCAGTCTGCTTTGCCCGTGAGGGAGAAGAACCCGGTGGCGAAGCAGAAGGCGAATGAGAAAAAAGGCAAGACTGTCTTCGCCCCTGATCCCGAGGAAGAAGTACCGGACAGTTGGGAGGATATGATGGACAATGCAACCAAGAGCAATGCGGATACTGTTCCAGCTGGTCTCGACGAGACATTGCCCACCGACCACGACGAGCAGGGCCAAGGGAAAGTATGCCAGCAAATGGAATCCGTGTTCGACCAAGATGGATTGCAACGAGTTCTCGAGATGTTTCAACTGTTGCGGACGGAGTTCAATGCTAAGTTTAAGAAGATGTGGGCATAATGTACCGGCTTCCTTTCGCGGATGGATCTTTGTATCACACTGTGGATATGGTGAAGCATTTATTTAGAAGCATTGATGCAAATTCAATAAAATCCGCTTTGATGCCGTTTCCCTGAATCTGACTCATCCAAACGGAGGTTTCATGACTGACGCTGGCGTGAAAGGCCTGAACCGGGAGTTGATAGCGATATCGCCCACGTCGACTCATTGCATCTATACATTTCCAACTTCTGAAATGATCGTGTATACGTTAACAGCTACGTCATTAATATCTCAATAAATGCCGCAAGATACTTGCCTACTTGCGTGAGATGAGTATTGTAAGTCATATGTAAAGCATTAGACTTGTCATAATTGGACTCGTCGGCACATCATCCATCATAGCCCGTCGATCCCCGCCACCTGATCACGACATGACCCCAAGCTTTCCCCATCGGTTATGATCAGGTGCAGGTATACCCCATACTACGCAGACAAGCTCAACTTCCAGTCCCTCAAAGATGAGACGGTCAATACCCATTAGGTAATCGCCACCTCCCCTGACCCACCGCCGACACCGGTTCGCCTTACCCGATCTGATAGAAAGTGGATATCACCTCTCTCTTCAGCTGTCCTTCTGTGTGCGCCTCTCAGCCACGCCTCACGATTGTTCTGCTCAGCCTCACAGCCCCTCAATGCCCCTCCCCGCCAAAACCACCCAGACACCGTGGCTGTCTCGCCAGAAATGGCCCCCTCGGCCTTCACCGTCGCGACTCAGCTACGTACGTAGACGAATACGGATCCCCACCAGCCAAGTAGTCAATGCGGGCAATACAGACCGAGATGGGGTGATAGCCCGCCTTCTCCGTGGGTAAAGGAGAGCGACAACCAGCTTATAAAAGGGAGCCGCACGCCCTCCGGGATTGGCATTCATTCCTCATCTCAATTTCTCCTCATCCGACCACTCTCAATCTCCTCCTACCATCTACCACACACACCTCCACAATGAGCTTCCACGAGTCCGCCGTCCACGGTTCCATCCGCCTCGAGGGGCCCTTCCTCCACGCCATCCTCCGCGATGCGCACGGCCAGGAGCGCCCCGCCCACATTGACCTGAACCACTTCATTGGCAACATCGACGGTATGCACCCTTCTCATCTCTCTAAGTTATAAGCCCCGGTACTGATGGCACGGAACAGGCCACTTCCAATGGGGCGGCCACAACTTCTTCGAGTCCGCCCGCGGGGTGCACTTCGACATCGAGGGCGGCGCCCACGTCCCCGTCGTCCGCGGTGAGCTCCGCGACGAGCACGGCAACTGGCACGTTCGCGACATCAACCTCGCCGAGCGCCTGTTCAACATCGACGGTCACTTCGAGTTCCGGTAGATCTTAGCGTTATCAACTCGATGAATTCTGAATATTAGCATCGTTTTGTTCACTTTCCTCTGTTTTCAAATCCATCCCAAGTAGCGGTGAAGTTTGGAGCAACGGGTACGGTACGGTACGGTATGGTCAGGGGGCGATCGATACCGAACCCAGAATTAGGGTCTCGGATAAAGTTACGTGGAAACCCGTGGAAGGAGAAGAGAAGATGATCGGCGGGATCGGGTTTCAGACTCGGTATGGTATGCGGGTGCCGAGTAAACTAGTCTAGAAGGTAATAATTCGGCCGCGGGCGATCATAACATCTTACCGGTTAGGGGCTAGTCTCACGTGCTTAAATTAGTAGTCTCTCCATCAGTCCACCATGTCTGAGTGGTTGTTCGGCTCGGAAATAGCGGGGTTGTCTCACCCCCCGCCAGTGTGTCGGGTCTTGCGGTGCCGATCAGTCGGGCCCCCTTTTCAGCTTCCCTTTTGCTGCGATGTCAGTAGAAAACGCAGACGACGGGATCCCGAAGCATCCAGTAGATTGTCATCCCTACCGGGGTCGGAGGGGCGGAAAGCTTGTGGTTAGACCGGGTTGGATACCTCGTGACTCGGATTTGTCGACACACCTTTTTGGGAATCCTCCACCCAGGATGGGCGCGGCATATTTGCCAAGACTGGCTCGAGCGAGGTGCATAATCTCTCTTACTGCTCTTTGTCTATGGCGAGCAGGGTAATGGTAGCCTCGAGGATGCGGTTTGAATTATGACCGGCGGCTTGCTGAAAGGACTGCGGAGGATCCAAACCATCAGAATTAGACCTTCTTTGATCAATTTCTCTCGATTGAGTGAAGATCCATAGGGACGCACCTGCGCCACCTCCCTGCATACGTCTGCGTCGAACGGGACCTTGGACTGGTTCTGTCAGACAAGCTCGTCGAACAGAGTCTTCCGGGGTGACTCGCACGATTGACCCTGGAGGTCTCATTAGTGCGACTGATGATCGAGTCAACGTCAGAAAAAGGCTACCATATTGCCTGTGCATCTCGGCATCTCGCTCGTAGTACTTCCATGGAAGAACCCTGTCGTGGTCGAGCTCGTAGCCCCAATGTCAACGCGGCCAGCTTCGGACCCGGGAAATGGGATATCGGTGAGAGGTAAAGACGGTAGACGGCCACACTGGCCATGTACAGCACGGTACACTCACCTTTGGCCTCCTCACCCCGCAGTTGATTGTCAATATCATCCGGAAGAACTTCCCCGCCCTCCAGGATCGAGTCCCCGCGGGGCACCCCTCGCAGACCTTGCCCCCTGGGGTTCACCCCACGGGATGGGATATGACCGTCAGTCTGGATATTCTGTCCAAGGGCTTGCCGCAGGGGCGATGGAAGTACATCGATCTCGAGACGATGTCACGGATACGGTGAAGTCGATGCAGGAGCATAAGGTCCTTTGACGACGCTGCTCGTGCTGTTCGTATTGTGTTTTATTGTAATCTGTAATCTCGTGAGATCCGGATAAAGCGGGAAATAAAAGTTTCGATCCGCTGATTCGCAGCAGCCACTCACTTTCGTCATACCAGGATCCAGGATCCTGTGGAGACACCTTACAGCGGGAAGAAAGTTGTTTGTATCCCTCTGCTTTATTAGCCGGAGGATGTCATTAGAGGTGAATACCAAGGTCCAAGAGTTACTTGGAAGGTGACTTGTTGGATTCGGCAACAGTCTCGTGCCGTTGTCTATTCTCTCTAACCACAAGATTAAGGCTGAAATAGATCTATGGGGTCTTCCGACGAGGGCCGCTCATTCAAAGTCGCTTCTCCACCTTTTATTAGCTTGAAACTCTGTCAAAATCGAATCACTTTTCTCGCCGTGGTGGTCTTTGGCATCTGACGGTTCCATGATAGCTCATGTGCCGCCAAGTCGCTACTCGAGAAGAATATTCTTATGAATCTGTTTCCTATCTCATGAGAACAATGTCTCATGCTGTGATCTATCGGCACTATAGGCTTGAAACACGCGGCTTTAAATCGCACATTGACAAAACACTCAAGCAATAAGTTGTCTCCGTCCTCGAGCCAAAAGGGCTTCATAGGGACCCAATAACCCAACTGACAAAGCCTCACAAAACAAATGTCTTCACCAACCCAAGCTTAGACTGACAATTGCCTCTAATATAACGCAGTATAGGCTTTCTTGCCTCCCCAAAACCGGGGCAATGAGGACGGCACCGGCGCAAACAGACTGATTTCCACTGGATAATAATCTGCGGTCAGGTCCACCCTGACAGGAATTTCCTCAATCTCGATAATTCGCGCGCCATCCGGGTAGGGGATGGGAGTCCCAACTCCTAGACCTTCCCGCCGACGATAGGTTTCAAGTAGACAGAGAGCATGGTGTCGAATCGTGGAGTGGAAATAGCGTGGAAATAGCGAGTGGCACAGACGTAGAGTAAGCTAAGCCAGTGGTGATGCCGAGCGTGAAGGTGGACTAGGCAGTGGCTGTGGGACTGGGGAGATAAAGATTGTGTTCTCAAACGTCACAGAGGCTATGAAGATGACAATAGCCTCAGACGTCACAAAGAGTTACAGAGTGTTGAAGTGGGAAACCTAGACAGGATCTTCTACCTATATACCCATGCTTGGCCGGTTTGTCAAATACGAAAACCTGCAATGACATACTTTTCTTGTCTGAAGAAACTTGTTTAAAGCATCTGGAATTGAGGCTATCAGCATATTTCACAGACTTCCACTTAGGGTATCCGAAATAAGGGAGATATTCTCTCTCGCCAAACACACTCTGTTCTGATCTCTGCCGATCGCCACTGAGCTTACGAGTTGATAATACTATATACACCGTCCTTACGGGCTATTTATTGGTCGGCCTTATTAGCAGAGTGCCACATAGCTGACCTTGGAAGTTGTAGTGCTATGCATGACTCCGATAAAATCAGGTGCTTTTTTATGGGGGGGGATTATAAGTACAAAGTGAGATTCTGGCGTAAGGGAAATCACGATCTGTTTATAAGGGGAAAAGAGAGCCACCATCTGCAAAGAGGACAAAGTCGTCCAGAGCTGATTGCCATATGTTACCCTCTGCAGCCAGCTAAGCACTCATAGCCTCGATTTTTAGTAAAGACCGTGCAGCATCAACAATTGCTTCCTCCAAAGGACGATATTTCAAGCCCAGGATTCTTTGCGATTTGGATGTGTCGATGGTGTAAACATCAGAAGGGACTTCTCCGGCGCCAGGATTTCCAATAGGCACTCGGCCTTTGATGTCCAGAAGGTTGGCCCGCAAAGCATCCACAAATTGCTGGTATGTAAAGTTGCTCTTACAAATGAAGAAACGCTCATTGCCAGCTTCAATCACCTGGTAGGCACGCAAGTGTGCCTCAGCCACATCACGCACGTCCACAAATGACCAAAACATATTCTCCGGCACTGGATCGCTGGATCTCGACTGTGGCGACATAAAGCGGTAAATATCCATAGAAGAGGAATTTAACCTGGCAAGGTCGGCAGTGGCGTTGATATTAGGGCCATATATCATTGGCGGCATGATTGTAGTGATATCAAAGTTAACCTTGTTGTTCTTAACATAGTCCCAGGCATGACGCTCAGCCAATGATTTCGCAGTCGAGTAGGCCAACCCGGCTGGAGCACCTTCGGCCGCGGCAGCTTCGTAGGGGGTTGGGTTCCAGTCAAGCTCGGAGTAGACGTGGCCAGTCCACTTGCCCTTGCTATGGTCTGCCATAGCAGCAAACGAGGAAGTTAGGACAACGCGTCTGACCTGGGGAGCAAATTCATGGACAGATTTCAAAATGTTGAGCGTCCCATCGATGGCCGGCTTGAGTAGGTCCCGCTCATTATCCTCAACCCCAAAGACCTGGAATGGAGCAGCTGTATGGATCACTCCATGAACACCTTCAACTGCAGTATCAAAGGCCCCTGGACTAGCGACATCCTCAACAACAACGAAGCTTAATTGAGGCGCATAGTCAGAGAAGGTTTGTCGAACCTTTTCAGCAGTTGCGGACGACCGAACGGTTCCTCGGACTTGGTAACCAGCGCGCAGAAAATAGTCCACGACATGGGAAGCCAAGAAACCGGAGGCTCCAGTGATAAGGATGATTTGGTCTTCCGGGGCCATCGTTATATCGTGTTGGGGAGAGACTCGAGGAGTGAAGCAAGAGTAGGGCCAGAGAGAATAATAAATTTGGGGTGCTCAATGATGAATTCTTGCACCTAGCGACGACTCTAAGGTATTTATGAGCCCCGAAACTGAGCCTAGTGGTGACATGGCTCCCTCGTGCCACCTCTTCTACCGCTCCCCTCGCCTCCCCTACCTATATCTCCGTTAAGTCCGAGCTTACGACCAGCCCCAGAGCCCAAGGTTGTATGTAACCTGACACCGACATCCGAGAACCGAGTCCCCGAAGTTGAAAGTCATACTCACCACTATTAATTAGAGTTTGAGCTGGTTGATCCACACTCTAACCCCTAGTAACATGCTTGATGCGGAGCCCACTCACTAATTTGACGGAGTTGAGTTCAAAAAGTCCGACTTTAAGTTAATCTCTAAAGCAACTCAAGCAGTTTTAGGCAACACACATACTAGTTCGCGGCAAGTTAGGATCGACATCGATGCGCAAGAAAGTCAGAACAGCGATGGCACCCAGGCTACTGCTGTGATGCAGTGGTCCGCCGAGATCTCTGAATTACCTGGGAAGCGATTAAGTCGCTTCTCCCGAGCCTCCGAGAAATACAGTCAGGCTCTTGAAATAGCGGTTGAGCGAAATTAGATGACGGCCTATTTCTGAGGAATCGACCTATCGGGTTGGTTGCGCGGCACAGGACCGAAGGCTACAATCGCCCAGCACTTCAACCTCACTATTTATTGCACAGTTTCCCTCAGAGACTGTCCGTCAACCGCCTTGGATTCACATTTCCTCTACTCAGGTTTGCCATCATATAACTCTGAAAATGATTCTCAAGATTCTTGGGTTGAATCTTGTATTCGGCCTCTTTGCCGCAGCCCAGCCAAACTCATCGCATTTGCCCATTGTCGACCTTGGCTACGAGTTGCATCAAGCCATTTCCTACGAGGTATAGTTCGAAATTTGTACGTTTTTGGCCTAGACAAAGCGTTGATGTTGATATAGGAACGAGTCGGACTCTACAACTTTTCCAATATCCGCTATGCTGCCGCACCAGTTGGAGATCTCCGGTTCAGAGCCCCTGCTCCTCCAATGGTTAACAGATCCACGGCTCAACAAGGCTCTGAGGCCCGTATTTGCCCGCAGGCTCTCCCATCTTGGATGCCCCAGTCCGGTTCGAATGCAATTAGCTATGTCACAAATGGCAGCGTTACCAGCATGGGACCTGTTCTGATGGATCCACGTGCGAGTGAGGATTGTCTCTTTCTGGACGTGGTCGTGCCGAAGAAGATCTTCGAGACTTCTGGCAAAAAGAAGGGAGCTCCCGTGAGTGGATTCAAATTACCACCTCACTGAACTGAAATGTTCTCAAAACAAGCGTACTGACCGCAAATATAGGTCCTGGTATGGATCTACGGAGGGGGGTACACGGGTGGCTCTAAGACTGGTCAAGGGAGCGGTTCTCCCGTGGGTCTTCTGCGTCGCGGAAAGAATGAATTCATCTATGTGGCGATTAACTGCCGTCTTGGTGCCTTTGGATGGCTAAGTGGTTCAGCTATTCAACGGAATGGCGCAGCGAATTCTGGGTTGTTAGACCAGCGTTTTGCCTTGGAATGGGTCCAACAGTATATTCATCTTTTTGGCGGCGACCCGAACCATGTCACAGTCATCGGCGAGTCAGCAGGAGGTGGCTCTATCCTGCATCAAATCACTGTAAGTCTTGTCCTCGGTGCTCTCTGTTATAAATTCCTTCCTAACTGCTCGCAAGGCCTACGGTGGTAGTAATGGGCCTGTTCCATTCCAACAGGCTATATTGCAGTCCCCTGCATTTATCCCCGAACCGATACTCAATCCCGCTGAGCAAGAACGGATATTCAATCAATTCCTGCGATTTGCCAATGTTAGCACACTGGAGGAGGCCCGGCGCCTGCCCTCATCTGTCCTTATGGAAGCCAACCGCCAACAGGTCTACAACTCCCCTCTTGGAAGCTTTACCTATGGGCCCGTAGTGGACGGCATATTCGTTCCGGAATCTCCATCTCGTCTACTACGCCAGAGAAGACTGGACACGAATGTCACTCCGATGTTGGCGTATAATGGTAACGATGGAATCATCTTCTCCGACTTCTCTCTACGGAACAACAGTGATTATCAAGGCTACATCACCGGCTTGCTTCACCTCCAGCCTAATGACACTGCCTATGTCTCTAGCCAGATGTATCCGCCAATCTTTGACGGCTCTCACCGTTACACGGATGAAATAGGTCGTGCGGGTGCTACTTTCCAGGAAGCAATTATTCAGTGCAATGATATCTCGCTTGCGCTGGCTTTGTCAAATGCTACCTTTAACTATGTTTTCGACGTTTTCCCCGGCCTTCATGCACAAGACATTTCAGCAACATTTGATGCCAACTTAGACCCAGCACCAGGCGTTTTCGACCCACTTATTACTCTGCAGCAGCTCGTCACCAGCTTTACACTTACAGGAACGCCAACCACAGACCTTGCCGGCAATATGCCAATGTATGGTCGCAGAAATACACTGTTGATCTTGAATGCAACCAGTATCGGCACACGCAGTGAAGATCCACGTGTAGTGGAAAGATGCGAAGAATGGTATAGAATTCTGGACGCGGCTTAATAACCGGTAGTAGCCATGAAGTTCAACGGTCAAAACGAAACTCCGGCGATAATTTCGAGTTTGCGTTGATGTTGAGATCAACAAATACAGAGCGCGGGTCATTTTCGGCAAGCAAAATTACAGGGGACAGAAATTCCGATAAAGCTCGCTATTATTCATCCAACAACAAAGTTTTGTATGCTTACCTATTAAAAGCTGGCCAAATGAACGTCTTTCCTAATATAAACTTGGAATTAGGCTCATGCTATACAATATCACTCGTTTCCCCACCGCTTGCGCGTTCCTCCAGGCAGCAACTCCATTGTGGTATATTTCTCTCAACGCCTTAAGCCCTGCAAGCATAATTCAATCCAGTTGTCGCAGTGCCCCAGAGAGGCAATATTTGGCACATACGATTATCCGGTCATATGAAAGCAGAATAGCCGTGAGTAGTAGAAGCCTAAATAACACAGAGACCTAGTCGCAAATGGTGGGTGCAATAGGTGTATGAAGTTGCGTGTCGGTAAGCAGCTCAGAATAAATCTCTCTTTCATCTCATTGACCGGTCAATCCGCTATGGGTTTCCTAGGTCCTCACAATGGCCGGGTATCCACTGGAGCCGGGAGCACGATTCCTCTTGCTCTGGCCTTAGTGGCTGCCTTTAGCAGGGCTTGAAAATGGCTGCCCTATTTTCTTTTTTGGGCCCCTGGACCATTTGAAGCGAGAACGCACTATCGCAGAAATTCTAGCTCACAGTGGGCGTCGTTTCGATTTGAATCTTGGTGGCGCTAGGCTAATCAAATGTCTACCGAGTTGACTGGCCACTGGTCTGTTGGCCCGACTTGAGTTTTGCTGATTTTCGGTGATATTTAGGTCGTGGTTAAGAGCTACAGCGGCGGCAATTAGGGGCCCTGGCCCATCACGGCTAGATGTATCCGAACAGACAACGATGTCAGAGGCGGAGATGGGCAGGGGGAATGTTCGCCTCTAATGCTGCCTGCGGACTTTGGGTTATTCCGGTTGCTGATTCCCTCATGGTGGGTCAGGATCTTGGTCCATCAAAGTGACTTGCATGCTAACATTTGCGGCATTCCATTTTGCTAGAGTGAGCAAGTCTGGGGATACAGGTCTACACAACAGTTGAAAGAGCCACAATGATCTGGTCCCATTAAAAGGGCTATCTGAAATGCAGTCTATGGGTAGCATCCCTTATGATTTCAAGAATAATGTACGCATCGCCTTATTCCCGTCTCCCGGATCTAGTCACAAACGCCCTTGTTTTCAGAATGTCATCACTCCTTCAGGTAGTCCATTTCATTCACTACACCAAACATGACAACCCCTGGCAGGTATCAGACCCTCTTGCCATGAAGGCCTAGCCGTGTTTGCGCTGCACAAAACAAAATTATCTATTCTGGCAGGTAGAATACTGTCGTCATGCCTGTGATAAAGATTAGAAACAAGCGGAGAGAGAATTCAAGATTGCGAAATCTGTATCCACCATGATTTGCCGTATCCTCCCTGCCTTGTTTGCTTAGTCCCCTACGCCGAAACTGCCATTTCGATCGACATTCTTGTGAGAAAGAACATTATGACCCTAGACCTGCTAGTTAGCAGCCCAGCTGTGTTGATCCTGAGAGACTCATATCCGCTTTGAGCACCCACAAAGATCTTCTAAAGCCATTTAGCAACGGGAATGTGCCACAGGAATATGCAGGGACCTCATAAGCAGCTCGCAGTAGCGTATGGCGATCATGTTAATATGGTTGTGGCAAGTACGAATTTCGTGGCTCGGCATTACGCGTCTCGAAATTCGCTAATCGCTCGACCCTTCAGACTTCAACGACATCAGGGAGTGTCTGCTTATGTAAACTGGTCCCACGGTGTATAGACCCTTTTTGGACAAATTCTTTTCTGTTCCCTCATTATACAGCCTGGTAAGCATTCGACCAATACGACCATGCAGTCTCTCATGCGTGCGGTTGCCCTCGTCGGCGCGTTGAACATCACCATCATCGATGTGTCCAAGCCGACCATCATAAATTCATCCACTATTCATGATGATCTCTTCATGTCCGACATTCTCACAACAGGCTGGGCAGCGCTTGACTTTGCCGGTCAGGGACCCGGAGATACGGATACAATTTTCGGTGCCGGTCCCGTAGAACAAATGACTATCCTTTCTGCCGCAGTGCGCGGCGCGTCCAGGATCTACGTCGTAGACCACCTTCAAGGCCGCCTGGACCTGGCCGCCGCCCATGGTGCCATTCCAGTCAATTTTGCATTGGAGGGCTCGATGGAGGCACTACGCCGGTTCGAACCGGCTGGGGTTACGCGCGTCGCTGACTGTGTTGGTTACGAGGCCGAAGATGCGGGGGGTAATATAAACAGTAGCATTGTGCTGCACCAGGCTGGACAGGTAGTGGCGCCTCAGGGCGGTATTGGCGTCGTCGGAGTCTATGGGAGCGGAAACCAAGCGCAGTCGATTGACATCAAGCCTCTTTTCATGAATGATTTCTCAGCGCGTGGAAGCGTCTCATCGCCGCTGAGCCTTGGCACTCAGATGCTCAACCTCATTGTCACCGGTAAATTGCGCCCAGGGTCCATCGTGAGCGCCGTTATCGGAATTGAGGAAGCGCCCGAGTACTACGCGCGGTTCGACCGTCGCGAGGAAACGAAAGTAGTCATTGAATTTCCTTTTGAAAAGCAATTCTATGTGGACAGTCATCTGAAAGGCACGAAGTCTCCCATACTTATCGCTGTCGGGGTTTCTGAAGTTAAAGGAAGTTGAATCTCCAACTCTGGAGAAGAAAAATTTTCAGCCGCAAAAATTAGGTGTCTAACCAACATGTCTACTGCATCAAGTAGTTCCTAACAACCTCAAGAACTTTTAATAGTTATATATTATGTGAAGAAAAGAGTAAACAATATAATAAGATAGACATCCGGATTAAAAATCTAATAAATTAATGTTTTTCTAAAAGCAGACTGTTTTAGTAGTAGGTATAAATTGCTGTAGTAGTAGGTATTATATAATAAAAAATACCAAACCAGAAGCTGAAAAAGTATTCTGTATAAGTAATCAAATAAGTTCTCGGGCTAGAGTGGCTAACGGCCCGGTCAGGTTAATGATAACGGTTACAAAATACAGTCAACGGTTAAAGTATTTTATAAGATATATAAATTCTTTATCTTAATTTTCTAAGCAAAAACTGTACTCTAATTATAATATTTTTAATTAAAATATATTTATTATATAATACACGTATATAAACAATAAATTACTTAACGGTTAAAAATTACTATATAAAATCATACTGAAACTGATTGGTCATGTATTAATAACAGAATAGTTGTATTGGAGTATAATATATTTGTAATATATAAACTAATATGATATATATATTTAATTTCAGAGAGAAAACATATAAATCTTATTTTCTTTGAGGCCAAATACAAGTTTTAGAAGCTCAGTTTTTAACCTGTTTTTTAACCAAAATCCACTCTATCTCGGGCTTTGAAAGATATATCTAAGAAATTACTCCTATTGATACAATAGATTTATTAGCAAATTACCTGTTGAATGAAATTGTTGTATCTTTTTATAACAGCGCAAAGCAAGCAATATTCAAAGGCTGACAAAATATAAGAAATATAGAGATATATTGAAATTATTCTAGCTGCAGATTTAACTAGAGTAAGATATTAAATAAGCGTTATATTTATTAAGAATTAGAAGGCAATATTTCCCAACTCGCTGCTTGTTAATCAAAGAAGGAAATAATATTTAAGTTAATGTAATCTCATCTGATGTTAGGAACTACTTGACGTAGTAGACATGCTGGTTAGGCAAGACAAATAAAATAGTTAAAAATAGTTTTTTATTAATTTTAAGACTAATTCTTAAGAAATCTCCTTCTCTAAAAGATTCTAAAACAATATATTATATAAAAAGAAAAATAAATAACAGAATAATATAGATATTTAGATTAAAAATCTAATAAATCTATATTAATCTAAAAACAGACTATTATAATAGTAGATATATGTCACGGAGCACCTCGGGGTACGTATTCCAAAGGATAACCGTTGCACTATTGGCAAAAGGACTAGGATGTAAAGCCGATGGCTTTACACTGTATACACTATATAAGATTGCATCAATACAGGATTCAGACAGGATTCAGACAGGTAGTAGTTCTCAGTGGTTCTTCGGGTTCGGGGTCAACGGGAGCCTCTTGCTCACACCGTGACAATATAAATTATTATAATAATAAATATTATATAATAATTATACTTCTCTGCTAAGCCGGACTATCTAATATAATAATATAATTATAAATAGTTTTATTATTTATCTTAATTAAATATTTCTACTAATAATATTTTCTAAATAATAAAATTTAGTATTATAATAGTAGAAGAGCTGCCTAGTAGACTATATATTATATAAATAAAAGATTTTAAAATAGTAAATAAAATATATATTTTATTAATAATCTAATTAAAATCTGATATAAAATTTATATATAAATAAAAAAGATTAATATATTTTTATTTATTTTTATATTTTAACTTTTTATTAAATCTTTTTTTTATATTTTTTTGTTATTTTTACCGTTATTTTTATTATTTATTTAATATTTATTTATTAACTAATTTTTTCAAAATTCTTATTTTTATTATTTTTTAATATAATATCTATAACTACTCGCTGTTGTTTAGCCGATATATTTATTATATCTAAGATTTTTTTTATTTATATTATTTAAAAACTAATATTAAAAAGTTTAATATTATTAATATAAAAAATTTTATATCTAGCTATATTTTTAATATTATAATATTTATAGTATATAAATAATATTCTAATAGAAACTAAATCTATTATTAAATATATTTTAATAATTATTTAATAAATTTATTAAACTAATAAAAACTAGACTTTAATTAACATATTAAAAAATATTCTTAAATTATTACAGATTTTTAATTAGAGTTAGAAGTTTTTTATTAATTATATTATTTTTAATTAAAATCTAGATTAGAATCTAATACTTTATATTTAAATTAACTATTTAATTCTAATTTTAGCTATTAGTTTTCAAACAGCCGAGCTAGTTTATTATTATAAATATAAACTTACTAATATTAATAAATTTAAAATTATTATATATTTTTCAATTAATTTTCTATTAATTTATAAACTAATTTATTAGTTTAATCTAATTTTCTATTATGTTTTATTATAAGTTATTATTTTATTATAAATAATCCGACTATATTTTATCTAATATCCGAAAATAATAGATTTTTTTTTATAAACTAGAACCAAATAGATATTTTTAAGAAAATCTATTATGAAATATATACTATATATAGCAATAAGACCGTTATTTAAAATTTTTATATTTGAAAAATAAAATAATTCTAGTTTTTTATTATTTATCTTCTATAAAAATAGTATTAATTAGCCGGATTAATCTAGTAGTTTTTTAATAGAGATCTAGTTTATTTATAAAGAATTTTTATTTTAATTATATATTTTAATATTAATATTTAAATATATTTAATATAATAATTTAATATAAATTTAGTTGTTTTTCTTATATTTAAAAATAAAATATTTTTTACTGTTTTAATTTTTTTTCTTTTCTAAAATTTTAAATAGTTTATTAAATATTATTTATAAATTTTTTCGGAATCTATTTATTATATTTATTTAGCAAATATATTTATTTAACTAGAAAATATTAATAATTTTTAAAAATTTATTTATTTTTAATATTTTTAATCTTAAATTTTTTTTAAATTTAAAAGATAAAGTTAGTCTTATAAATCTATACTAAATTCTTATTATTCTAATATTAATATATAAAGAATATTATAAATTTAATAATAGTAGTTAAATCAAAGAAATTTAATATATCTATTTTCTAATAATTATTAGAATTTTTAAAAATCTAATATAGTAAGAAGATAGCTTTTAAAAAAAACCTTAATTTTTAAATTTTTAATAAATAATTTTACTAAATCTTTTTTTTTTTAAAAATTCTTAACTGATATTTTTTATTATGATATTTTTTTTATATTTTATTAGCTTTTTACTAATAATTTTATAGATTTTTCTATAGTACAGCTAGTTTATTAATTTAATTTTTAGCTGTAGAAATCTTTTTCTAAAAAATATTAATCTCGGTATAAAAATAAAAATCAGATAAAAAATCTATAAAAGTCTTAAAAAAATAACTAGTAGTTAAATTTAAAATATTATTATAAATAAATTAAATAGAAAATAGTAGAATAAACTAATTTGATTAATTTTTATTAATAAAATACTAAAAATATTATTTAAAAATCTAATTTATTTTTTTAGTTTGATTATTAGTCTAAAATCGAAATACTGTTAATAAATAGAATTTAATCTAAGTATAATATATAACTTAGAATTAAAATTTACTAAAAAAAATCTTTATTTAAGATTATATTTTAAAATAATCTAAACTAAAATCTAATCTTTTTATAAAAAAATTTAATAAATTCTAAAATAGTTATAATATATAAAATAAATAAAAATTAATACTATTTTATAAATCTATTAATAATAATAAAAATTAAATCTGAAATATTTTTTTATTATAATAGAAGATGGACCTATAATAAAGTCTATAAATAATTTAATAAAGAATTAGCTAGAAATTAGCAGTAATTTAAACTTATTGTATAATTTATATTTAATAAATATAATTTTTTAATATATAGAGTATTTTCTAATATAAATAACTATATTTTTATGAAAATTTATTTAATAGAATTTTTTTAAAAAAAGTTTTTATTTTTAATTATCTAAAATAATCTATTAGCTAATTATTATAATAAAAATTTAATAAATATTACTAAAAACTTTCTTTTGTAGAAATATGTAAATAATATTTATATATAATAGAATTATTCTTATTAATTTTTTAATATTTAAATTTAGAATCATTTTTTAAAACAGTAAGTTTTTAATAATATATTTTTATATCTTTATTTTAGATTTTTCGAATTAGAAAATATAATTCTTTATTAATTTTAGAATAAAATAAATTTTTATTTTTATATACTTAGAATACTGCTAATATACTAATATATTTATTATAGAATAAGCTTATTTTAATAGTTTTAGAATATAATAAATTTTTATATTTATATATTTGAAATATTATTAATATACTAATATATAGATTATAGAATATTTTTATTTTAATAATTTAATTAGCTATTTTTATATTAGTTTTCTAATTTTTTTAATTTTATTAAAAGCTTAATATTATACAGATATTAAGTTTAGGACTTTTTTATAAAAATATTTTATTATATTTAAACTAGGATTTTATAGAAACTAGCTGAGGTTCTACTAAAGATTTATTAATTATTTAATATTATATTAATTTTAGAATCTTTATATTAAACAGAATTTCTAAGTTTTTTTTATTTTTAATAATAGATTAGTAAAATTATATTTATTAAATTAATATTAAATAATAAAATTATAACTACTAAAATATATATATTATTAAGTTTAATAATTATTCAGCTTCAGCTGCTTTATAAAAATCTAAAAATTTTAATAATCTAAAAAATTTTAATAATATATAATAGCTCTTTAAAATATTAATACTAATATTTAAATAAATAAATAATAATAAAAAGCTTTTAATCTAAGATTAAATAATAAGTTTTAATATTATTAAACTTTTTTAATTAAAATATAATAAAATAATATATGTTATAATTATCTAGCTAAAA